ACACATTGACTTTGAACCAGAAATATTTTTATTAGGGATTTTACCTGAGACATATAATAAAGATTTGCAATATGTAATTGTGAATGTCTTGACAGCGGCTAGAATTGTATTTGCAAAAAACTGGAGAGGAAATACCTACTGATGAAGAAATTATTAATAAAATAATAGAATGTGCTGAAATGAGTAAATTGACATTTGAAATAAGGGAACAGGAGAACAATCAGTATTACTTGACATGGGACATGTTTTATTGTTAGATAGATAATAAAATATGGAGATGAAATATGATATATGAAATGAAATTAAGATATACTGTGTTAAAATCTGCTTTTTGGGAATAGAACTATGTGTTACAGATTGATGTTTTGAAGATAATGTGAGCACAAAAAAAGGATACTAACCGACTGATACACTGTAATTGTTTGAAAGATATTTTTATGTTGTTTTTGTTTGAAAATAAAAAAATTGTTTTATAATAACACAAATATAGTCAGACTTGACCATTCAAATCATAATACAGTCCTAAAGATACATAAAACTATCATCCAATATTTTAAGGATGACAAAGTCACATAATCATAATAAAATGACATTTTTGATAAAAAAAAGTGGTGAGGTGTAAAAGAAACCACAACTTTAATGTTCAAAAATTTTAATTTCACGACAGGTATCTTTTGGTGATGATTATATGAAAGGATACATTACAAATTAGGCAACAGATAAAATGTTTACCATAAGCATCACAGCTACCTAACAGTAAATCAGGAGTTAAACTCAGCTGCATTCCAAAAAATACATGTCAAACAGAATATTAACTAGCCTGAATCCCATTTACAAATATTTCAGGAATAAAAAGTCGACAAATGTGTGTGACAAAAGAAATCAAAACTCTTGAGGTGAGGGCCACATACTGTGTTGTCATGATTAACATGTACTAGTCCAAAATAACATGCATTCTCAACCACAGCCCAGGCTAAAATTATTCCAAGGCGGAAAACTAGAAACCTTTTATCAATAATTAGCTATACATAATATTAAAAAGAGCCTTTGAGGCTTTTTTCGCCTGGTTCTAAGAACAATTGCCACGGCTACATTTATGCCAGGCAGAAAACTACAAAATTTATTATAAACCACCGGCACACTTAGCATTAAAAAGGGCCGTTAAGATGTTTTCTGGTTCTAAGAACCAACATCATGCCTAAATTAAGCCAGGCAAGAAATCTGCTCAGGATTTCAATGGCCACATCTAGAATTAAAAAGGGCCGCAGAGATTTATTTACCAGTTACAGGACCTAATGCCTCACCCTAGCAAAAGAGCACTTATTAATTTATTGAGATGGCAATATCTCATATTGAAGTGGGCCACCAGGTTTACTTTTGATTCTAACAGATATGGCTGCTACTGAACCTAATTCTAAGTGTGAAGAAGCAGGACTGGTGATCCCAAAGGATCCCTTCCAGGTTTGCTCATTTGGGGATCCTCAGGGACTGGGAGAGCCTTCTCTCTGTGCGCTCTAGACTCTTCCAGTGTGATCCGCCCTCACTGCCTGCTCAGTGACTGGAAGACCACGTCCTCCCGGGCGCCGTAGCATTTCCACCATCATGCGTGGGGGTCTGCTTTGAGCACAGTAGAATCAGGAACATGCAGCCTTGCTCCTGAAAAAACGCACCCCATCAACTCACCTGTGGTCATGCGTGAACGTAGGCAGAGTACGAATGTGGAGGGGGACTGGTGATCCCAAAGGATCCCTTCCAGGTTGCTCATTTGGGATCCTCAGGGACTGGGAGAGCCTTCTCTCTGTGCGCTCTAGACTCTTCCAGTGGGATCCGCCCTCACTGCCTGCTCAGTGACTGGAAGCCACGTCCTCCCGGGCGCCGTAGCATTTCCACCATCATGCGTGGGGGTCTGCTTTCAGCACAGATAGAATGAGAACATGCAGCCTTGCTCCTGAAAAACGCACCCCATCAACTCACCTGTGGTCATGCGTGAACGTAGGCAGAGTACGAATGTGGAGGGGACTGGTGATCCCAAAGGATCCCTTCCAGGTTGCTCATTTGGGGATCCTCAGGACTGGAGAGCCTTCTCTCTGTGCGCTCTAGACTCTTCCAGTGGGATCCCCCTCACTGCCTGCTCAGTGACTGGAAGACCACGTCCTCCCGGGCGCCGTAGCATTTCCACCATCATGCGTGGGGGTCTGCTTTGAGCACAGGTAGAAATCAGGAACATGCAGCCTTGCTCCTGAAAAACGCACCCTATCAACTCACCTGTGGTCATGCTTGAACGTAGCAGAGTACGAATGTGGAGGGGGACTGGTGATCCCAATGGATCCCTTCCAGGTTGCTCATTTGGGGATCCTCAGGGACTGGGAGAGCCTTCTCTCTGTGCGCTCTAGACTCTTCCAGTGGGATCCGCCCTCACTGCCTGCTCAGTGACTGGAAGACCACGTCCTCCCGGGCGCCGTAGCATTTCCACCATCATGCGTGGGGGTCTGCTTTCAGCACAGATAGAATGAGGAACATGCAGCCTTGCTCCTGAAAAACGCACCCCATCAACTCACCTGTGGTCATGCGTGAACGTAGGCAGAGTACGAATGTGGAGGGGGACTGGTGATCCCAATGGATCCCTTCCAGGTTGCTCATTTGGGGATCCTCAGGGACTGGGAGAGCCTTCTCTCTGTGCGCTCTAGACTCTTCCAGTGGGATCCGCCCTCACTGCCTGCTCAGTGACTGGAAGACCACGTCCTCCCGGGCGCCGTAGCATTTCCACCATCATGCGTGGGGGTCTGCTTTGAGCACAGGTAGAATCAGGAACATGCAGCCTTGCTCCTGAAAAACGCACCCTATCAACTCACCTGTGGTCATGCTTGAACGTAGGCAGAGTACGAATGTGGAGGGGGACTGGTGATCCCAAAGGATCCCTTCCAGGTTGCTCATTTGGGGATCCTCAGGGACTGGGAGAGCCTTCTCTCTGTGCGCTCTAGACTCTTCCAGTGGGATCCGCCCTCACTGCCTGCTCAGTGACTGGAAGACCACGTCCTCCCGGGCGCCGTAGCATTTCCACCATCATGCGTGGGGTCTGCTTTCAGCACAGATAGAATCAGGAACATGCAGCCTTGCTCCTGAAAAACGCACCCCATCAACTCACCTGTGGTCATGCGTGAACGTAGGCAGAGTACGAATGTGGAGGGGGACTGGTGATCCCAAAGGATCCCTTCCAGGTTGCTCATTTGGGGATCCTCAGGGACTGGGAGAGCCTTCTCTCTGTGCGCTCTAGACTCTTCCAGTGGGATCCGCCCTCACTGCCTGCTCAGTGACTGAAGACCATACGTCCGTCCGGCGCCGTAGCATTTCCACCATCATGCGTGGGGGTCTGCTTTGAGCACAGGTAGAATCAGGAACATGCAGCCTTGCTCCTGAAAAACGCACCCTATCAACTCACCTGTGGTCATGCGTGAACGTAGGCAGAGTACGAATGTGGAGGGGGACTGGTGATCCCAAAGGATCCCTTCCAGGTTCTCATTTGGGGATCCTCAGGGACTGGGAGAGCCTTCTCTCTGTGCGCTCTAGACTCTTCCAGTGGGATCCGCCCTCACTGCCTGCTCAGTGACTGGAAGACCACGTCCTCCCGGGCGCCGTAGCATTTCCACCATCATGCGTGGGGGTCTGCTTTGAGCACAGTAGAATCAGGAACATGCAGCCTTGCTCCTGAAAAACGCACCCCATCAACTCACCTGTGGTCATGCGTGAACGTAGGCAGAGTACGAATGTGGAGGGGACTGGTGATCCCAAAGGATCCCTTCCAGGTTGCTCATTTGGGGATCCTCAGGGACTGGGAGAGCCTTCTCTCTGTGCGCTCTAGACTCTTCCAGTGGGATCCGCCCTCACTGCCTGCTCAGTGACTGGAAGACCACGTCCTCCCGGGCGCCGTAGCATTTCCACCATCATGCGTGGGGTCTGCTTTCAGCACAGATAGAATGAGGAACATGCAGCCTTGCTCCTGAAAAACGCACCCCATCAACTCACCTGTGGTCATGCGTGAACGTAGGCAGAGTACGAATGTGGAGGGGGACTGGTGATCTCAAAGGATCCCTTCCAGGTTGCTCATTTGGGGATCCTCAGGGACTGGGAGAGCCCTTCTCTCTGTGCGCTCTAGACTCTTCCAGTGGGATCCGCCCTCACTGCCTGCTCAGTGACTGGAAGACCACGTCCTCCCCGGGCGCCGTAGCATTTCCACCATCATGCGTGGGGTCTGCTTTCAGCACAGATAGAATGAGGAACATGCAGCCTTGCTCCTGAAAAACGCACCCCATCAACTCACCTGTGCTCATGCGTGAACGTAGGCAGAGTACAAATGTGGAGGGGGACTGGTGATCCCAAAGGATCCCTTCCAGGTTGCTCATTTGGGATCTTCAGGACTGGGAGAGCCTTCTCTCTGTGCGCTCTAGACTCTTCCAGTGGATCCGCCCTCACTGCCTGCTCAGTGACTGGAAGACCACGTCCTCCCGGGCGCCGTTAGCATTTCCACCATCATGCGTGGGGGTCTGCTTTGAGCACAGGTAGAATCAGGAACATGCAGCCTTGCTCCTGAAAAACGCACCCCATCAACTCACCTGTGGTCATGCGTGAACGTAGGCAGAGTACGAATGTGGAGGGGGACTGGTGATCCCAAAGGATCCCTTCCAGGTTGCTCATTTGGGGATCCTCAGGGACTGGGAGAGCCTTCTCTCTGTGCGCTCTAGACTCTTCCAGTGGGATCCGCCCTCACTGCCTGCTCAGTGACTGGAAGACCACGTCCTCCCGGCGCCGTAGCATTTCCACCATCATGCGTGGGGGTCTGCTTTGAGCACAGGTAGAATCAGGAACATGCAGCCTTGCTCCTGAAAAACGCACCCCATCAACTCACCTGTGGTCATGCGTGAACGTAGGCAGAGTACGAATGTGGAGGGGGACTGGTGATCCCAAAGGATCCCTTCCAGGTTGCTCATTTGGGGTCCTCAGGGACTGGGAGAGCCTTCTCTCTGTGCGCTCTAGACTCTTCCAGTGGGATCCGCCCTCACTGCCTGCTCAGTGACTGGAAGACCACGTCCTCCCGGCGCCGTAGCATTTCCACCATCATGCGTGGGGGTCTGCTTTCAGCACAGATAGAATGAGGAACATGCAGCCTTGCTCCTGAAAAACGCACCCCATCAACTCACCTGTGGTCATGCGTGAACGTAGGCAGAGTACGAAGTGGAGGGGGACTGGTGATCCCAAAGGATCCCTTCCAGGTTGCTCATTTGGGGATCCTCAGGGACTGGGAGAGCCTTCTCTCTGTGCGCTCTAGACTCTTCCAGTGGGATCCGCCCTCACTGCCTGCTCAGTGACTGGAAGACCACGTCCTCCCGGGGCCGTAGCATTTCCACCATCATGCGTGGGGGTCTGCTTTGAGCACAGATAGAATCAGGAACAGTGCAGCCTTGCTCCTGAAAAATGTACCCCATCAACTCACTATCCTTTCCATGCCATGTTGATATATGGGATGCTTGTGGGGTGTTCTCAACTTCTAAGAACTACAGCTATGGCTAACATTATACTATACCAAATAACTAATAACTAACTAGTATTTGAGAATGCCATAATCATTCTCTTTGGTTTTAAGAACCATTGCCTGGACTAATAGCCAAGAGGCAAGAAAACCATGGAATCTTATATACATCATGGAGCACGCTTAGATTTAAAAAGAGTACTTGACCTTTTCTTTCTGATTCTAAAAATCATCGCCATGGGTAAAACTATGCCGGGCAAGAAAACTAGAAATTCTATTATCTATAAAAAGACACAGACAACATTAAAATACATAGTATGGCATGTTAATGAGAGTGGCTTACAATTTCAAAGATTTTTCTACAGGTCAGTTTTGATTGACTGGGTGAAAATGCATTCTTGACAAACATCACATTGCTTTCCATTCTTTCTTCTCTTCTCACCATCAGCACTGGAGGTGGACAACTCAGTCTTCTGTCTTCAAAGAGGGTGTACTACATACCCTTGAGATTAAAAAAAATCAACGTTATTGCAACTGCCACTGGAATATTACTCCTAAGAATACACAATACACAGTAGTTACTATTGCCTCAGATGCAGGGATTACCCTTACTTACCTGGGCAAGAGGGACTATCAGTGAGTGGAACACTACATCCCACCCTCCATTATTCCCAAACTTTGAAGAATACAAATCTCAACTTACCTCACAGCATAGAGGCCACATCACAGCTGAAGGCTAACAGGCTTGGGCTGGTGACATTTTCTTCCTCTTTTTCCTTCTTTCACTTTTGTTTCTTCCTCTCCATGCTGAACAAACGTTGCCACTTTCCAAGAACATTTGGCAGATGGCTTGCACTTGTTCCTCTCCTCAATCTCAGAAGTTCTAAGATCTTTTATAGATTTTATGGCCATACCTAGCATTATGCCAGGCAAAAAACATATAAAATCTATCATCAATTACTGGCCACACCTAGAATTAAAAATGGCCACTGAGGTTTCCTTTCTGGTTCTAAGAACCATCGCCAGGGCTAAATTATGCCAGGCAAAAAAGGTATAAAATCTATTATGAATTACTGGCCACACCTAGCATTAAAAATGGCCATTGGGGTTTTCTTTCTGGTTCTAAGAACCATCGCCAGGGCTAAATTATGCCAGGCAAGAATGGTATAAAATCTATTATCAATCAACAGTCACACCTAGCATAAGAAAATGGTCGTTGAGTTTTCCTTTCTGGTTCTAAGAACCATCACCGGGGCTAAATTTACTCCATGCCAGAAAGGTTTGAAATCTATTATCACAGGTCAGTTTTGAGTTACTTGGTGAAGTATCATTCCTGACGAAGACCATATGCATTCTTGCTTTCCATGCTTTCTTCTATTTTTTACCATCAACATTGGAGGCTGACAATTGAATCTTCTGTCTTTTAAGGTGGTGTAGGACCTGCCTTTGAGATAAAAAAAAATCAACGTTACTTCAGCTACCACTGAAGTTTTTACTCCTAAGAATACCCAGTAGTTACTATTACCTCAGATGCAGGCACTACCCTTACTTACCTAGGCAGAACAGGCCATCAATTAGTGGAAGACCTCCACCCTCCCCTCCATTGTCCCAAAACTTCGAATGAAAGAAGCCGCAACTGAACTTACCTCACAGCGTAGAAGGCAACATCACTTGGGCTGGAGACATTTTCTTGCTCTCTTGTTTCTTCTTCTTTGGCTTTTCTTCCTTCCTGAGTCGTGTCCAGCAAGCGTTGTCTCTTCCAAGGAACATTTGGCAGCAGGACTGCAGTTGTTCCTCCGCTCAATCTGAGAAACTTTAAAATCTTCTATAAATCAACGGCCATACTTAGCATTAAAAATGGCCATTGGGGTTTCCTTTCTGGTTCTAAGAACCATCGCCAGGGCTAAATTATGCCAGGCAAGAATGGTATAAAATCTATTATCAATCAACAGTCACACCTAGCATAAGAAAATGGCCATTGGGGTTTCCTTTCTGGTTCTAAGAACCATCACCGGGGCTAAATTTACTCCATGCCAGAAAGGTTTGAAATCTATTATCACAGGTCAGTTTTGAGTTACTTGGTGAAGTATCATTCCTGACGAAGACCATATGCATTCTTGCTTTCCATGCTTTCTTCTATTTTTACCATCAACATTGGAGGCTGACATTGAATCTTCTGTCTTTTAAGGTGGTGTAGGACCTGCCTTTGAGATAAAAAAAAATCAACGTTACTTCAGCTGCCACTGAAGTTTTTACTCCTAAGAATACACAGTAGTTACTATTACCTCAGATGCAGGCACTACCCTTACTTACCTAGGCAGAACAGGCCATCAATTAGTGGAAGACCTCCACCCTCCCCTCCATTGTCCCAAAACTTCGAATGAAAGAAGCCGCAACTGAACTTACCACACAGCGTAGAAGGCAACATCACTTGGGCTGGAGACATTTTCTTGCTCTCTTGTTTCTTCTTCTTTGGCTTTTCTTCCTTCCTGAGTCGTGTCCAGCAAGCGTTGTCTCTTCCAAGGAACATTTGGCAGCAGGACTGCAGTTGTTCCTCCGCTCAATCTGAGAAACTTTAAAATCTTCTATAAATCAATGGCCATACTTACCATTAAAAATGGCCACTGAGGTTTTCTTTCTGGTTCTAAGAACCATCGCCAGGGCTAAATTACGCCAGGCAAAAAGGTATATAAAATCTATTATCAATTACTGGCCACGCTACAATTAAAAATGGCCATTGCGATTTTCTTTCTGATTCTAAGAACCATCACCAGGACTAAATTATGCCAGGCAAAAAAGGTATAAAATCTATTATCAATTACTGGCCACGCCTACAATTAAAAATGGCCATTGCGATTTTCTTTCTGATTCTAAGAACCATCACCAGGACTAAATTATGCCAGGCAAAAAAGGTATAAAATCTATTATCAATTACTGGCCACGCCTACAATTAAAAATGGCCATTGGGGTTTCCTTTCTGGTTCTAAGAACCATCGCCAGGGCTAAATTTACTCCATGCCAGAAAGGTTTGAAATCTATTATCACAGGTCAGTTTTGAGTTACTTGGTGAAGTATCATTCCTGACGAAGACCATATGCATTCTTGCTTTCCATGCTTTCTTCTATTTTTACCATCAACATTGGAGGCTGACAATTGAATCTTCTGTCTTTTAAGGTGGTGTAGGACCTGCCTTTGAGATAAAAAAAAAATCAACGTTACTTCAGCTGCCACTGAAGTTTTTACTCCTAAGAATACCCAGTAGTTACTATTACCTCAGATGCAGGCACTACCCTTACTTACCTAGGCAGAACAGGCCATCAATTAGTGGAAGACCTCCACCCTCCCCTCCATTGTCCCAAAACTTCGAATGAAAGAAGCCGCAACTGAACTTACCTCACAGCGTAGAAGGCAACATCACTTGGGCTGGAGACATTTTCTTGCTCTCTTGTTTCTTCTTCTTTGGCTTTTCTTCCTTCTCGAGTCGTGTCCAGCAAGCGTTGTCTCTTCCAAGGAACATTTGGCAGCAGGACTGCAGTTGTTCCTCCGCTCAATCTGAGAAACTTTAAAATCTTCTATAAATCAATGGCCATACTTACCATTAAAAATGGCCACTGAGGTTTTCTTTCTGGTTCTAAGAACCATCACCAGGACTAAAGTATGCCAGGCAAAAAAGGTATAAAATCTATTATGAATTACTGGCCACGCCTACAATTAAAAATGGCCATTGGGGTTTCCTTTCTGGTTCTAAGAACCATCACGGGGCTAAATTTACTCCATGCCAGAAAGGTTTGAAATCTATTATCACAGGTCAGTTTTGAGTTACTTGGTGAAGTATCATTCCTGACGAAGACCATATGCATTCTTGCTTTCCATGCTTTCTTCTATTTTTACCATCAACATTGGAGGCTGACAATTGAATCTTCTGTCTTTTAAGGTGGTGTAGGACCTGCCTTTGAGATAAAAAAAAAATCAACGTTACTTCAGCTGCCACTGAAGTTTTTACTCCTAAGAATACCCAGTAGTTACTATTACCTCAGATGCAGGCACTACCCTTACTTACCTAGGCAGAACAGGCCATCAATTAGTGGAAGACTCCACCCTCCCCTCCATTGTCCCAAAACTTCGAATGAAAGAAGCCGCAACTGAACTTACCTCACAGCGTAGAAGGCAACATCACTTGGGCTGGAGACATTTTCTTGCTCTCTTGTTTCTTCTTCTTTGGCTTTTCTTCCTTCTCGAGTCGTGTCCAGCAAGCGTTGTCTCTTCAAGGAACATTTGCAGCAGGACTGCAGTTGTTCCTCCGCTCAATCTGAGAAACTTTAAAATCTTCTATAAATCAATGGCCATACTTACCATTAAAAATGGCCACTGAGGTTTTCTTTCTGGTTCTAAGAACCATCACCAGGGCTAAATTACGCCAGGCAAAAAAGGTATAAAATCTATTATCAATTACTGGCCACGCTAGCATTAAAAATGGCCATTGCGATTTTTCTTTCTGATTCTAAGAACCATCACCAGGACTAAAGTATGCCAGGCAAAAAAGGTATAAAATCTATTATCAATTACTGGCCACGCCTACAATTAAAATGGCCATTGGGGTTTCCTTTCTGATTCTAAGAACCATCACCGGGGCTAAATTTACTCCATGCCAGAAAGGTTTGAAATCTATTATCACAGGTCAGTTTTGAGTTACTTGGTGAAGTATTATTCCTGACGAAGACCATATGCATTCTTGCTTTCCATGCTTTCTTCTATTTTTACCATCAACATTGGAGGCTGACAATGAATCTTCTGTCTTTTAAGGTGGTGTAGGACCTGCCTTTGAGATAAAAAAAAATCAACGTTACTTCAGCTGCCACTGAAGTTTTTACTCCTAAGAATACCCAGTTACTTACCTCAGATGCAGGCACTACCCTTACTTACCTAGGCAGAACAGGCCATCAAATGACCCCTACACCTAGGCACCCCCAATTATGGAAGACTCCCACCCTCCTCCATTGTCCCAAAACTTCGAATGAAAGAAGCCGCAACTGAACTTACTCACAGCGTAGAAGGCAACATCACTTGGGCTGGAGACATTATCTTGCTCTCTTGTTTCTTCTTCTTTGGCTTTTCTTCCTTCTCGAGTCGTGTCCAGCAAGCGTTGTCTCTTCCAAGGAACATTTGGCAGCAGGACTGCAGTTGTTCCTCCGCTCAATCTGAGAAACTTTAAAATCTTCTATAAATCAATGGCCATACTTAGCATTAAAAATGGCCACTGAGGTTTTTCTTTCTGGTTCTAAGACCATCGCCAGGGCTAAATTACGCCAGGCAAAAAAGGTATAAAATCTATTATCAATTACTGGCCATGCCTACAATTAAAAATGGCCATTGGGGTTTCCTTTCTGGTTCTAAGAACCATCACCGGGGCTAAATTTACTCCATGCCAGAAAGGTTTGAAATCTATTATCACAGGTCAGTTTTGAGTTACTTGGTGAAGTATCATTCCTGACGAAGACCATATGCATTCTTGCTTTCCATGCTTTCTTCTATTTTTACCATCAACATTGGAGGCTGACAATTGAATCTTCTGTCTTTTAAGGTGGTGTAGGACCTGCCTTTGAGAAAAAAAAAAATCAACGTTACTTCAGCTGCCACTGAAGTTTTTACTCCTAAGAATACCCAGTAGTTACTATTACCTCAGATGCAGGCACTACCCTTACTTACCTAGGCAGAACAGGCCATCAATTAGTGGAAGACCTCCACCCTCCCCTCCATTGTCCCAAAACTTCGAATGAAAGAAGCCGCAACTGAACTTACCTCACAGCGTAGAAGGCAACATCACTTGGGCTGGAGAATTTTCTTGCTCTCTTGTTTCTTCTTCTTTGGCTTTTCTTCCTTCTCGAGTCGTGTCCAGCAAGCGTTGTCTCTTCCAAGGAACATTTGGCAGCAGGACTGCAGTTGTTCCTCCGCTCAATCTGAGAAACTTTAAAATCTTCTATAAATCAATGGCCATACTTACCATTAAAAATGGCCACTGAGGTTTTCTTTCTGGTTCTAAGAACCATCGCCAGGGCTAAAGTATGCCAGGCAAAAAAGGTATAAAATCTATTATCAATTACTGGCCACGCCTACAATTAAAAATGGCCACTGAGGTTTTCTTTCTGGTTCTAAGAACCATCGTCAGGACTAAAGTATGCCAGGCAAAAAAGGTATAAAATCTATTATCAATTACTGGCCACGCCTACAATTAAAAATGGCCATTGGGGTTTTCTTTCTGGTTCTAAGAAACATCACCGGGGCTAAATTTACTCCATGCCAGAAAGGTTTGAAATCTATTATCACAGGTCAGTTTTGAGTTACTTGGTGAAGTATCATTCCTGACGAAGACCATATGCATTCTTGCTTTCCATGCTTTCTTCTATTTTTACCATCAACATTGGAGGCTGACAATTGAATCTTCTGTCTTTTAAGGTGGTGTAGGACCTGCCTTTGAGATTAAAAAAAATCAATGTTACTTCAGCTGCCACTGAAGTTTTTACTCCTAAGAGTACCCAGTAGTTACTATTACCTCAGATGCAGGCACTACCCTTACTTACCTAGGCAGAACAGGCCATCAATTAGTGGAAGACCTCCACCCCTCCCTCCATTGTCCCAAAACTTCGAATGAAAGAAGCCGCAACTGAACTTACCACACAGCGTAGAAGGCAACATCACTTGGGCTGGAGACATTTTCTTGCTCTCTTGTTTCTTCTTCTTTGGCTTTTCTTCCTTTTCGAGTCGTGTCCAGCAAGCGTTGTCTCTTCCAAGGAACATTTGGCAGCAGGACTGCAGTTGTTCCTCCGCTCAATCTGAGAAACTTTAAAATCTTCTATAAATCAACGGCCATACTTAGCATTAAAAATGGCCATTGGGGTTTTCTTTCTGGTTCTAAGAACCATCGCCAGGGCTAAATTATGCCAGGCAAAAAAGGTATAAAATGTATTATCAATTAAGGGCGATGCCTAGCATTAAAAATGGCCATTGGGGTTTTCCTTCTGGTTCTAAGAACCATCGTCAGGACTAAAGTATGCCAGGCAAAAAAGGTATAAAATGTATTATCAATTACTGGCCACGCCTACAATTAAAAATGGCCATTGGGGTTTTCTTTCTGGTTCTAAGAACCATTGCGAGGGCTAAATTATGCCAGGCAAAAAGGTATAAAATGTATTATCAATTACTGGCCATGCCTAGCATTAAAAATGGCCATTGGGGTTTTCTTTCTGGTTCTAAGAACCATCGCCAGGACTAAAGTGTGCCAGGCAAAAAAGGTGCAAAATCTATTATCAATTAAGGGCGATGCCTAGCATTAAAAATGGCCATTGGGGTTTTCTTTCTGGTTCTAAGAACCATCGCCAGGACTAAAGTATGCCAGGCAAAAAAGGTGCAAAATCTATTATCAATTACTGGCCATGCCTAGCATTAAAAATGGCCATTGGGGTTTTCTTTCTGATTCTAAGAACCATTGCTAGGGCTAAATTATGCCAGGCAAAAAAGGTATAAAATCTATTATCAATTACTGGCCACGCCTAGCATTAAAAATGGCCATTGGGGGTTTTTTTCTGGTTCTAAGAACCATTGCCGGGGCTAAATTATGCCAGGCAGAAATCTATAAAATCAATCACACCACCAGGTAGCATTCAGAATACTTGTTCCTACCCTCAGTCTGCAAAGCTAGAAAACTAATGAGTTCTTTTATACGTCAACAGCCACACCTAGCATTAAAAAGGGCCATTGAGGTTGTATCACTATCATTCACAACAGACCAACAATCAAGAGATACAGAATGCCCCAATCAAGGAACTGCCAATGAAGCTAACAACTAAAACCTGACCAAGAACCTCCAAGACCATTTGCACCAACACTGAAAGAACCACTAGAACATTGCGTCACCAGATTCACTTTCGATTCTAAGAAGTCTGGCTGGTACTGGCATTATTTCTAAGGGTGTAATGGTGGGAGGGAGGTGATCCCAAAGGATTCCCTTCTGGTCCGAGTCTCACTGAGGGGGTCCTCAGGCACTGGAGGAGGCTTCTAGCTGAGCGCTGTTGTCTCTTCCAGTGTGATTCGCCCTCACTGCTTGCTCAGGGACTGAAAGGGTGTGATCTGTCCCCGTCCACACACACACACAAACACAGCCAGCCGAGGGTTAAAGAAGCACTTGGCACACACCCAGGTCTTTATCTCCAACTTGGCAGCGATATACACCCCGTCTGCCAAGTGCTTTTATTTCCACAGAACAGAAAGTTAATATACTCAGCGTACAAAAGTCCAACAGAATAATATTCCTCTGACAGTTTCGGACGATCCTTTAGTGACTATCCAAGGTTTATTTTTGTTCGTCACAGGGATCGCTGTCTCTGGGGTGTGGTCCAGTGACTCAGTCCTAATCCCTAGCACGCCTCCTGAGCTGCTGCAATCATTTATCACGCCTTCGGAGGCGTGCATCCAGGAATGACGTCTCACCTTCACCCTCATCCGAGACACCTGTCTCCCGGCTAATCTCCTCTCCCTCGGCCGGCTCCTGAGACAGTGCCAGAGGGGAGGGGCCTGGAGAGGGAGGCCTGGCTGACTCCTCTTCCTCATGCTCGGAGCTTTCTTCCTCTGATGGGATAGGCTCAGAGGGCGGGGCCACAACAGGGTGACCCCAGAGAGGACTTCCAGTGTGAGTCTCCCACAGTGGCTGCTCAGGGGCTCAATGAGACTGGCAGTGGATTGACTGCTGGGCTCATTCAGGGTGAGCGTCAGAGTGGAAACTCAGGGACTGAAAGACCTCTATAAGTAAGGGCATCACCCCCATCTCCAGGCTGGGTTGCAATGTGGAATGCGCTCTGGTTCTAAGAACCACAGCCAATAGCCAAAATTATGTTGGGTCAGAAATTTTTTTGATACTTTTTACCTACCTTTGACTGTTATGACTGCTCTTTTTACCATCGATACTTTGTAATGTTGTTGTTGTTTTTTAAAAAAAATCTTTGCTAAAGCAAGCCTTAGAGTAAACTTTAGCAAGGCCCAAAGATTTTTGCAGTAACAAATATGTTGCAAAGAGTACCTGCCAGGCTTCTTCACTTTCATGATACCCTGAAGAGTAAATATAACCATCTGTCTTACTGTTGATGTCTTCTTCTTCGTCTACAGGTCAGTTTGCATCTTCTTCCTTCCTGAGTCGTGTCCAGCAAGCGTTGTCTCTTCCAAGGAACATTTGGCAGCAGGACTGCAGTTGTTCCTCCGCTCAGTGTGAGAAACTTTAAAATCTTCTATAAATCAACGGCCATACTTAGCATTAAAAATGGCCATTGGGGTTTCCTTTCTGGTTCTAAGAACCATCGCCAGGGCTAAATTATGCCAGGCAAAAAAGGTCTAAAATCTTTTATAAATTACTGGCCACACTAGCAATAAAAATGGCCATTGGGTTTTCTTTCTGGTTCTAAGAACCATCGCCAGGGCTAAATTATGCCAGGCAGAAATCCATAAAATCTATAATCGATCAACAGCCATGTCTAACATTAAAAATGGCCACTGAAGTTTTCTTTCTGGTCCGAAGAACCATCGCCAGGGCTAAATTATGCCAGGCAAAAAAAGTATGAAATCTATTATCAATTACTGGCCACGCCTAGAATTAAAAATGGCCATTGGGGTTTTCTTTCTGGTTCTAAGAACCATTGCTAGGGCTAAAGTATGCCAGGCAGAAATCTGTAAAATAAATCACATCATCAGAATACTTGTTCCTACCCTCAGTCTGCAAAGCTAGAAAACTAAGTTCTTTTATACGTCAACAGCCACACCTAGCATTAAAAAGGGCCATTGAGGTTGTATCACTATCATTCACAACAGACCAACAATCAAGAGATACAGAATGCCCCAATCAAGGAACTGCCAATGAAGCTAACAACTAAAACCTGACCAAGAACCTCCAAGACCATTTGCACCAACACTGAAAGAAGCCACTAGAACATTGCGTCACCAGATTCACTTTCGATTCTAAGAAGTCTGGCTGGTACTGGCATTATTTCTAAGGGTGTAATGGTGGGAGGGAGGTGATCCCAAAGGATTCCCTTCTGGTCCGAGTCTCACTGAGGGGGTCCTCAGGCACTGGAGGAGGCTTCTAGCTGAGCGCTGTTGTCTCTTCCAGTGTGATTCGCCCTCACTGCTCGCTCAGGGACTGAAAGGGTGACCCCAGAGAGGACTTCCAGTGTGAGTCTCCCACAGTGGCTGCTCAGGGCTCAATGAGACTGGCAGTGGATTGACTGCCGGGCTCATTCAGGGTGAGCGTCAGAGTGGAAGCTCAGGGACTGAAAGACCTCTATAAGTAGGGCATCACCCCCATCTCCAGGCTGGGTTGCAATGTGGAATGCGCTCTGGTTCTAAGAACCACAGCCAATAGCCAAAATTATGTTGGGTCAGAAATTTTTTTGATACTTTTTACCTACCTTTGACTGCTTATGACTGCTCTTTTTACCATCGATACTTTGTAATGTTGTTGTTGTTTTTTTAAAAAAATCTTTGTTAAAGCAAGCCTTAGAGTAAACTTTAGCAAGGCCCAAAGATTTTTGCAGTAACAAACATGTTGCAAAGAGTACCTGCCAGGCTTCTTCACTTTCATGATACCCTGAAGAGTAATGAAACCATCTGTCTTACTGTTGATGTCTTCTTCTTCGTCTAGTTTGGATTCATGCCTTTGGGGAAAAAAAAACATCACCAAATGAACAACTGATGTTCAGGGACTGGAAAACTTATCAAGTAATTTTGTAACGGGGCTTTTGTCTGTTTTATCCTACAAGTGAAAGAAGGCACAATAGTATGAATTGGAACATTGTGCCCTTGGGAATACCTCAGACCAAGCAACTAGTCCTCTACATGTTTTGCTTATTTTAAGGATGAGCTGTGACTAAAATTTCCTCAGGTCCCCAGAGTTGACTTTATTCAGGAAAGTAAGGGCATCTCCAGATACTGAAGCTATTTTTCCTTTAAGCTAATTTTAATGCTTGTTCACCTGTGATAGTTTTGCCCTTTTTAACTGCCCCTGGCTAAAATTGCCTCAGTTTTGTTCCTGAGAGTTGAGTCAGTTCCTGGGCCTGAAGTAATTTTAGTTAACTTTCTCTTCTACCTACTTTCAGGACTTTTAATCTGCAAGGACACAGCTAAGATTACCTCAGACTTTACTTGGAAGCTAATTTTAGCTCTTATTCACACCTATGGTGGCTTGGTCCTTTTTTTAAAGGGACATTTTTTTAAAAAAAAATTTATACCGCCCCCTCGCCAGAAGGACAGGGGCGGTGAACAGCCAAGATTAAAAACATACAATATAAACATTAAAATACATTTAAAACAAAATTAAATCCATAATGGCTCCCCATTATGGACATGGCTGAGATTACCTCAGGTTCCACCAAAATTTTATTAAAAACTTGGTTAAAATTACCTGACCTCAAGAATTGACTTTATTTCAAGAAAATAAGATCAACTCCTGGACCTGAAGTAATATTAGTTAACTTTTGCCTTTAGTTGAAGTAGTTAGTTGAAGTAAGTTACTTTCTTTACATTTTGCTTCTTTAAAGGATTTGAGACCCTTGACTAAAATTACCTCAGGTCCCAAGAAATCACTTTATTCCTGAGACCAAGGTCAGCTCTTGAGGTATTTTTATCTTTACCTTTAGAACTACCTTTAATTTTGACTCGCCTGTGGTGGAGTTTGATCCTTGTAATAGGGCATGGCTGAAATTACCTCAGAATTACCCCAAGAAACTGACTTTATTTTTTAGTCTTTTTAGTTTTTTAGTTTTAAATTGTCATGGGGTTTTAAATTGAATTGTTTTAAATTTGGCCAGTTATATAATTCTTTTTAACAATTTTAAATTTTGTATCTGCATGTGTTTTAGCTCTGGCTGTTCACTGCCCTGAGTCCACTAGGAGAAGGGCGGTATACAAATTGAAATAAATAAATAACTAAATAAGAAAGTAAGATCAACTCCTGGACCTGAAGTAATTTTAGTTAACCTTTGCCTTTAATTACTTGAGGCAACTCATCCTCTGCATGTTTTGCTTCTTTTAAGGACTTGATCCTTGGCTAAAATTTCCTCAGGTCCCCAGAGTTGAATTCATTCAGGAAAGTAAGGGCCACTCGATTTTAATGCTTGTTCACCTGTGGTAATTTTGCCCTTTTAACTGCCCCTGGCTAAAATTGCCTCAGATTTATTCCTGAGAGTAACATCAGCTCCTGGACCTGAAGTAAATTTTAATTAACTTTCTCCTTGAAGTACTTTTAGTCTGCAAAGACATGGCTAAGATGACTCAGACTTTACCCAAAAACTAATTTTTAACTCTTATTCACAGCTGTGGTGATTTGGTCCTTTTTTTTTAAAGGGACATGGCCGAGATTACCTCAGGTTCCACCAAAAATTTATTCTAAAAATTTACCTCAGACCTCAAGAATTGACTTTTATTCCTGAGAACAAGGTCAGCTAAGGCAATTTTACCTTTAAAGCTAATTTTTTTCACACCTGTGGTGGATTTGTTCCTTTTCAAAGGGACATGACTGAGATTACCTCAGGTTCCACCAAAATTTTACTCTAAAACCTTTAGTCCTAGCTAAATTTACCTCAGACCTCAAAAATTGACTTTATTCCTGAGAACAAGGTCAGCTCCTAAGGCAATTTTACCTTTAAAGCTATTTTTCACACCTGTGGTTTGGTCCTTTTTAAAGGGACATGGCTGAGATTACCTCAGGTTCCACCAAAATTTTACTCTAAAACCTTTAGTCCTAGCTAAATTTACCTCAGACCTCAAAAATTGACTTTATTCCTGAGAACAAGGTCAGCTCCTAAGGCAATTTTACCTTTAAAGCTATTTTTCACACCTGTGGTTTGGTCCTTTTTAAAGGGACATGGCTGAGATTACCTCAGGTTCCACCAAAATTTTACTCTAAAACCTTTAGTCCTGGCTAAATTTACCTCAGACCTCAAAAATTGACTTTATTCCTGGGAACAAGGTCGGCTCCTAAGGCAATTTTACTTTAAAGCTATTTTTCACACCTGTGGTTTGGTCCTTTTTAAAGGGACATGGCTGAGATTACCTCAGGTTCCACCAAAATTTTACTCTAAAACCTTTAGTCCTGGCTAAATTTACCTCAACCTCAATAACTTATTATTCCTGAGAACAAGGTCGGCTCCTAAGGCAATTTTACCTTTAAAACTAATTTTTTTCACACCTGTGGTGGTTTGGTCCTTTTTAAAGGGACATGGCTGAGGTTACCTCAGGTTCCAGCAAAATTTTTAAGAATTCGAGTCTTGACTAGAATTACTTCAGCGGTTTGCGTTATTCCCTGAGGCAAACCCATTGGTGAGGTAACTTATCTCGAGTAACCTGTGGTATTCGAGTCCATTAATTAACATACTTTTGAGGCATTAATTCAGCGGCCCCTGGCGTTTTTCTCCTTAGACTACACGCCTGGGGTTAAAATTACCACAGGTGCTATATCCTTACTGCCCGAGAATAGGTTATTAATTGGCTAAAGAATTCAGGCTCCCCTCCGTATCCTATAAAAACCCTCAGGTAGAATTACCTCAAAAGCTCAAAAGGCCCTGCCCGGCCTCGAGCTCGAGGTCTTGGGCTGCGGGGGCGCCGGTGAGAGATTTTTTTGGTGGGCTCTCCGGCGCCCCGCAGCATCGTCCCTCCCTTTTTGAGGAACGAGAGACGCGGCACAGTCTGCCGCTTCGGCAGCGTGCTCGCTAATTTTGCACACAGCTGAGGAGCCCGCCGACTTTTTAAATGCCCCCGCCCCTCGGAGAGAGGAGAGGCCTCCTGGCCAATCCGAGGGACGGGTTTTCAGAGCAGCCAATAAACGGGCGAAGTGGGCGTGGAGAAGGACACCGCGAGGGTGGGGGAATTTGGGCGGGAAAGGCGCGCGCCGGTGCTCGTACGCACGCGCGGTTGTCCTCCACCCAGCTGGGCTCGGCTCCCGGAGCGGTTGCCATGGAGACGGCGGCTCGCGGCGGTGGGGGGGTAGGGTGGGGCTCATTACGGCCACGTGGGCCGCACAGGTGAGGGAGATTAGAGGCTGCACACGCACGTGGCAGTGTGGTGTGTGTGTGTGTGTGGTGTAATGCATTTTCCTCAAGCCTTCGCCCACCCCCCTTGTGGGGACCTTTCGCCCCGCCCGGCCACCCTTTGGACTACAAAGGGTTATACTGGGAATACTTTGGATTACAAGTCCCATCAGACACAACTGGGGTGGGGGTATTAGTAGGGACCGTCCCTTCTTGCAGCAGAGTTCCCCCCTGCTTAAAATGCTCATTTTTAAAAAAAGAAAATCTGAAAATAATTACAAAAATAAAATAAAATTATGGTTATTAAGAGCCTTGGTGGCGCAGCAGACTAAAGTGCTGTTAAGTAGCACCAGCTGCCTGCAATTACTGCGAGTTCAATTCTCACCAGGCTCAAGGTTGACTCAGCCTTCCATCCTTCCGAGGTAGGTAAAATGAGGACCCGGATTGTGGGGGCAATAAGCTTTGTATAAAAAAGAACACCGCTTAGCCCCCCCCCCCCCAAAGCCCTACTAAGCAGGTATATACAAAAGTATGAAGGTTATTGCTTAACGCATTGTAAGCCGCCCTGAGTCTCCGGAAAAGGGCAGCATATAAATCGAACCAATAAATAAATAAATAATGTACAGTATAGGAGATGCTTTGGACTACAGTTCCCATTAGCCAGTCTGTTGCAAGAGAGGCAATCCCCATCAGCCCCCCTTTCTAAGGCTGGATAATGGGAATCATAGTCCAAAGCATCTCTAAAATTCAACCCCTTTTTCTGTTTTTTTGCATCTTCTCTACTATGTTACAATCTTGCTAGGCAGCCGGTTGGTTTTATTTTGTTGTGCAGATATTGAATTTGTTATTTTTCCAGTTTTGTTTTTTAATGGAAAAACAACATTACCCAGACTGGTTTGTTTTTTTTGCTTCTTAGGGATTCTGCTGAAATGTTATAATAATTTTTGATAAATGGTGTCTTGCCCTTGGAAAAGAAATGGACCCCAAATTCAAAACTATTTTTCTATTATAGGAACTCTTCCCTCCCCCCCTTAAATGTTTTCAAAAGAGGTACTTGTTCGAAAATGCAAAATAATAAATGGCTGCCTTGATTGCATTTCTTCATGGTTTAAATGTGGTTTATGGACTTAACCAGATTTTCTGCCCTTAAATAACACTGAACTGTAAATTACCCATACAAGCTACTTTCGCAGAGCGCACCCCCTGAAGTTGATGACTGATAATGTTGTGCTGGGCAAATTGAGAAAGCTATTGAGAAAATTGGCTGTTTTCTACGTCGTGTGTTAGAATAAAGTTGCAATGGGGAAACTGATCTTTTGGATATTGTATTACATAGACTAGAGGTTGGGGACTCCTGGCTTTTTAAAAAGGGCTCACAAAATTTAAAAAATCCACCATATAATAAAAATCCCACCCCATTTCCCATGGCAGCAGCAATCTACACAAGTTGAACTTTTAATGAAGCCCCTCAACATGTTGCGCCCTCCAGACAGGGTAGGACAGCGACCTTCAGAATTAACCAACCGGCTTGGCTTTATTCACAAAAATATTCCAGAACTTTCAACAAAAGTAAGAGATCTTTCAGCCGTAAGAGATGAAAACCATCTTGTTAAGGAAAGCTGTTTCACAAAGCCATTTTATTTGGATGGCTGGAAGAAAAGAACATTTTGCTAGTGATCGCAGAGACACCAACATTAATATATTCTCAGAAATTCTGTGTCTTGGCATGAAGGCAACACTTTCAGAATTGGTTTCTGTAAATTCTTGCTTCAAGGAATTGCAGATGATTCTCACAATACCTAGAATATGTCTGCTATTCAGCCTGGGCAGTAGTTAAAATGGGCAGCTGTGTTTTATTTCAAAGTTACAAAAAATACCCTGAAATAGAGTTAAATATTTTGTTGCTTGACAATTCTGGCAGCACTAGATCACTTCTAGATAATTTTTTCTTCCTTTTTTTTTAGCACCAACACTGGTCTCGATACAGAATAAAGGCTTTTTAAAAGCAGACCGAGGGATACCCAAAGAATCATTTCTAATGACGTGTACTACATTAGCTCAAGATTGCTGGAAAGATTCAAACTGTTAATTTGTAATTATTATTTTTTTTTAAAAAAAGTGCATGGATTCAAAAACATTCCTTCATTTCTTAGAAGAAATCAGAATACTTTATGTATCAACCGTTATCTAATTAGAACCGTTTTCACTTCCAAATAGACAGATGTGTTCCCTAAAGAGCTCGTGACGTGGACCAAACCGGAGTCATGATTAAAAACAATTTCTCACCAGATGGACCGAGAAACTGTTCTCTTAACGAATGAGCCACAATTTTAGGCTTCCAAGATCCCAACTCTTCCCCAATCTCAATTAATTGTCCTATTTACATAGGTTAAAATCTTAGGGGGGGGGGAAGCAATTTGGTTTCTTTTGAGTCCTCTGAACAGGTTCATTTCTTTCCCCCTTCTCTGAAGTTGCAAGCGGAAAACAATTTTAGACGTCGTAATAGAAATCTAATTTTGTGTAAACTGTCTTGCATCCTTTGTCAGAATAGATCCGCTCCTCTTTGGGGAAATAGGTCATCTCATCGGCCACCCGAGAGACCACATCTTCGTTGACTGCGTGGCCCCGCGATTCCAGTTCAGACCTGATGCACATTTTCACGTGGCTGATTTCCAGAGGCAGGAAAGGAATAAAGTAATCAATGACATTTCGGTCGATCAGACTGCTGTGCCAAAATCCACCTGCAAAAGAAAAGTGTGTTGTCTGGAGTGGGATTCTTTTGTGATGCAATTAAAACAAAAGCAACTATAGGCAGTCCAGCATTTGAGGGGCTGCCACAAAAAAGAAAGGGGGTCAACTTATTTTCCAAAGCACCAGAAGGCAAGAGAAGAAGCAACGGATGGAAACTAATCCAGGAGAAATCCAATCTAGAACTAGGGAGAAATTTTCTGACAGAATAAACCAGCGGAAGGACTTGTCTCCAGAAGTTATGAGTGCTCCACCACTGGAGGTTTTCAAAACAGGTTGGACCTTCATTTGTCCAGAATGGTATAAATCCTTCTGCCTGTGCAGGGGGTTGGACTAGAAGACTTCTGGGGTCTTTTCCTGCTATGTTATTCTGCTTTTCTCCAAAGCAACTGAAGGCAGGACAAGAAGCAATGGGTGGAAACTTAAATGATAGATAAATAAATGTGTTACTCACTATTTTTGTTATTAAACACAGAATTTGACAATGACTGTTGCAAAACATGCAGAGGAAGGTCTTCCCTCTTCTTTCCACTCTTCCAATTATCGAGGGCCACTTCGGTTATTTTTTCAGCTCCAGCATTGCTGGGGGAAAAAAAGTTGTTGTTTTTTCAGAGGCTGGCAGCTGAAAGTGATTTCTATGCTTCTGCAAAGCAGGGCTGAAGAGTGCCAGCCACTACAACTAAGCAGTTTTGTCTGGACAGAAAAGAAATCCAGATTTTTTCCCCTCTTTTTTGACATAACTTTTCAAAGGGTAACAGGAACATGGCAGTATTGTGTTAGAAGGTAGTCCTTGACTTACGACTACAATTAAGCCCAATTTTTTTTCTTGCTGAGTGAGACATTTGGATGAGTTTGCTTCATTTTAACACCATTCCTGCTATTGTCATTCAGTGAATCACTGTGTTAATTTAGTCACACCGTTGTTAGGTGAACTTGGCTTCCCCATGGATTTTGCTTGTCAAGAAGGTCGCAAAGATGACCATGTGACTCTAAGATATTGCAACCGTCATAAATATGAGTCAGTTGCCAAGTATCTGAATTTTGATCACATGGCCAGTTTTTTTAATGCTGTTGTAACTTTGAACAGTTACTAAATGAACTGTTGTAAGTAGAGAACTATCTGTTCTGTGTAACACTGGTGTACCTGAGTTGGTTCTGGTTTCAATGGCTGCCCCCCCCCCCACTGCTTAGCAACAGACATTCTGGTCCCAATTGTGGCTATAAGTTGAGGTCTATCTGTATTTGCTGGGGAAATATTTGAGGAAACAAATTATAGAACTGACACTGTCACATAAGCAATAAAGGGACAAAAATTAGGTTCACAATAACCCAGGTTTTTTTAAAAAACGAGAATCCTTAAATCTCGAAAACTTTCTCTCCAGCAAATTTGTTTTAAAATATACAATTTTTTTTTTTTTTTGGTCTGTTGTGGTGCCTCACCTGAGGAAAATGAAAATCGCTTTTCGATAAGAGATGCCGTCTATTTCTTCATAATATTCCAAGAAAGGCTTGATGGAGTCGATGAGTCCAGCGTGCATTTTATCCATCTCGTCAAATATAAAGATCGACCTTCCGCAGGCGCTCACGTTGCCACGAATCCACATTTGCAATTGGTCCTGAGAGATTAAAAGCAAAGCTGAAGGAGCCCATCAAAAAGCGGAAAAGGCCTAAACACACTCCCCAGAAATCCACACCCAGATGACCAGAGATTAATACAAAGATTAACGGTAGACCAACAATCAAGAAATCCACAAAACAAGGAACTACCAACTCAGACAAATAAGGTAACGGCAAACAACCCAGTCAAGGAACCACTGAGAACCTCCTCACCAACACAAGGCAAGCTGCTTGTGTATAAAACGAGAGCAGCGCTATCTTACTAACACTGATGACGTTACCTAGTTTGGTAATGAAATGTCTTTCAGCTTGCAAAAGGTGATCAAATGACCCCGGGACACTGCAACCATCATAAATACGAGTCTGACTTTTGATCACATAACCTGGGGAAGCCGGCGAAGTTTGTGTGACAAGCGGTCGTAAGTCCCTTTTTCCAGGGCCTTTAAATGGTCACTGTTGTAAGCCGAGGACTACTTGTTACTGAGGAAAACAATGGGCTTCCCTGCAGCTTACCTTGTACTGACTGATGTTCTGCTGATGTGGGAAGTGTAGAGTGGACACGAACTGGTGGACGTATTTGCTCTTGAGCCCTTCGTCGTAAAGGCTTTCTGCCACAATCTTGCTGACGAAATTTTTGCCCGTCCCCGTCCATCCGTGCAGAGAGAGAGCCAGGGGTTTCTTCGGATTCGGGTTCGTCAAAAACCCCGTCACGGCTTTCACAATCACCTCGGACACCAGGTGCTGTCCGAAGACTTTTTTCCCCAGATTGTCTTTAAGATCTGTGGGAGAAGGGGGGAATGATGGGAGAAGCCAGAAATTTTTAAAAAACGTTATCGAGAAACATTTGAACTTGGGAGTCTGACAGTAGAAATAAGACGAATGTTTTACCTACTTTCCGAGGGGAGATCAACAAAACCTATTTAAAAAAATTAAAACCACTTAAAAAAAAAAAGAGCCGTGGGAGAGTACGGTGAATTTCCAGAGCAATACAGGTAGTATTACGACCATTCGTTTAGTGACCGTTCAAAGTTACAGCATTGAAAAAGAGAGACCTTATGACCGTTTTTCACACTTACGACCGTTGCAGCCCTCTCCACGGTCACGTGATCAAAAAAGTCAATCCCTTGGCAACTGAACTCATATTTATGACGGCCGCCGTGTCCCGGGCGGGTGACGTGATGATCTTTTACGACCTTTTAAAGTCAACGGGGAAGCCAGATTCGCTTAACGATGGTGTGTAGTCCATTTAACAAATGTGTCAAGAAAAAAAGGTGGTTAAACGGGGCAAAATAAACAGTGTGGGGGCTCCACTGTGGTCGTAAGTCGAGGACGGTCTGGGTCAGTCACCTGCGATGCCCCGCCCACCTCCCCTGTGACGTCACAGCGCCCCTCCCCTTCCACGTCCGCAGCGGCCCCGCCCCCTTCCCAGAGCCCTGACGTCACCCACCTCTCCCGACTTGCGCCACGGGCCTTTCCACGCAGCATTCGGCAAAGTAGCAATAGAGCCTCGGGAGGGAGATGAGGCCGGTGAGGGCCGAGGCGGTGCCGGCCAGCGCGATGCCCACGGTGACCGGGTCCATCGCCCGCGCCGCCGGGCCCAGCTGCCATAGCACCAAGGCCAGGCCCCACACCGCCCCGGGCGATCGGAGAGGCTTCATCGCCGGCAGCCGCGCTTGGGCCGCCGCTTACTTCGCCTCAGCGCCGCTCTTCCGCTTCCGCCCGAGCGGCTTCCGGCCCCGCGGGCGCCATCTTTGCGCCGGGCAGGTTGGGCCGGGCGGGAAGGCCATTGGCTGCTCGTGAGAGAGGGGGCGTGGCCTTCCTTCCCGACCTTCCAGCTGGTCGGATATCCAACTTCTGGCTCCAACTTCACCCCCCCCCACCAACCCGCAAGTCTTGGATGCACCTGAGCTCCCAAGTTCTGACACGTGTTTCAGCCCTCGTGTGAATTGCAAGAAATTCTCTTATGGGGGACACACACATATTTCTCCCTCCTAGGATGTGGTTTTGCAAAAAGGACAAGTTGCAGAGTGGTTTTGCTCTTGCTCTGATCCCAAAATATCTATTTATTATTCCGATTTAAATATCTGCCCATCTTCTACGTATGCTACAGGACTCTTGAGTGGCTTGCAAACTAATATACAAAGAACATAGATTCAAACTCAATGTCATTCGCTCTTATCTTGATGGTAGGAAATACGGCTTTTGCAATAGAGTAGTTAATGTTTGGGACACTCTACCTGATCCTGTTGTTAGTCTCGCTAACCCCCATACCTTTTACCTTAAACTGTCTACCGTGGACCTTTCATGTTTCTTAAGGGGGCGTGCATAAGCGCACCAGCGTGCCTACCGTCCCTGTCCTACTGTCCCCATTTATATGCACTCATTCTACGTGTTTATGGTTATGTTTTGCCTATTTATATCCTTTTATTTGTGCCAATTTTTCTTCATGTGTCCATGTCTACATTGTTACTTGTTTCTTTGTACTTGTTGACAAATAAACAAGCAAACAATAGATCTATATAAAGAACAAAAGCAAGGAAGTCATATTAAAACATCTAAAAAGTAACCTTTAGACTGATTGGTTATATGACATCAATTCAGTGCTGACTCTTACGTTGGAAGACTTGAAGGACCAAGTTGTGGATGTTCTATACACTGGAGGCTTTTAAGAAGAGACCAGACAGCCTCTTGTAGAGGGTCGCCTGCTTGAGCAGGGGGTGAAGACCTCTAAGGTCCCTTCCAACTCTATGATTTAGGCAACCTTAAACATTCAAAGAGCCATTTGGACCCGTTTCCCACAGAAAAGAAAACACCGGGAGCCACAAAACCCTCCCCGTGCTTGACTATTTCTTGAGCGGCCACCAAACTAGCATATGTAGTTGAATTAAACGTTCTGTTTTCTTCGGAAACATTTCTTTTCTTGGATATATCCATGGTTGGCCTACCGGAGGTTGAAAAGCTCAATAAATCAGGTGCCGGTGGGTGTTACACATTGGTGGTTGTGATGCATATTTTGCGTGACGGAGCCTCAGCAGAGGGATGAAAGAGCCACATGCGGCTCCAGAGCCGCTGGTTGCTGACCCCTGTTCTAGGTTCTATCTGGAGAGGACCAAGTAACTTATTTGAGATCTTTGGTGGGATTGCGAGAATTCAAATTTCCATCCCGTCTCATTGCATGCAGAAAACACAGGCAGACAAATCCTTCAGGCCATCCTCTTAAAATAACAAACCTTTACTGCTGCACATGCGATACACATTTTGGTATGAAAAAGATCTTTCAGTGACTGTAACAGAGGGCAGTTTCGTGGAGAAAAACTGAAGCGAAATGAACATCGGCAAGAAGTGAGAAATATTAGAAATAACAGCCCAGTCTCTAAAGAACCGAACCAGCTCGCTTCAGTATCTCCGGTTCATCTTCTTAAACTTTTCATAGTGATAATCGTCGGTGGCTTTCTCGTTTGGTGGGCGCTTGCGATTCGGCGGAGATTCTACAAAATTTAGAGAGAGACATCCCAAAATAAAGATCAGCCATTTGAAAGACTGCCTCCCCCCATCCCCAATTGGAGACTTTCAGTGGGCCCAGAAGGCCCAAAAATCACCACACGTGTGCCGGAGCTGAGCTCCATGCCCACCGATATGGTTCCGTGTGCCACCTGTGGCACGCGTGCCATAGGTTCGCCATCACGGGACTAGCACATATGTGCGAGGGGAATCTTTACCTTTACCTTTAATCTTCAACTGGCCGAAATGGTACACTGCACAGCAACAATTTTTGAATCAAAATACCTCCAATAGACCAACCCAAGGAACGTGTCCAAAACCCAGGATACATTATTCCCACAGGATTGAAATTTAGTCACCAGCCTGTGAGAACTAGACCAAAGTAGCTAGATAACCCCGCAGTGTGCATGACTTACTTTCCATTTCGGTTTTTTCTGTGTCTCCCACTCTCAGGGGCCGGGCCTTGGGCTCTTCTTTATTTCTTCTTACCGGAGCATTCAGCTCTTCGTGATAAACTGAAAAGAGAGATCATGATCATACTAGCTTAGGATCAACTCTAGTATAAACTGGCAGCTTTCAAAATACAGGTGATCCTTGACTGACAAACCACAAATTGAGCCCAAAATTTCTGTCATTAAGCCAGACAGTTGTTAAGCCTCCCTTTATGACCTTCCTTGCCTGTGTTGTTCAGGGGATCACTGCAGTTGTTCAATTAGTAACGGTTGTGAAGTGACTCTGCCTTCCCCATGGACTTGGCGACCGTCATAAATATGAACCAGTTGCCAAGCATCTGAATTTTGATCACATGATCTTAGAGACTCTGCATCGGTCGTAAGTGTGCAAAATGGTCATGTCACTTTTTTCAGTGTCGTAACTTTAAACGGTCACTAAATGAATTGTTGTAAGCTGAGGACTACCTCTTTTCACACCAGAAAGTAAATTCCGTTCCCAGCTTAAAGTCTGACATGTGCTTGTTTTCCTTGTTTTATTCTTATGTGATATGCAAGTTCCCCCATTGTGGCGTCTAAGCCATTTATATTATTTTCACTATTTACGAATAAAAATATTTGATGATTGCATCCAACAAACTCAATTAATTCTAACCTCAGCCTTGTTCAACCTCAACCATAGTTCTCCATTTGATTTATGTGTCAATCAGCTTTCATCCAAGACAGTCAGCTTAATTCCTCTCTTACTCACATCGGTTGTGTTGGACGTAGTTGACTGCCATATTGGTGGGGACGAAGGAAGTTTCGCTGTCTTTCTTCTTATTCTGCTGTTCAGCCAGCAATCTTGCCTTTGCATCTTCGGTCGAGATTATGTTTTTTATCTTGGCCCTAAGGAGAACCACCGAAAGAAAACAACGTAAAGCTGAGATGTTTTCAAACTTCCAGGGAACAAATGTTGGACTGAAGAGAGCTCTACAGAGAACAGCTAACGACGACCACGGTGGAATGAAGAAGGGGTGAGTTGACTTGCTCTCCAATAATTTATCTCTGGACAAGGAGAGGACTTAAGATCACCCAAGATTTCTTTTAAAGGAGAATATTTGTAGCTCAGACTTGAAATGGGGGGGGGGGTCTTTGGTGTTCTCCGAACTCCCCTCATTTCAACCCCTGAGCTACAAATATTCTCCTTTATTGGATTAGAAACTGTCAAACTTACTCGATTCCAAGGTCCACCTCAGGGATCCCACTCAGCATCTGATTGGACAGCATTTCTTCCGTCTTCTTAGCCGAAGAGACACGGATGCTCTCCGGGAGCTCGTACAGACAGTCCTCCGCGTTCTTCTGCTTCACTTTCTGCTCCTCGTTTTCCATAATCCCCTTCCTCTTCTTCAGCTCAGTTTCGATGTATTTCATCCTGAACGAAAGCCAGTTGGGTGACTTTGGGCCAATCACCAGGAGATGGAGAGTTCTAGTCCTGCCTTAGGCGTGAAATTCGACTGGGTGACTGGGCCACTCCCTCTTTCTCAGTCCAACCCACCTCACAGGATTGTTGTTGTAGGGAAAATAGGAGGAGAAAGGTACGTTGGATATGTTCTCCACCTTGACTTATTCGTAAAAATAATATAGGCAGGATATAAGTAAATAAATAAATAAATAGATGGCAAGCTACATACATGTCTGCATCTTCATCTCTCCTGTTGGTCTCGGCTGAAAAGGAGGTGCCAAGATTGAGGTCTTCCTCTTCGCTGATCCTAAAAAAGGACGACAAAGTTGACTCTAAGAACTGCCAAGGCAAAAGAGCCAGAAGCACCGGAATTAATCTTCAGTCATCCCTCAAGCCCGTTGGTTTTAATCCGTAGCCCCCCAATTCAAAATATCTAAGGCTGTGCGCCTCAAGGAACATGTTACTCCTCGACTTCCGGTCACACAATCGGGGGCCACAAAAGGGACCCACCCACCTCTCTTTTCCTCGCTCTTTCAACTTCTTCATGTCCACCATTCCGCCCGACTTGATCTTAAAGGGATCATCCTGGCCATGTGGAGAGAATAAACAGAGGAGGCACTTTTTGAAGATGCTGCAATCTGAGGGCCATATGTTGTAACCTAGGCTTCCCCAAACCACAAAGCAGACTCCTTGTCCCGACAAAAAAAACCCCTTTTTATTAAGTTACTGTGAATTCTTCTCATTCACATCCAGCAAAGTCTTTCAAGGGAGAATTTACAGTCACAGATCTTATCTGGCTTGGAGAGCTGCCAGTATCTTCAAAACTTGGCAAGGAGTCACAAATCTCCTGCAAACTCCACTCCCTTTTCACTCCTCTTTTATTCCGAGGGGCCATTCACCATCCACCTGTGGCCTTACTCCCAAGTCGACCCTTGTTCTTTAGCTGTTCCCTTCGTCTTCCCTCTCCAACAGTCTTTCAAGATAGTTCACAATTACCGACCTTGATCAGGCTTGGAGAGTGGCCAGGCCGATATCTTTCAGAGGCCGCAATACTTGGCAAGAATGCAGGAATGAACTAATTGTCTCCTGCAAACTCCACTCCCCTTTCACTCCTCTTTTATTCCCTCTGGGAGGGGCCATTCTTCGTCCACCTGTGGCCTTACTCCCAAGTTGACCCTTGTTCTTTAGTGTTCCCTTCGTCTGGCAACTCTGTGCATGCACACACTGGGAACAGGCTCCAGCTGTTCCTCTGCCTCACTGATGTCTGACTCCGAGGGCAGCTGATAACTGGCATATGGCCCTGGCTCCCTCTCTGCCTCCGACTCAGAGCCCTCATCAGAGCCTTCCCCAGACTCCAGGACTGGCCCAGGTTCCTCCCCCACCTCCTCACTGTCCGAATCTGCTGCCAAGATCCACTGGCGGGCCACAACACCATAAATGCTGATTCACACAACTGGGCTTCCTCAGTTAACAAGATCACCTATTTCTCTAAATCATGACTTGTTAAACCACTATTAACGGTACCAAAGTGTCTTGTGTTTGCACCTCACTCAACACCTTTTGTGGAGGGAGGCTTCCCCCTCTGATCTTACCGCCAAAGTTGTCTCTTCTTGTAGCTTTTCTCCGACAAGTAAAGCTGCAGCACTTGGGAGGCAAACATAGACAAGATTTAGGTTCATTTAAGAGAACCTTCCATTTTTATCTCAAATCTGATCAGAATGCAATCCAGTGTCAGTTTGGGTTAGAGTACTTAGGAGAGTTTGATATTCCTTTCCTTCCTTGAGAATACTTAAGTTTTTATGATTGGCGTTCAAGAGTTGGGGCAGGTAGTCCTCGACTTAACAACCACAGCTGGGAGCAGAATTTTCATTGCTAGGCAAGTCGGTCGTTAAGTGAGTTGTGTTTGATTTTACCACCTTTTTATCGGGTCTACAACAACTCACCACGGCCAACTCGCCACAGTTTAATTATTGGAACGACCGTAATACTTCATATAATAATAATTTGAACTAGTTAAAGTGAACTAAATTCATACAAAATTGAACTCGCTGTTTAATTATACTGAAATAATTTGAATTTGGAGCATGTGTCCATGAGGATGCTGTGGTCATCCGAGAATCTCAGTTTCTACGGATATAAACAAAAATCCAGGATCTCAGTCTGTGCTTGCTACAAAAGATTAAAACCTTGACATTAAAACTCCACAGAAACATCAGTATTACCTTACTCCATTGGGTCTCCTTCTTAAACTCTGCACTTCCTTCGCTTCTTCTAGTTTTAAACTGGAGCAGAATCAGAACAGAAATAATAATTATTATTATTAAATACCAGGATCTAGGGAATTCTGGGCGTTGGAGTCCACACGTTAAAGGTGCTGAGATTGAAACACTGATTATTTTTTTTTTAAAAAAGGCCTTGATCATTTTTAAAAATGACTTGCAACCAAAACCAACTTGTACATATTTTAACCTTGTATTTTATCTTTTAAATTTTATGTCATATAGTACGTCTTATTTTAATTGGGACGCTCCTGACACGAATAAACAAATAATAGGTAACAATAATTATAAATTATTTTATAAAATAAAACATAATTATAATTATATTTTATTTTATTTATTTATAACCCCCCTCCCCAATATTTCAAACCCCCCCCCCCCCCACACCCCGCACCCACCGAACCTCCTCGGCCACCAGCTCATCCTCCTCTTCCTCCTCGGAGTCGGCCTTCCTCCGGCGAAAACTCTTCCCGGCCGGCATAGCTGGAGACCCTCCCTCACCGCCTCCCACCGCCTCAAATCAATTTTGCTTAAAGGTGGCTGCTGCTTGGAAAGCGCTTCCTGTTTTGCAACCTGGGGGGCGCGTCTCGTGACGTCAACAACGCGCGCCGAAGCCACCCCGCTGTGGTTCTAGTTGCCCTTAGAAGGGCAGGGCAGAGGATTCCGTCCGGTTGGGGCGGGGGGGGTGAAGGCGTCCATAGATGTAGAAAAATGATAGATGGATGGACAAGGGAGAGAAGACGGGTCTCCTTAATTTTCTTTTTTTTAACCTATATTTTAATTTATTTTCCTGGACTGCTAGGAGGAGCCCTAATTTGCTCCGAAGGTGCAAATGTCAAGCTGGCATTTTTTTTTTTTTTTTTTTTGCAGCGAGGCCACGACAGCCCTGCGTGTCATTGCATCCACACGACGGAATAAATACCCTGGTTGCTATTGCATGCAAAATTGTAAATGCCTTGCAAGCAAGATTATAAGGCAGGTATTCAATGCGGGCTCCATCACATTTAAAAGCAGGTGAAGAGGGAGGATGGTCTGTCCAGGAAGCAACCTTGAGAATCGAATTGAATTGAATAGAATAGAATATGGAAAGGAATCGAATCGAATCGAATTGAATCGAATCGAATAGAATATGGAAAGGAATAGAATAGAATTATAGAATAGAATAGAATAGAATAGAATAGAATATGGAAAGGAATAGAATAGAATTAGAGTAGAATAGAATAGAATTAGAATAGAATAGAATAGAATAGAAATGGAAAGGAATAGAATAGAATTAGAATAGAATAGAATAGAATAGAATAGAATAGAATATGGAAAGGAATAGAATAGAATTAGAATTAGAATTAGAATAGAATAGAATAGAATATGGAAAGGAATCGAATCGAATCGAATTGAATCGAATCGAATAGAATATGGAAAGGAATAGAATAGAATTAGAATAGAATAGAATAGAATAGAATAGAATATGGAAAGGAATAGAATAGAATTAGAGTAGAATAGAATAGAATTAGAATAGAATAGAATAGAATAGAATAGAATAGAATAGAATATGGAAAGAATAGAATAGAATTAGATAGAATAGAATAGAATAGAATAGAATAGAATATGGAAAGGAATAGAATAGAATTAGAATTAGAATTAGAATAGAATAGAATAGAATATGGAAAGGAATCGAATCGAATCGAATTGAATCGAATCGAATAGAATATGGAAAGGAATAGAATAGAATTAGAATAGAATAGAATAGAATAGAATATGGAAGGATAGAATAGAATTAGAGTAGAATAGAATAGAATTAGAATAGAATAGAATAGAATAGAATAGAATAGAATATGGAAAGGAATAGAATAGAATTAGAATTAGAATAGAATAGAATAGAATAGAATAGAATATGGAAAGGAATAGAATAGAATTAGAATTAGAATTAGAATAGAATAGAATAGAATATGGAAAGGAATAGAATAGGATAGGATAGTCTTGGTGCATACACTCTCAGTGTACCTAAAAGAAAAGATAAGGTTCATCAAGAATTATAAGTGTCCTGTTTCTTCGCAATACAGGCAGTCCTTGCCTTACGAAAGTTCATTTAGTGACTATTCAAAGTTACAACGGTGCTGGAAAAAGGGACTTGGGACCGTTTTTCAGACTTACGAAATTTGCCGCGGTGCACCGCAGAAAAATTATTTCCATCTTTTAAATACTATTTATCTTTTATTTTTTTTTTAAAAAAAAAACCATATTAGTGGTCTGCGGGATTTAAAATGATTAATTTAGTGGTTCCTTGAGATCCGAAAGGTTGTTAACCCCTGCCCATTGTCCAGGGGTCCGTGGGGCACCCTGAGGTCATCTTGCCCGACCCCTCCCCTCCTGGACCGCCTTCCCTTCCGAGGCCCCGCCCCCTCCGCCGTGGCCCCGCCCCCTCCGCCGCCAACATCGCCTTCCCCGCTTCCCCCCCGAGCGGCGCGGCGCCCTCTGAGGCGGCCCCGGCCGGTAAGCAGCGCTCTTCCCCGCCCGATCCCCGGCTCCACCCGAACCGCCCGGGGCTTCGCTTCTCCCCCCCGGCCTCGTCTCCCGGCCCAGAGGCCAAGACGACGAGAAGGAAGGTTTTGCGGCCTAGCCTGCTCCGAAGCCTCGGACTCGCCTAGCGAGCCCAGCCGAGGAAGGCGCGTCGGAGGCGGCCGGGCGAGTCTGATCTTGGGCGGGGGAGGGGGGCTGTGACAGTGCCCGATCTTGGCTGAGGAAACTGGGTGGGGTGGGGATCGTCTCAAAGCAGGACCCCCTCCCCTAACCTTGGTATTTTTAGAGTTTCTGTTTTAAATTAGACGTTTTAATGCTTTTTATTGTTTTAAAATGTTTTTTTAAAGCATTTGTCATACATGTTTTTCAATTGGGAGCCACCGAGAGTCGCTTGTGGATATGGACAGCTATAGAAATCAGATAGATAGGTAGGTAGATGAGAGAGAGATTATGATATATATATATATATGATAGATAGATAGATAGATAGATAGATAGATAGATAGATAGATAGATAGATAGATACCAGAGAGAGAGAGAGAGTGAGGTGAAAGATAGATGAGAAAGAGATTATTATATATATAGATGAGAGAGAGAATGATATATACATATATGATAGAAGATAGATGACAGATAGATAGATATAGATGATAGATTATGATATATATATATGATAGATAGATAGATAGATAGATAGATAGATAGATAGGAAATATATATATATTTATTTATTCATTCATTTATTTATTTATTTATTTATTTATTTATTAAATTTATATACCGCCCTACTCCCGAGGGACTCAGGGTGGTGAACAGCGAAAGATAAAAATACATGTAATACAAACATTAAAAACCAATTAAAATATATTAAATACTCTGGTCCCAGATAATTTAAGACATCTCAGTTTAAAACAAAATTAAAAGCAATATAAAGGGAAAGTTAGGCCATATATATACCATATATATGATACATGAGAGAGAGAGAGAGAGATGACAGATAGATATAGATGATAGATTATGATATATATATGATAGATAGATACCAGAGAGAGAGAGAGATGAAAGATAGATAGAAATCAGATAGATAGATAAGATTATTATATATGATACAGAGAGAGATTATTATATATGATAGAAGATAGATGACAGATAGATATAGATGATAGATTATGATAGATAGATACCAGAGAGAGAGAGAGAGAGATGAAAGATAGATAGAAATCAGATAGATAGATGAGAGAGATTATTATATATGATACAGAGAGAGAGATTATTGTATATGATAGAAGATAGATGACAGACAGATATAGATGATAGATTATGATAGATAGATGATAGATGACAGAAAGATGATAGAGATTATGATATATATGAGAGAGAGATTATATATGATAGATGAGAGATATATGATATATATATATATATGATAGAAGATAGATGACAGATAGATGATAGTTATATGATTGATTGAGATAGATAGATAGATAGATAGATAGATAGGGGAGGGGAGTTTCCCCATATCTCCCCCCCCCTCAAATCAGGGCAGATTATTGTTCCCCATTCCCCCAGCTGGTTCCAGGTCTGCATTCCCACCATCTTTCAGTACAGCTCAGCTTTGACCTGGGTTAGGTTGGGTGTGTCGTGTGAACCCAGCAACCCCTTGGCTTCAGGGCACGGGGTAGACTCCCAAATTGAACAAATTCCCTACATCGCTTTCCCTCCCTGGACTTGGCCGATGGGAGTTGTAGTCCAAGCCACCCCGAAGGCCCCAAGATGGAAAGTTTAGTTCTCTAGGAGTCGAACTGGGGAGGGGGTCCTGCCACCTCTAAGCAATTTTATTGGGAAATGAGGTGGTGGTCTTGCAGTATGTGTCTACATTGGCTTGTGGTTGGTTGCACAAGGGAGCAGGTTTAATGTCGGATTATTGTTTGGTGAATGGTAATTTTGGATTTTGGATCGAGCCAAACTTCACTCCATCTCATACAGACTCGTGCCCAATCCTGTTGGCTTTGGATTTAGTCTGAACCCAGCCATTGTGGGTTTAACAAATCGTAGCTAAAACAAACCATGGCTTGGTCTGTTGTATAAAGCTGGTAGTTTTGCTTGTGGCACTCCTGTTAGTCTTTTGTAAGAATGCAACCTAGAAGGCTAAATTTACCGTTTAATATGTGGTGCAAACAATCATTGGGTTAATTCCCAATGCCGTCAGTATGATCATCTTATCGTCTGATCGGAGCCTGTTTTTATAAGATCAGGGTTCTCCAAAGTGGTCAATATCAACCTCTGATGGCATATTATTGTTCTTACCATTTTATTATTTGTTCATAACAATACAGGTAGTCCTTGACTTACAACCGCTCATTTAGAGACCGTTCAAAGTTACGACGACGCTGAAAAAAGTGACTTATGACCATTTTTCACCCTTTATGACCGTTGCAGTCGCTTGATTTTCATTCTGATGCTTGGCAACCGACTCACACTTATGACGGTCACAGTGTGATCCCCTTTTGCAACCACCTGACCAGCAAAACCGATGGGGAGGCCGGATTCGCTACACAACCGTGTGAAGTGCAGTGATTCGCTTAACAACGGTGGCAAGAAAGGACATAAAGTGGGGGCAAAATTCGCTTAACAACTGTCTGCCTTGCTTAGCAACAGAATTTTTAGGGCTCGATGGTGGTCGTAAGTCGAGGACTACCTGTAGTTTGTGTTCCAGAGAGGGAAGCCTCCCGAAGACCAGTGTTTTCATGATGGAAAGGACCTTAGGAAGACGGGGAAGAGTCTTCCCTTTTCACGACAGTAGTGGAAAAAACAGAGGAGAAACGAAGCAGGCAGGGGGAAAAAAAACTGGCTGTGGACAGCTCTAGCTTTTGTGGGGAAAATGATGAGTAAGCCTCCATCAGAGCTGAAAAAGTAATTGGTTGCTAAGCCTCCAAGCTACCACGTGAAGGCTTTGTTTTTATCCGTGCTAGGAACAACCAGCTGATGCTTTTTGGGGACTTTTTTGGGGGGAGCGATTTCCAGAAAATCCTTCTGGTTTATTTAATAGAGTCCGGAAGGTGCCAGCAGAGCAAACTTGAAAAAAGGATGCCAAATGGAATGAGGAAGGCTTTCCTAAAATCAGTCACTTGTGTGTGAGTTGGGCAGCTGTATAAATCTGGTAGATAGATAAAAGATACCGAAATGGGAAACCGTACTAGGAGGGAAATGCAGTATTCTTAGCGTGGATGCAAGACCCACCTGGAATACTGCATCCAGTTTTGGTCACCCTATTATAAAAAGGATGTTGAGACTCTGGAAAGAGTGCAGAGAAGAGCAACAAAGATGATTAGGAGGGTAAAACATAGGAAGAACGGTAGCAGGAATTGGGCATGTCCAGTTTAATGAAAAGAAGGACCAGGGGAGACACGATAGCAGTGTTCCAATATTTGAGGGGCTGCCCCAAAGAAGAGGGGATCGACCTATTCTCCAAAGCACCTGAGGGCAGGACAAGAAGCAACGGATGGAAACTCATCAAGGAGAGAAGCAACCTAGAATTAAGGAGAAATTTCCTGACAGTTAGAACAATTAATCAGTGGAACGACTTGCCTCCAGAAGTTGTGGGAAGGAAGGGAAAAGGAAGGAAGGAAAAAGAAAGAAAGAAAGAAAGAAAGAAAGAAAGGTAGATAAGAGAGAGAGACAGATAAGGATGGATGGAGGGATAGGGATGGATAGATACTATAGCTATAGAGACAGACAGATTTACTTGCTTACATGGGAGATGAAGTGAATTCTGGAGTTCTTTTTCTCTGCGATAACATTGATTTTTAAACTGCTCAGGAAGCCCTGTGTTTGTGCCAAAGGACTTACCACGTTGTGCAAGGTCAAAACCAATTACAGGCCATTTAAAGCTGCTCTTTCGTGGCTGCTTTTTTGACTGAGCCAGGCAGAGCAGAACAAGGAACATCCTGTGATCTGAATCTTAATTAGTATTTATCAGGCTGTCAGCGTGCCTCTCGATTGATTTAGAGAGAAGGATTCAAGAAGCCGGCGGAGCAGTATTATATTTTTATTGCATTTGGCCAACCGCTCGGTAGCTGGGACATCTAGCTGGAAAGTAGCTGGAAAGCCACGGGAATTCCTTCTAGCTCAGTGGATATGAAAGGAGGTGTTCCTCCTGTTGTTTTGCTCCCTTACACAATGCTCACGCTGAGTGAGTCAGAAAGAAACGGGGAAAATCAGCTAGCCGGCCTCTGCATTTAAACTCCAGGAGAGAGGAGGGGGCATCACATCAAGGTTGCAGTTAATTTGTCACCTTATATTTTCACTTGATACCACCGCTGAAGCATCAAACTGAGCGATGGAAGGATTACTGCGAGTTGCCGTTGTTTGCAATCCTCCCTAATGCGGTGTTTTTCTCAACCTTAGCAACTTTTAAAATACGTGAACTCCCGGAATTAGGGAGCCACAGCAGGGGGACAAAAGAGCCGCATGCAGCTCCGGAGCCGCAGGTTGCCGACATCCTCTTTAGGATGTTAGAATAGAAAAGAAAACCCTATTTTTGATTTGTTTCCATTTGCTTTTACATCTTCGTTGCCCTGTAATTGAGAAGGCAGAGTATTAATACTGGAATTGTACTGGAATTATCAATACTGTTCTGTTTGTTTATTGGCTGCATTTTTAGTCTGCTGTCCTCTCCAAGGGCTCATGAATTATACAAAACACTTAACATTTGGAAGATTAAATATTTCATTTGCCTTCTTCTTCAAATCCAGTCATCTGCATCCTAAAGCAACAAAGCAGGTTTGAGACCTTTCTCTTTTTCGTTTCAGGCGCAGATGGTGGACTGAGCTGGCCTGGAAAAAGAAGCCAATTCTTCCCCCAAGCTCTTTATCCGCTCCCTTTAGGGGGAGCCCAGCCACAAAATGGGGGACCCAAGAGACCTGTGTTCTCACCTGGATTGCATAGGTGAGGTCACCAAGGACGATATGCTTTTCAAGTCCAAGGTAAGCGGCCGTGTCACTGCAGCAACATTTCTCCTTGCTGGCATATACAGGTAATCCTCGAGTTACGGCCAAAATTGAGCCCAACATTTCTGTTGTTAAGTGAGACGTTGGTTCAGTGAGCTTTGTCCTGTTTTACGACTTTCCTCCCCAGAGTTGTTAAGTTAATTAGTGCCGTTGATAAGTTAGTAACACGGTTGTGAAGTGAATTTGGCTTCCTCGTTGAGTTTGTTCGTCAGAAGGTCGTAAAGAGGAGGTCACACAACCCAGGGACACTGCTGCCGTCATAAATGTGAGTCAGTTTCCAAGCGTCTGAATTCTGACCACGTGACCATAGGGATGCTGTAATGGTCATAAGTGTGAAACATGGCCCTACCTAAGCCACTTTTTTTCAGTGCCGTTTTAACTACGGTCACTAAACGAATGTAACTTGGGGCCTCCCTGTACATTCTTGTTTTAATTTAACAAAAAAAAAAAAAAAAAAAAAAAGGACACAAAACTGAAAATATGAAAGCTTTGTATTACTAAGCAATCAAACAATGATATGAAAATAATACACTCTATCTAAATAAAACATACACCGTATTTTTCGGAGTATAAGACGCAGCTTAGTTTTTGGGGAGGAAAATAAGAAAAAAAGCTGATTGGCAGGTGGATCGGCCTCCCGTTGTGAGCTCTGTGCCTTGCTTTTTTTTGCTTTTTTTTTCTGCCTCTGAAACTTCTGAAACTCCGTTTCAGGAAAAACTTTTTTTCCTGCCTCTGAAAGCCTCCGAAACAGAGCTTCAGAAAAAAAGCCTCTGAAGCTCTGGGGGCTTCTTTTCTGAAGCTTCTTTTCTGATGCTTTTTTCAGCCTCTGAAACCTCAGTTTGAGAAGCTGGACGGGGCTACATTCAGAGTATAAGACGCACCCAGATTTTCACTCTCTTTTTTTGGAGGGAAATGGTGCGTCTTATACTCCGAAAAATACGGTAGCCTATAAATGCATCAGAACATCACTGCTTCACTATTAACTACATCAGTATTGTTGGAAATCACCAGGAGTCATGTCAACATTTTTCATTTCCCCCCCCCCTCTTCCGTGTGAATCTAGGGAACATGCCAGTCTTGTGGTGCAGGAGGACCAAATCTCTGGGCCTGCCTTCAGGTAAGACCCCTCCCCCCCTTTGAAATCAAACTTTTGGGAAGTGGGGGGTGTTGTGTTCCTCCCGTTGTCAAGTCTGGTGAGTTACTGGGCACAAAGACTTGATTTTCTGCCTGCGTTTTCGGTTGCTTTCGTGGTGTGGAGACAATAACTTGGTCCTTAACACCAATAAGACCAAGGAGCTTATAGTGGACTACAGAAGGAATAGATCAGACATCCAGCCCTGAGACTGAGTGGAGCAAGTGGCCAGTTTTAAGTTTCTGGGTGTTATCCTAAAAGATGACCTAACCTGCGGCGCTCACATTGCAGCATTGGTCAAAAGGGCCCAACAGAGATTATACTACCTGAGACTTCTCAGGAAAAAACAACTGAATGGAAAACTGCTGGTGACCTTCTACCGCTGCACCATAGAGAGTATTTTAACTTACTGTATCTGTGTATGGCTTGGTCATTGCACAGTGGCGGATAGGACAACGCTCCAGAGGGTCAACGTCATTGCCCAGAGAATCATTGGTTGCCCCCTCCTCTCTTTGGAAGAGCTTTATAGCTCCCGCTGCCTTAAGAAAGTTCAAAACATCCTTAAAGATCCATCTCATCCTGGGCACCCTTTTTTTTTTTTGAACTATTACCATCTGGCAGCCGGTACAGGACAATAAAAACAAGGACAAATAGGCTGAAAAGCAGCTTCTATCCCAAAGCAGTAACTGTATTGAATTCTACTGTATAGTGCAATGTTAATGCAGTATCAGGGGTTTTCAATTCAATTGTATAGAGTGTGAAGGAGGTGTGTTTTGTGTTTTATAGTTAAAATGTACACTGAAGATGGTATTTAATTTCGAGGTGCAATGACAATAAAGTAAAGTTACAAAGCTAAACTGCCTTCCGCTTTCAATTAAATTTGCTTGAGCTTTAATAAGTCTCCCTGCTTCTCTAGGTTGGTTGCCATTATGTCGGTTGTGGAGAGTCCTTTGCGGATCACAGCACTTTGCACGCCCAGGTGAGAGGCTTTTCCCACCAACTTCGTTTGACTTAAGTTGAGTTAAGTTGATTCACGGACGTCGAGGCTCTGGAAAGAGCAATAAAGATGATAAGAGGACCGGAGGCTAAAATATACAAAGAACGGTTGCAGGAACTGGGCATGTCTAACAAAAAGAAGGACTAGGGGAGACATGATAGCAGTCTTCCAATATCTGAGGGGCTGCCCCAAAGAAGAGGGAGTCAAACTATTCTCCAAAGCACCTGAAGGCAGGACAAGAAGCAATGGGTGGAAACTAAGCAAGGAGAGAAGCAACTTAGAACTAAGGAGAAATTTCCTGAGACTTAGAACAATTAATCAGTGGAACAACTTGCCACCAGAAGTTGTAAATGCTCCAACACTGGAAGCTTTTAAGAAGATGGTGGATAACCCTTTGTCTGAAGTGGTGTAGGGTTTCCTGCCTGAGCAGCGGGTTGGACTAGAAGACCTCCAAGGTCCCTTCCAACTCTGTTATTCTGTAACTTGGTGAAGTCTGTGAGTCACAAACCCTAATTGCTATTTAAGTGTTGTTGTTGTTTTTTCTTTTTCTTTTTTCCTTTTCCCATCAACCCGCACCCAGGCCAAAAAGCACAATTTGACGGTCAACCTGACCACTTTTCGGGTGTGGTGCTACGCGTGCGAGAAGGAGGTGTTCTTGGACCAAAACCTGGCTTCCCATCCTACCAACCTGCCTTCCAAATTTATGGAACAGGTAAGCAAGCGGTTTTTGTGGACTGTGCTGACTTTATTCCTCCTCTCTTTTTTTTTTTTTTTTTTTACCCCCGTCGGTTCGAGAGTTGCTGAGCTCATTTTGGCTCGTGAGGTTTACATGGTTTACGCTTAAAAGACGGGCATCCTGAGCGCTGTTGCTTCCAGGGGGCGAGGGCGTTGCGAGGACCCAGATGATGGCTTTCCAAGGAGAACACTGCGCCCATCCCCCCCCCAAAAAAACCTTGCTTTTCCCATTCCTGCTCCAGGATTCTCTCCCACCTGTCCATCCGCTCAAAGCTGTTCCGATTGCCGTCGCTGACGAAGGAGAATCGGAATCGGAAGACGATGACCTCAAACCAAGAGGTGAGCCAGGTGCGGGTTTCTTTTGCCTGGGGGGCGGAGAGCGGCGGGGGGGGGGGGACCAAAGAGTTACAAACAGAAGCAAAAGGGTCTCCAGAGCTTCACACGTTCTATTCCTGCCCCTTTAGGCCTTACGGGGATGAAAAATCTTGGGAATTCGTGTTACATGAACGCTGCTCTCCAAGCTCTCTCGAACTGGTAGGTCGGAGAACGGTCATTACACGTAGTCCTTGAGTTACGACCGCAACGGAGCCCAAAATTTAGGATGCCAAGCGAAACGTTTGCCCCATTTTACGACTTTCCTTGCCGCTGTTCTTAAGCGAGTCATCACATTTATTAAGTGAGTCAGGCGGTGGTTAAGGCAATCTGGCTAACCCCTTGCCTTTGCTTGTCAGAAGGCCGCACTGCGACCGTCATAAATACGAGTCGGTTGCCCAGAGTCTGAATTTTGATCACATGACCACGGGGGGGGGGATGCTTCAGCGGTCGTAAGTGTGAACAATGATCACAGTGGTCCGCTTTTGTGACCTGACGAGCAAAGTCAATTAGGAAACCAGATTCATTTAACAACCGCTCAACTAACTCAACAGCCGCAGTGATTCCCCTAATCGCTTTGGCAAGAAAGGTCATAAAATGGGGCAAGACTCACTTTAACAACTGTTTCGCTTAGCAACAGAAGTGTTGGGCTCAGTTGCGGTCGTTAAGTCGAGGGCTACCTGTAAGTTTGAACAGAGAACGCTCTCTTTTTTTCCGTTTTGGTCTGTGACTCTGCATGAAACGGACAGAAGTGTTCTCACCAGCCTTCTTAACCTCCGTTTTAGCCCCCCACTCACACAGTTCTTCCTGGAATGCGGTGGTCTCGTGAGAACCGACAAGAAGCCGGCGCTCTGCAAAAGTTACCAGAAGCTGATCTCCGAAGTCTGGCACAAAAAACGGTGAGTTGGTTGAGGAGAGCCCAGTTTGTGAGAGGTAAATATTGTGGTCCGCCAGCGGCCTGAGGAGCTCGCAGCAGAGTCAGACAGTGAGGAGGCTGGTGAGGAACACGGGCCAGTCCTGGAGTCTGGGAAAGGCTGGGACGAGGGCTCTGCATCAGAGGCAGAGAGGGGGCCAGGGCCATCTGGAAGTTATGTGCTGCCTCCGGAGCCTCCAGAGTCGGACATCAGCGAGGCAGGGAACAGGGGGAGCCTGTTCCCAATGCATACTTGCGCAGAGCTGCCAGAAGGCAAGAACAGTTAAGACAAAAGGGGCAACTTGGGAGTAAGGCTTGGAGATGATTGGCCCCTCCCATAAGACCTAAAGGAGGAGCAAAGGCACATGAGCCTTTGCAGGAAGCAACTTTGTTCGTTCTGGTGGGTTTAAATTCTGAAGCTCCGTTTTGACTCTGTGCTCCGTGTGGCCTTGCAAAGATAATTGCCGATTAGGTCTTTGGCAGCGTGTCAAGGGAGATAAAGGTGGGTGCTTATCAGCCTTATCCCAAAAGACTGTGGCAGACTTCTGTCGGGCTCTTTACAAACTATCTGTGACTCCACGGGCTGTGAATGAACAGAATTCACAGCCGTTGAAATTAAAAGAGGGTTTTTGGGGCGAATCGTGTGCTTTTTCCTGTCTCAGGAAGCCTAGGCCAGAACAATAAAGGAAAGACTTAGAATTGGTGGTGGGTGGATGCATGGATAGGAAAAAAAAAAAAAACACACACACACACACACATATACACAATCCTTTCACTGATCTCTGAGCTTGGTTGTTTTCTTGTAGACCTTTCATGACCGAACTAGGTAACATCATCAGTGCTAGGAGGAAGTGAGGTTTGCTCCTGTTTATATATTAGAAGCTCTGAGCCGGGTTGTTTTCTCGCAGACATTTCATTACTGAACTATATAAGGTGATGATGACGTTAACTAGTCAGGTCATGAAACTTCTGCAATCAAAACAACCAAGCTCCGAGCCACTGTATGTAAACGGTATGTCACACTCACTAGCACTGATGATATAAGCTAGTTGGGTAATGAAACGTCTGCAAGAAAACAATCAAGCTCAGAGAGCACCAAGGACCCCACAGTCCTTTTCTTCCTCCTCCTCCTCTCCCCAAACTCCATTCCCTACTAGCCCTGAGGATGTTACCTAGTTGGGTAATGCAATGTCTTGCAAGCAAACAGCCAATCTCCGAGCTACTGTACATAAACAGGGAGCAAACCTCACACTCACTAGCCCTAATGATGTTCCCTTGTTGAGTCTCGAAAGGTCTGTAAAAAAACCACCCCAGCTCAGAAGGCACCAAAGACCCCACGATAAACCGCTGGCTGTTTAAATGGTCTCTCCTTTGTTTGTTATCTCTGCTTGTCCTCCCTTCCTCCTAGCCCGAGCTACGTTGTCCCCAGCAGCCTCTCTCACAGCATCAAGCTGATCAACCCCATGTTCCGGGGCTACGCACAACAGGTGAGCAAATTCCCTCTGCTGAGATGGGAATGACCTGGGATCTCCTTCCTGCGACGGTTACAAGCGATTCTTAATCTTCCTCGCTATGGAAATAACCATTTCCCTATTACTGGGTACAGAATCTTGCCTCACTTAATGTCTTGGATCACCAAAACGTTTTGTAGCTCGTTAGAGGGACGTCTGCCTTTTCAGAGTTTGTTGCAGCACCCACGATTGCAGACACGATGAAATGAACTTCAGCAGGATTCAAATTACATAAGAACCTTCTTTATATACAATACTGTGAGGTTTATTTAAAGCATCCAAAATTTATGCTCGCTAATTCGACGGACAACTCTGATGTTCGAACAAAGGAAGGTTTTATCGAATTGCGTTTGCAAAGGCAGGCCTCCACGTCCCTTCCCAATGTGGATTGAGATCGTGAAGCGCGCTTTTCAAGTTCCACACCATGCATTTATACGTGTTCCACGCAATATACGTCACGCCTAAGATCCCTTACATTCTGCGTTCATGACAAAGGTGTGATTTACCCCTGCCTTGTTACAACAGGATCTATCTTATCTTGTCTTTTACCATTTGTCCAGAGCGTGGGCTTAGTTCCTTGAACATTCAGATCGAGCTGACACACGGTGATTAGCTCTTTATCATTTGTGGTTTTTATTTGGCCTTGTACTGAGGCTTGCGGTAAGAGTTACTGACTTAAAAGTATTTTATAATTCTTCCGATACGTTTTATAAAAGAGTAACTTTCCATCCATTCTCACAATACCGTACAGCAGAATTCAGCATACAACATGAGGAACACAGAAGCAATATTCATGGAAGCAAGTCATTACAGAGTAGAGAGATGCAGAGGCTAATATTGTACAGGGCAGGCAGGGGTGCTATTCAGCAGGTTCTGGAGAACCTATAGCGGAAATTTTGAGCAGTTCGGAGAACCGGCAAATACGACCTCTGGCTGGCCCCAGAGTGGGCTGGGAATGGGGATTTTGCAGTATCCTTCCTCTGCCACGCCCACCAAGCCACACCACACCCACAGAACCGGTAGTAAAATAATTTGAATTCCACCACTGGTACAGGGGCACCCATTACAGAGGCCGAACCAACTCTTATATACAGTTCAAGTCTAAGCCATGCCCAGACTCCAAACTCTGTTATGGCCCCATACACACAAATACTCTGTTTCAGTTACCAAACAGCCCTCATTGGCTGACCCAGTTGCCTATGTCCTATTCCAGTTCATGAATATACTCTGACATGCCTTCTTTTGAATAAGCCCCATTTTCCCCCCTAGCCCCATTTTTATTTCCCTAGCAAACCTGGCGTCTCTTTCCGTCCCCTTCCCAGGACACGCAAGAATTCCTCCGCTGCCTGATGGACCAACTACACGAAGAGCTGAAGGAGCCGATGACGGCAGAACTGCGCGACTCGGACACGAGCGACACGGACGACAAGCGAGAGGGCGACCGCAGCCCTTCGGAGGACGAGTTCCTCTCCTGCGACTCGAGCAGCGACCGCGGGGAAGGGGACGGGCAGAGCAAAGCAGGCTCCGCCGAAGCGGAGCTGCTGATCCAGGAGGAGGCGGCCGGCCGCAGCATCTCCGAGAAGGAGCGGATGAAGGAGCGGAAGTTCTCCTGCCACCAACGGCGGAGCAACTCGGAGCAAGTCGACGAAGATGCTGACATCGACACCTCGGTGATGGCGGTGGAGGGCGGGGCTTCTCCGGAAGGGCTCCTCCCACCCCCTCCACGACCCGCCAGCCCTGCAAGGACCCCAGGTAGGGTCCATGTGAGGTATACCTCCTTCCTTCCTTCCTTCCTTCCTTCCTTCCTTCCTTCCTTCCTTCCTTCCTTCCTTCCCTTTCTCATTTATTTTTCTTCTCTTTTCTCTTTTCCCATGTTTCTTCCATCCTTCCTCCTTCCCTCTCTCCCTTCTCCATTCCTATCCCTTTCTTCTTCCTTCCTCTCTCTCATCCTCTCCCTCCCTCCGTCTCCTCATCCACCTTCCCTCATTTATTATGTAACTTCCTTCTCCTTTTTCCTTTTCCCATCTTCCCGCCTCCCCTCCCTCTCTCTTTTCATCTTCTCCCTTCTTCCTTCCTTTTTTATCTTCTCCTCCTCTTTCTCCTTCTCCTCTCTGCCGCCCAGAGTCACCTTCCACGGGAGACAGGAGACATACAAGTTTAATAAATAAAACCTCATCATTCCCAACTGCTCTTGTCCATTCCCAGAACCAGATAATGACGCCTATTCACGTTGTCCCTCGCGGCCCTGCAGCCCTGTCCACCACGATGTCTACTCCAAACTCTCCAATCCTCCACATTCCAGCCCGGTGAGGCTGGGACACTCGTACGTGCTGAAGAAAGGTAGGAGGAGAGTGTGTCTAGGCGAGGGGGTTATTTGAGTCCTCGCTTGATCGCCCCCCTTTGCTGCCGGGGTTGTTAAGTGAATTTGGCTTCCCCATTGACTGGGAATCTGAAGGACCTGGGATAGGCAAACGTTGTCGGATGGGGGTTATAGGCGTCGTTGCAGGATGTCAGCTGTTCCAAGCGAAGCTGCCTTTTGCAATTGACCGATGGCAATTTTGTCAATGCCGATGGTGGCACAGTAGTTAGAATGCAGGATTGCAGGCTAACTCTGCCCACTGCCGGGAGTTCGATCCTGACCAGTTCAAGATGGACTCAGCCTTCCATCCTTCCGAGGTGGGTAAAATGAGGATTGTTGGGGGCAAGAGGCTGACTCTGTAAGCCGCTTAGAGAGGAGGGCTGTAAAGCCCTGTGAAGCGGTATATAAGTCTTAAGTGCTGTTGCTATTGGTGTGCAAGTGTGCTTCCGGATATTTTGCAATTGCACCCAAGGCGCCTATCGCTGCTGGTTAGTATCTTTCTTCTGCTGCAGTAATTCTGTTTTTATTCCCCTCCTTCTTCAGCTCAGCTGTTGACTTCCGGAAAAAAGAAGAAAGAGTTACGTTACCGTAGCGTCATTTCTGACATCTTCGACGGCTCCATTCTCAGCCTCGTCCAATGCCTCACCTGTGACCGAGTGAGTTTCTGTGCTCTTGGAAAGAAGCCGTCCCTTTCCCACACCCTCTCCTTCGGCTGTGGCTGCAAGCCGCACCAGATTTCGGCCCCAGGGAGTTTTTCCTAGGTTTTGGTCTAGGAATGATTGGGACAGGCAGGGACTTACTTTCCTTGCAAGAGCCAATTGTGCAGTGGCTCAGTGGCTAAGACGCTGAGTTTGTCGATTGAAAGGTTGGCAGTTCGGCGGTTTGAATCCCTAACAGGGTGAGCTCCCGTGACTTGTCCCAGCTTCTGCCAACCTAGCAGTTCAAAAGCACGTAAAAAAATGCAAGTAGAAAAATAGGGACCACATTTGGTGGGAAGGAAACAGCGTTCCGTGCGCCTTTGGCGTTGAGTCATGCCGGCCACATGACCACGGAGACGTCTTTTGGCAGTGCTGACTCTTCGGCTTTGAAATGGAGAGGAGCACCGCCCCCTAGAGTCGGGAACGACTAGCACATATGTGCGAGGGGAACCTTTACCTTTACTGAGGTTTAGCCTTCCGAGCTCTCGTGCTGGAGCTCATCCTTAGGGACCTTCTCCCTATCGGAATGGGTGCTTTGGGCTATTCTATGCATCGTATTTATGTGCTGCCTTCCTATTGGCTGGCTGGTGTGTCGATGGCCAGGAATTGGCTGTTGTTTCCTTGTGCTGCCATGTCCTCAGCTCCTAAGGACTTGATAGGCTGGTGATAAATCAGCATTTCTGTTGACTGACAAGTAGTCCATTTACCTGGCTATTTTTGTACCTGCTCGGCCAACAATCTTAGTAGCTTGTGGAATTGAACATACGCCCTCGTTCATCGGCTTTCATTTCCCCTTACTTTCTTCTCTCTTCCTTCGATGCCCTCCAGGTTTCCACCACTGTAGAGACTTTCCAGGATCTGTCGCTGCCGATTCCCGGGAAGGAAGATTTGGCAAAACTGCATTCAGCCATTTACCAAAATGTGCCCATCAAGGCAGGAGCGTGCGGCGACAACTACGCCGCCTCGCAGGGCTGGATCGCCTTCATCATGGAATACATTCGCAGGTCTGTGGGTCTTGGAAGCGCCTTCCGATGTTGAGGCCAGCTAGGGAATTCTGGGAGTTGAAGTCCACACCTCTAAAGTTAAGAAACACCGCTCTATTGTTTCTTGATTTCTTGTATTTGCACGCTGACTTTGCTAGGTTAAAACAGGCCACATGGTTGAGAAGGAGGAGTCTGTTTTTCCTAATTTTCCTAACAGGAAACAGGAATTTGAGAGAGCCAAATTCACAATCACATTTCTGGCAAAAGGGTCAGGAGTGAGTATTGGGTCCAAAATGTGGTGCGTGGATGAAGACAGATTTGAACCTGGGGTCCTCCCCGATCCATTTCAACGCTCACATTGAAGACCTGCTCTTTGGGATTAGTGGAGAGGAAGAGGACTGTGGGGTCCTTGGTGCCCTCTGAGCTTGGTGGTTTTTTTACGGACATTTCACTACCAAACTAGGTAACATCATCAGCGCTGGAAGGGAGCTAGCTTCCACCCAGTGCTGCCTTCTAGCACTGATGATGTTACCTATTCCGGTAATGAAACGTCTGCAAAGCGAATCTTAAAATATCGTTGATGGTTGAAAACCAAATTCTCTGACACTGAATGTAAGAATGTAAGAATGTAAGAATGTAAGACAATTGGCCCTCAGCCTTCTGTAGTCGACTTTAATTTTTACCAGTGCAAAAGATCAGTTTGGAGCCTAACATGGTCCAGAATTGGGGCTCAGAATGATACACACACACACACGAGTGGTTTTCCAGCTGCAAATCCGTAATTACAAGCAGGGTGTCAGGTCCATAGTGACTCACACAGCACCTCCTTTCTCCTTGTCTTCTCCAGGTTTGTGGTCTCCTGTATCCCCAGCTGGTTTTGGGGCCCCGTCGTTACTCTGGAAGACTGCCTGGCTGCCTTTTTCGCCGCCGACGAGTTGAAAGGTGTGTTTGCAGGGAGGAAGGCTGCTTAGAAGCCTCTTGTGCTGCTTACAGGCCCTCGAAAGAAAAAGGTTGGGGTGGGTGGGGTTTACAAGTTGTCCTTGACTTATTAGCTCTCGTACTTACAGCCGTCACAGCATTCCCAGGGTTATAGAATCAAAATTCGGGCACTGGCAAGGATTTACGACCGTTGCGACATCCTTGGGTTACCTGATCGGCCATTTGACACCTTCCCAGCCAGCTTGCCACAAGCAAAAGTCCATTGGGGGGAGGGGAGCCAGTTTCGGTTAACGACTGGATGATTTGCTTAACAATTGCAGTGGTTCGCTTAACCATGCCAAAAAAAGAAAGAAAAATCACATAATCAGATGGGACGCGCTGAATAACTGCCTTGCTTAGCAGTGGCTGTGCTGGTCCCAATTGTGATTATAAAAAGTAATTCGACGACTATTGGTAGACATGTGGGTTTGTGTTTTAATTTTCCAGTTTGATCACCTGGTGGTCCCCTATCGAAGCCCAACCCAAGTCAGCCTTGCATAGTTTTCTTTTTGGGCAGAGGGAGTTGAGAGAGCGAGGAAGAAATGAGCAATGTGGGTTAGGGCACCCTAACCACTTCTGCCTTCACCTTGCTTTCTCTTCTAGGCGACAACATGTATAGCTGTGAAAAATGTAAAAAGTAAGTCCCTTTTCCCACCCTCCCTTCCCAGATATTTTCCCTGGTGGTGTTCTGATCTAGGCTTCCCCAGCAGCACGAAGCCGAGTCCTTGTCCCATCAAAAAACCCTTTTATTTAATTTACAGTGAATTCCTCTCCAGCAAAGTCTTCCCTCTCCCACAGTCTTTCAAGATAATTCACAATGACCGACCTTGATCAGGCTTGGAGAGTGGCCAGGCCGATATCTTTCAGACGCCTGCAATACTTGGCAAGAATGCAGGAAAGAACTAATTGTCTCCTGCAAACTCCACTCCCCTTTCGCTCCTCTTTTATTCCCTCTGGGAGGGGCCATTCATCGTCCACCTGTGGCCTTACTCCCAAGTTGACCCTTGTTTCTTAGCTGTTCCCTTCCTCTGGCAAACTGTGCATGCGCACACGGGGAACAGGCCCCAGCTGTTCATCTGCCTCACTGATGTCTGACTCCGAAGGCAGCTGATAACTGGCATACGGCCCTGGCCCCTCTCTCTGCCTCCAACGCAGAGCCCTTGTCTGAGCCTTCCTCAGACTCCAGGACTGGCCCACGTTCCTCCCCAACCTCCTCACTGTCTGAATCTGCTGCCAGCTTCGCTGGCTGCTGGCAGGCCACAACTGGTGGCTCCCAATTTTGCAAATTTTGAGAAACGACGCTCAGCATCTCGTTGGGAGAATAAAATTGGAAGCGACTAAATTAGCGGGTCAAGGAAAGTTGGCTGGGGAATTCCTGGAGTTGAAGTCCAGATATCTTAAAAGTTGCCACGTTTGAGAAATCCTGGATGAATCCTTTTTTTTCTCTTTTGGTTCCTCCTCCAGGTTGCGGAACGGAGTCAAGTATTGTAAAGTGCTGCAGCTGCCTGAGGTGAGCCGTTCCCCTTTGCTTGGGTTTTGTCAACAACGTTCGGCTAAATTTCTCCCTTGGTTAATGGAAAGGAAAGGAAAGGAAAGGGATTCTCCACCATTCGGTCAGAACCGAAGAAGCTTCTTGGATGAGAAGGGAAACATCTTCAAGGAAAAACAAAGAAAGTCCAGTTGCCTCTTGAGGAAGCACTTTTGGGGAAAGGGAAGGGAAAAAGGAAAAGAAGTACTGTATTTTTCAGAGTATAAGATGCACCAGAATATAAGACGCATCTTAGTTTTTGAGGAGGAAAATAGGAAAAAAAAGAATTCTGCCAGCAGGTATTCATCTGGTTAGCGTCCTTAGTTTGGTTAGCTTCATGCACATTAGTTCGCTGGTTTTGAGAGTGTGTGCGCTACACTTGCATGCGCCTGGTTGGGGATAAAAAATAGCTTCTAAAGCACAGCTGATGGTCGGAGAGAGAAACAATGAGAAAAGCAGGTGAAAGGCGGAAGATCGCTTTCCTCGCTAGCGCCTCGTTAGGGCTCGAAAAAAGCTTCGAAAAAGCGACATTTGGAGTATAAGACACACCCAAATTTTCAGCCTCTTTTAGGGTGGGTGGGGAAAATGCATCTTCTACTCTGAAAAATATGGGAAAGGAAAGAGATGAGAAAGGGAAGGGAAGGGAAGGAAGGAAGGAAGGAAGGAAGGAAGGGAAAAAAGGAGGAAGGAAGAGAACGGGAGAAGGAAGGAACAGAGGAAGGGAAAGAAGGAAGGAAAGATGAGAAAAAGGGTGGGGGGGAGAATGGTGACTTCCTCAAGAGCAGCTAGTGGGTTATGATCCCTGCAGGCATTTTTCAAACTCTTCCTCCCTGCTTGCCCCCCCCCCCCCCCCTCAGGTCCTCTGCATCCACCTGAAGCGTTTCCGGCACGAAGTCATGTACTCCTTTAAAATCAACAGCCATGTTTCCTTCCCCCTGGAAGGCCTGGACCTCCGGCCCTTCCTGGCCAAGGAGAGCGTCTCCAAAGTCACCAACTACGATCTCCTCTCGGTGATTTGCCACCACGGCACGGCCGGCAGTAAGTCCCCTTCCTTCGTGTCCCTCGGCTCCTCTGAACGGATTCTGGAAACGCAGGCCACTGGGTCAGGACCCCGCTTCAATTCTCGGCCTCTCGGTCCTAGGTGGACATTACATCGCCTATTGCCAGAACATGATCAACGGCCAGTGGTACGAATTTGACGACCAGTACGTGACGGAAGTGCACGAAACGGTCGTGCAGAACGCCGAGGCTTACGTCTTGTTTTACAGGTAAGGGTAATCTTGTTTCAGGTAGTCCTCGATTTACGACCACAGTTGAGCCCACCATCACACCGTCACCTGGTGATTGGCCCAAAGTCACCCAGCCGGCTTTCATATCTAAGGTGGGACTAGAACTCACTGTCTCCTAGTGATTGGCTCAAGACCATCTAGCCAGTTTTCGTGCCTAAGTTGGGACTAGAACTCAATTAACCCAAAGGCACCCAGCTGACTTTCATGCCTAAGGCAGGACTAGAACTCACCATCTCCTGGTGATTGGCCCAAAATCACCTAGCCAGTTTTCATGCATAAGGTGGGACTAGAACTCACCATCTCCTGATGATTAACCCAAAGGCGCCCAGCTGACTTTCATGCCTTAAGGTAGGACTAGAATTCACTGTCTCCTGGTGATTGACCTGAGGTCACCCGGCCGGATTTTATGCCTAAAATGGGACTATAACACACCCATCTCCTGGTGAATGGCCCGAAGCCACCAGCCAGCTTTCATATCTAAGGCAAGACTAGAACTCACCGTCTCCCACTTTGTAGCCCTGGTGCCTTTTCTACAAGACCAAACTCTTTTATTTCCTCCTCTTGTTTCTTTCGAAACGTCCTACAGAAAAAGCAGCGAGGAGGCTGTCCGGGAGCGCCAGAAAGTTGTCTCGTTGGCCACCATGAAGGAGCCCGGCCTGCTGCAGTTTTACATCTCCCGCGAATGGCTGAACAAATTCAACACCTTCACAGAGCCCGGACCCATCAGCAACCACACTTTCCTCTGCTCCCACGGAGGTGAGCGGGTGCTGCGTGTTGTTGTCGTCCTTTGTGCTTCTCTTCAGCAAATTTGTTGCAGAATAACATTCGGGGGTTTCCTTGGGATTTTGAGACTTTGGGGAGTTCCTTAGCCTATTTTTTTTTTTCAAATACAAATAGCCCTCAACGTACGACCCCAATTGAGCCTAAAATTTATGTTGTTAAGTGAGTTTTGCCCCATTTTTCAGTCTTTGTCAGGGTTCCGACGGATGCTCTAATTAAATCATGAGTCTCGAGCCAAGCTTCAAAAAAAATCCAGTTATTTATTAGGAGCTTCATGTCGGCATGCTCCCAAGTGTTCCCAGCTCTGACCCAACATAATTTATGCTTCAATTATGATCCTGTTTCCCTTCCCTCAGGGTGTGTCATCAATCACACTCCCAACGGAACAATTTCGAGGGTTGACCTCCCCTAGGCTGCTGTAGGTAACCCTGGGATACAGCCTTGACAGAGATAAATGTGAAATGTGCATCTGTCTTTGGCTGCTTTTTTTTTTTGCTCTGGTTGTTAAGTGATTTCCTTGCTGCCCTCCCCACACACTTCACTTGTCCGAAGCCGGCTGGGAGGGTCTGAAACAGTGATCCCGTGACCCTCCTAGGACCCTACAACCATCATAAATACGAGACAATTGCCCACATAATTGTGGAATCACCGTAGGTGGTCATAAATGCGAGAACTGGTTGAAAGTCCTATTGTTCAGTTCCTTGATAACTTCCAGCGGCCCAGTTCTTAACTCTCTCTGTTTATCTTTCCCCATAGGAATTCCACCGAATAAATACCATTATATTGACGATCTGGTGGTGATTCTGCCCCAGAATGTTTGGGAATACCTGTATAACAGGTAAGGAGTTTCCTCTCCCAGTGGTTCAGCCACTGTTGGGAGTTACTGTTCTTTTCCTCTTGGTCTCCTGTCCATCCCCAGGAAAACCATTTGCAGGAGAAGAAGGAATGTTCAGGGAAACACAGGACGTGTCCCCCTTCCTTAAGAACCGTTATCATTGTGCTGCTATGTTATTGGGCAGGTTAGATTTGGTTGCCTCACACAGGTTGTTTAGTTTTAATAAAGTCAATCCTCGACTTACGACTTACAAGTGAGCCCAACATTTCTGTTGCTAAACAGAAAGTTTTTCTTAATTTTTATTTATTTATTTATTTAGAAACATATCAATGCGTGAACAGTGTGGCACCTGGGTGTTATACATTCTAATACAAATAAAACTAGTAGAATTAACCATAGTTATTACACTCAACCAACTTATATATTTCTAATAACAATAATACACATTTATATTAAGTTGCAGGCTGTCGTTATTCAATTATTCCACGTTTTCTCTTATTATTGCTTTTATTTTATTATATAAAAGCGTAGACACTAACAGTCCCCCTTTCTCTTATTTCTCTCTCTCATTCTAACTTTTAATCATGACACAGAAACAGTTGTTAAGTGAGTTTTCCCCCATTTTATGACCTTCCTTGCCACAGTTGTTAAGTAACAGTGAACGGGGAAGCCAGATTCATTTTAAGAACCGGGTTTAGCTGCAGTGATTCACTTAACAACTACGGCAAGAAATGGGCCCAAACTCACTTCACAAATGTCTCGCCGAACAAAATTAATTTGGGACTCTGTTGTGCTCGCAAGTCGAGGGCCACCTGTGTTCATTTCACACTTCAAATGGCCGCTGAATGGATGGTTATAAGCAGTGGTGACATTCAATTTTTTTTTCCAATTTTTTCCCTATTTTTGGGGGGGGGGAGTCCTGTGACTGAGTGGGCATGGCCAACTCGATGTCACTCACAGCCACGCCCAGTCACATGACCCCCCATCCCCACCCACCAACCAAGCCACACCCACAGAACCCAGAATGTGTGTATGAGCACCAGAAGGGCTCATAGTGAATGCTGTGGCAGAGAGAAGCCAAACTTTTCTCTCTCCATTCACAGCGGAGTGCGCTGCTCCCTTTATGGTCCTCCTCCTGGCCCCCTCCCTCCCGAGGATTACCTTAAAGGGACCGGCTGCAGCAGCTCCGCTGAGAATGGAGAGAGAAAATTTCGGATTCTCTCTGCTGCAGCATTTAAGGTTGAATGGGGCGAGTGGCTGGAAGGGGTGAGGGGTGAGTAGGGGAGCGGGAGGGTGTGGGCGGGGCCAACCAGGAGTGGTTTTTACCGGTTCAGCGAACCAATTCAAATCGTCCCTACCGGTTCGCCCAAGCCAGTCCGAACCGGTTGAATTTCACCTCTGGTTATAAGTTGAGGACTTCCTGTAAAATGCCTCCTGATCTCCCAAGTGACGAGACCCAGGAAAATCCACCTTCTCAGTCCGGAGTAGAGTATCCCTTGCAGGGGTTCAATCCCGGGACGCAACAAGGCGCTATTTGAGTTTTCAGCACCTGTTTTCTTTCCGTGCTCAGGTTTGGGGGTGGCCCAGCCGTGAATCACCTCTACGTCTGTTCGGTGTGCCAGGTGGAGATTGAAGCCCTGGCTAAGCGGAGGAAAATGGAGATTGACACGTTCATCAAGGTAACGTCGTCCGTCCGTCGTCGTCCCCCCCCCCCCCCCAGTTGGCGTGGTGGGGTTGGGAGTCACGACAACGCTGGGTTCAGCGGGAGAGGCTGGCTGGGTTTGCAAAGGGCCCCCTCCCAATTGAAAAAAAAAATTCGGAAGCTGGAAAGGGAGGTCCGGAGTATGCAGACAACAGCCTGGGATTTACCCCAAAGAGTGTACACTTACGACCACAATTGAGCCCAAAATTTCTGTCGTTAAGCGAGACATTTGTTAAGTGAGATTTGCCCCATTTTTAATTTTTTAATTAATTAATTTTTTTTTGCAAGCCAAAGAACTTGCAAGTCTTGCTCAAAAGAGTCACAATGGCAGCCAGGAGCCGAGATCTATCCATTGGGTATGTGCGTTGCCCCGAAAAACAGATTTAAAGAGTTTTAATGGCTCCGTTGCAGCAGCCTTCTTCACTTTGGGGGGGTCTCCCCAGTGGATGAGATTTTTGAGGGACCCTTTATAAATCCTCTAATAAGGCCAACCTGGAATACGGCATCTAGTTTTGGTCCCCACATGAGAAAAAATATGTGAAAAGTGCAGAGAAGAGCAAGTAAGATGATTATTTATTATTTATTTATTTATTTATTTATTTAATTTGATTTATATGCCGCCCTTCTCCGGAGACTCAGGGCGGCTTACAGTGCGTTAAGCAATAAGCAATAGCCTTCATACTTTTGTATATTTATACAAAGTCAGCTTATTGCCCCCACAAACTGGGTCCTCATTTAACCTACCTTAGAAAGGATGGAAGGCTGAGTCAACCTTGAGCCTTGGAGAGATTCGAACCAGCAGTAAATTGCAGGCAGCTGTGTTAATAACAGGGTGCTTTAAACCACTGTAGTACCAAGGCTCTGTTTAAGGGCTTGGAGACAAAAATATATGAAGAACAGTTGCAGGAACTAGATATGACTAGTCTGGAGAAAAGAAGGATTGGGGGGGACATAATAACAGTCTTCCAGTATTTGAGGGGCTGCCCCAAAGAAGAGGGAGTCAAGCTATTCTCCAAAGCCCCCTGAGGGCAGGACAAGAAGCAACGGGTGGAAACTAACCAAGGAGAGAAGCAACCTGGAATTAAGGAGAAACTTCCTAACAGTGAGGAAAATCAACCAGTGGAACTGCTTGCCACCAGAAGTTGTGGGTGCTCCATCACTGGAGGCTTTTAAGAAAAGACTGGACGGTCACTTGTCTGGAATGGTATAAGTCTTCCTGCCTGAGCAGAGGGTTGGACTAGAAGACCTCCAAGGTCCCTCCCAGCTCTGTTCTGATTGACCCCCTGGGAGGTTTCATTTCCCCCCCACCCCCACCCCCGCCTGACCTCTCCCCCTTTCATCCCCCCTCCAGCTGAACAAAGCTTTCCAGGCGGAGGAGTGTCCAAGCGTCATTTTCTGCATCAGTATGCAGTGGTTCCGTGAGTGGGAAGCCTTCGTCAAAGGGAAGGACAACGGTGAGACGCTGGCGGGAGATGGGGACCCCCACAAAGATGTGGACCAGGAAGCGACATCCGCTTCACCGCTGATTGGAAACGGCGGGATGAAAACTGGGCTCCCGGGCAATCGATGCTCCTCTTCCTCGGTCCTTTCCGACAATGCCCAGCCTCGTGATTGTGACTGTCACAATTAAGTCTAGGAAGGGGGGAAGCCGTTGCATTAAGGGCGTCGAGGCCACTTGGTTGAATCGCCTCCTTTGATTTGTGTAGCCGTCCTTGAACGAGGACGCTGGTTTTACTAAACAGTAACCTTTCGTTAACGAGGGGGGGGGATTGCGCTTCAATTCCCGAGGTCGCTTGGTTATTTTGTCTCCATTCCATTCCATTTCATATTTTTTTTTAAAATCTCGTTTCTGTTTTGTTTTCTTATTTTATTTTATTATTTCTTTGTTTTGTTTTATTTCATTTTATTTTATTTCATTGTATCTGTATCCTGGAGTGGTGGCCGTGAGGTGGAGCTCTCGCCTCCCCAATCAGGAGGCTGTGAGTTCAATCCTAGGTAGAGGCAGATATTTCTCTCTCTGGGCACAATGAGAATATATCTGCTGCAAACTCCGCATTGGCGACAGGAAGGGCATCCGGTCAGTAAAGACTCAGCTCCATTCAGTTGCCCCGACTCCACCCGGATACAAGGGATTACGGGAGTCATTAAAAGACCCAAAAAAAAAAAGTATTTGTATCCTGCCTTTGGCTAAACCACATCCAGAGCAGGAGGCCGCCCTCAACGCTGCACATTCCCCAACAAACAACTCACAAACCCGGTTTTTATTTCCCGCAGAGCCTCCTGGTCCGATCGACAACACCAAAATTGCCGTGGCCAAAGGAAGCGGCCACATGCAAGTCAAACAGGGTAAGGAAGAGTCTCCGTCGGGCCAATCAAAGACTGAAAAACCCAACTTGCCTCGAACAGGGTTTCAGGCTCTTGAGTTCTTTTTTTTGAAAAGTTTTTTCAGTTTTATTTCCTTTTATACACATAATATAAAATGTACATTTTCTTATACATAATTAATCATATATGTATATATTTTCCTTAAAGAAAGCATTAAAATAAGACCTTTTAATTACCTTCCGCCTTCTTCTTCTCCTTGCTTTCCCTTCCCAACCTCCTCTCCTTTCCTACTTTCTCCTTCCTCCTCTCCTCTCCCCTACTTCCCCTTCCTTTCCCCCACTCCTCTCTTCTTTCCCCCTTCTGGCCTTCTCTCCTACTCCTGTCCCCTGTCTTTCCTTCCTTTTCCCTTTCTTCCTTTCCTCTCACTCCCTCTCCTCTTCCTACCCTCTACTACTCCCTCTCCTTTCTATCTTCTTTGCTATATAATATTCTTCTTGTCTGGTATCCGAGCAGTTCCTATATTCTAATCATATATACTTTCTTTCAATTTCTTTTCAAATTTATTCTATCTATCAAATCTAGATGGCACCAGAGAAAATTGAAAAGGGGGAAGGGAGAAAGAAGAGTATAATATACAATTACGATGATAATATTGATAGAGGCTCTTGAGTTCAAATGCTGCCAGAATCTCTCCTGATCGGCCCTCGTGTCTTTTTCCAGGAGCCGATTACGGGCAGATCTCGGAGGAGACCTGGATCTACTTGAGCACGCTCTACGGCGGAGGCCCCGAAATCGCCATCCGGCAAAACGTGGCCCAGGTGCAGGAGGTGGAAAGTCTCCACGGGGAACAGAAGATCGAAGCCGAGACCAGAGCTGTTTAAAAAACGAGGGACGCATTCAGGTGAGCTGCCTGGAGAACCCAAAAGTGGACGTACCTTCAGCCATCCGGTTGCTTGGTTTACTGTATTTTTCGGAGCATAAGACGCTCCGGACTATAAGACGCACTTACCTTTTTTGGTGAGGAAAACAAGAAAAAGAAATCTGCCTCTGCCTCCCAGCAATTTTGCCTGGTTGCAGCAAACAGCCTGCTTTACTTTCATTTTCGTTTTCAGCATAGCTTGATTAGCACAAGGAAAAAAAAAATCTGCTCCGAGCAATTTACCTCCTTGCAGCAAGCAGCAGAGGCCCTGCGCAAAACAGCTGAGAGCAAATCAGCTGAGAGTCGGGAGGCCGATCCAATCAACTTGTCCTAATTAGGCTGTGCTGAAGCTGAAAGGAGCTGTTTCTTCTTGCTGTTTGCTGCAAGGAGGTAAATTGCTGGGAGGCGGAGGCCAAAGGGTGGGGGGCCAGTGGGTGGGCGGGGCTACCCCTAAATTTTCATCCCCTTTTAGGGAGGAAAAAGGTACGTCTTATACTCCAAAAAATACAGTAAATTACAGGGTCGACATTTGCATCCTGCCTGTATTGTTTATACCACAGGAATGCTGCAAAACCGTCATAAAACGGCTCAATTCATTTTTTTCCCAGTGCTGCTGTAGCTTTAGTATACCACTCACTAAATGAATAGCTGTAAGTCGGGGGGGGGGGGTACCTGTATTCAGCTGCTGTGGCCTAGAGGTGGAGCTCTTGCCTCACAATCAGGAGGTTGTGAGTTCGATCCCAGGTAGAGCCAGACGGGTTGGTGGTTGGGCAGGGGGTTGGACTAGATGACCTGCAAGGTCCCTTCCAAGTCTGTTAATCTGTTTAAAGATGTATTCTGAGTCCAGCGAAGGAACTGACCTCTGCACCTTTTTAAAAATTCTTTAAAACTCTGGTTTTTTTAAAAAAAATTGTTGCAGTTAGTCCTCGACTTACAACAGTTCATTTAGTGACCGTTCGAACTTACGCCGCCACTGGAAAAAGTGACTTACTTTGTGATCAAAATTCAGGCGCTTGGCCACCGGCTCATATTTATGACGGTCGCAGTGTCCCCCAGGGGAGGGGGGACGTCACTTAACCCCCTTTTGCGACCGTGTTCCTAAATTTAGCAGCTGCACTGATTCACTTAGCAACGGTGGCCAGAAAGGTCGTAGAACGGGGCGAAACTCACTTAACGAGCGTGTCCTTTAGCAGCAGAAATTTTGGGCTCGATGGTGGTCGTAAGTCCAAGGCTACCTGTGTCTTTATTCTTGACTTCTCCCTCCTTCCTTCCTTCCTTCCCTTAGGTCGGCTGCTCCCCCGTCAAACTCCTCCTGCGTCTTGGAAGTCAACCCACATCCAGCCACTGCTCTCACCACTACCACCCCCTGCCCTGTCCCCAGCCAGCCCCTTGGCCACCAATCTTAATTCGAGGCTCGGTCGCGTCTCCGTCCCTCTTTGCCAGGAGGGTCGGGGAGGGGATCTGACAGGCGAATTTGTCCCCAAAATCGTCCCATTCCAGGCCAGAATGAGCACCTGCTCCGGTTTGGTTTTCCTGCCTTCTCATCCCATCACCTGCCGAAGTCGGGAAAGGGTTCTTTGGGGAGAAATTTTGGGTTGCCCTTGGAAGGAGCCGGTGTCATCGCCATTCTCCTTCGTCACCTTGCTGGCCTTTGATCTGTTCTTGAGGCTCCAAGGAGAAAGTGCACCCTTGTCTTGGTTCTCCTTTTAGTTCCTCTTCTGAATTTTTACCTGGAGGTGGGGGTGGGGGTGGGGCACCTGCAGGAGAGATTTTGAAGCCACCTGGCTTCAAGAAACCTGGAAAGAACCTCATCGTTTGACAGGGTTTGGGGTTTTTTGTGGCACACACAATATATATATATATATATATATTCCTCCCTTCACCCATACGGATCAAAAGCGGTTGGCTGGAACTCCCAATTCCCTTCTATTTATCTATTTATTTGCAAGGAATGGATTGTCCTTGGTCCTTCTCGTCTCTGACCCCCCCCCTCCCCGCCAGCCCCAATTATTGCCCAGCACAAACTGGTAACACTGGTACCCTTAAAACCAAGCACGGGCCTCGAGCCACATCGACAAAACACCCTTGAATTTTCATCCGGTGGTTCTTTAACACAGCCAGAAATATTACGCAGCCCAAATATTACACAGAAGTTGAGGGAACCCTCTACATCCTTGCGCTGAAAAGAGGTTGAGCATATCCTGCAAACTTTTTCTTCGGGGACGTGTGACTTTCTCATCCGCCTGGATGATGCTTAGGGCAAGATGGAAAAACTCAGTTTTTTCCCTAGGCAAATGGCAGTCCCGCTTTGGACGTGAACTAAGAGCTGGCCTCTTGGGACGTCTCCGCTTTTCACTTCTTCGACAGAGTCCCGGTTTGCTAATCCTCGAGAGAGAGAGAGAGAGAGAGAGAGAGAGAGAGCGCAGAGATTCTTAACTGTCCTAGCGATTTGCCACTTGGCACCTTTCTCCCCAGACTCGCACACCTGCCCACAGTCTCCCTTTTCGAGCCAGGTTGGAATGGCATCGTCCTCAACAAGCCAGTTTATTATTATTATTATTTTTCTGGAGAAAGGAGGAGGAACAGATGCAGAATGAAAATGTGGACTTGGGAGAAGCTGCTTTGGAGACGAGACTTCGATGGCAAAGGTTGGGTTGGTGACCTACCTAAAAAGAGACCCTAGCCAAGTTTCTTGGCTTCACCTCTCGTACCTGCTGGATGCCACCTGTCTTTGTCGTTTTCTCCCCCTCCCAGAGTTCTCTAGGAGGGGCAGCCTTGTTTTTCCATCGTCCTGCCTGGACCTACTTTGCAGAGACTGGGACCTCAGACAAGTCATCCCGGTGCCCAAAATGGATTATTATTATTTTTTTTCTTGCCGAGAACATCAGCCAATAAAACTCGCTCGCATTCAAAAGTCTGCCGATGTTGCTTTTGCTTCGATCTGCGCCAAGTCCCCTGAGCTGGGTGAGCTACTGTTATCCCCTGAGCTGTAGCCAAGGGTCAGCCCTATAGAAAAAAAACGAAGGGGAAGGGGTGTCATTTTTAACTCCCCAGGCCCAGCTTTAATTTCCTTACGCTGGGAAGGTTGGGCGCACGGGAACTGATCGAGGATTGCATATTTAAAATCCTGGGGCCATGATGGCAAACCTACGGCATGCGTGCCACAGGTGGCACATGGAGCCATATCTGTGGGCACGCAAGCATTGCCCTAGCTCGGCTCTAGTGTGCATGTGCGCGCCGATTTAACAGCTGCAGCGACTCATTTAAACAGCGGCAAGAAAAGTCAAAGGGGGCAAAACTCAACGCATTTTCTGAGCAACATAAATTTGGGGTTCGACGGTGGGTCGTAAGTCGAGGATGACCTGTCCTTGACAATGAAGATCTTTGCTTTGAAATACGACTTCCCAACGCTTCTAAATTTGAGTTAAAATTCAGATTTGAACTACCACCCCCCCCCTCCATCCCTGATATTTTGGGGGTAAAAAAATTGGTCTCCTTTTTCCAAATTGTCCAAAAACGATGCTCATTTTCTTTCATTCGTCTTTTCATTTCTTTTTTTTTTTTAAAGTTCCCAAAGCCGCTGTTCTGAGCTCTGCTTGGTGTCACAAGTGTTTTCCTTCTGGGGTTAGTAACTCGTGGCCGGCTGGGGTGAATTTTCCTTTCTTTTTTAAAACCAATCCTTCCCTGCAGCCATGACAAAATTAGTCCCACCCAAACTGTAAGAGGAGAAAGGTGGAAAGGAAAGGAAAGAGAAGGTGGGAGGGAGGAATAATGAAGGAAGGAGAGTGGGAGGGAGGAAGCGAGGAAGGAAAAGAAAGAATGAGAAGAAGGTGGAAGAGAGAAAGAAAGAAGGAAGAGTGGGAGGGAGGGGGAAAGAAGAATGAGAATGAGAAAGGGAGGAGGAATGAAGGAAAGAAGTAAGAAAGAAGGAAAGGGAGGAAAGAAAGAATGCAGCCATGACAGACTGCATGATTCACTTAACAATTGCTAATGATTTGCTTAACATCCATGGCAAAAAAAAGGTAAAATTAGTCATGATTCACTTCACCCTCAGTTTTCTTAGCAATGGAAATTCTGCTCGTAAATCAAGGTCCACACCTGTATTCTGTTGCAAGTATATAGGTGCAAAGTTTGTCATTGTTTCCCCCCCCCCTAATTTTGTACATTTCTAAATAAATCCACACCGAACGTGCACAAATGACAGCCCAAGCCTTCGCTCGCTTTCAAATGGAAGCACTTTATTTGATTGAATTCTGTCGCCAGAAATAAAATGAGTCAAAAAAACACTAGAACTCGGATTTTCTTTACACGTTTTTTTTTTTTCAGCTAGGAAAATCATACATACACACACATTTAAGTCGCCACCAAAAAACCTACATAAAAAAAGAAATCCAGTGCCTAAACACACAGAAGTAAACCATTAAAAAAAAAACAAACGAAAAAAACGAAAAACCAAAATAAAAGTGCTTGACGTTTTATGTTAAAATATAATTTGGCGGGTTTTTTTTTTTCCTTTAAATCTTTTTGACACTTCAAGCATGAGAAGGAGGGATGCGAAGGACGCAGAATTTTTGAAAAATACTCAGCGTTAAAACACAGTTTTTCAGTAAATATTTTTTTTTTCTCTCTCGTCTATTTACAGATGGTAAGAACGGGCGTTAGCAAGAGTAGAGGATGAGTTGAGTGGCCAGGATAATCTCGTCTTTTTAGTCTGATCCTAATCGAAGAGGAAAAACCTTTTAGAAACTGGTGGTGTTACTTACCTACTTCAAATTCATACCTCTTAAGGCCCTGCGTTAAAATTTCATGCGTGCTTTTTAAGCATAGATGAAACTTTTCAAATATATATATATATATTTTTTTTCTAACATAGGGTCTCTATCTGGGGTTCCCCGGGGTTGAGGGACAATATTCTGAATCAGGATGATTTTGAAAACATTTCAATTTATTACGCGATATGTACGAAAGTTTCCGGGGTGAAATTAAAAAATAAATAAATCTCAAAACGAGCCTTCCAAGTCAAAACACAGGTTGGGATTCAGCGTTTTTGGCACCATGATTTCCTAAGTATTTTTTTTCCCCCAGCCATCTTGGTGGGGGGAGAGGGACTAAGCCTTGGGAAGCAAAATCCCCAGTAAAATAGGCAACCCAAAAAATAATAGAATTAAAATTTAAGGGCAGATAACAGTTCTCTGTCCTTATTTTTCTCTACTGCTGCATGAAAAAATAACCGTTTCAAAGAAAACGAGTCCTGGGCATTTGCTCTTATTCCAGGGTTGAAAAAAGAATTGATAACTTTCCCTTCCTTTATATTTTAAATCCACTTCTTTTTTCAAATTAAACCCATGTCATCTCAAGATTTGCAAAAAATGTTAAGCTGGGCAGTTGATAACTGATCTGGCAGGTCCTTCCCTAATTTAATGATGGCAGAGCTCGTCTTATGTATATATATTTCAGTCTTTGCACCTGGATAAAAAAAGGAGATTGAAACCATGGATCAATTGTAACCTTGGTTTGTGGGAAACAAATTAAAGTTGGGTCTGTCTGTCTGTCTGTCTGTCTATCTATCTATCTATCTATCTATCTATCTTATCTATCTATCCATCCATCCGCATAGACGTTCCTGATCAGGAATGATCTAGCGAGATCTTTAGATCCATTGATGCACCAAACAAGAAGCATTTTTAAAGATTTTATTTTTGGGAAAAAAAGGGAACTTGCTCCCAAAAAGGTTCAAAAGGTCCTTTTCTAAGGACGCCAGATTTGAGAAAGGAGAATTAAAAAAAAAAAATCGGGAATTTTAAACTATGTCGGGATGTTTATTTTGGAGAACCCCAGGTGCAAAAGAAGAAGAAAAATTTCAGGTCATTTTATTTTCGAGCCAATAACTCAGCAAACTGGAGTTTCCTAAATCGAATACCAAATAGGAAAGCTATCTTGCCCAAATCATGCTGTAACTTTATTTTATTCTATTTTTGCTTTGGGCTTCCTCAAACTCTCCCTGTAAGGTAGGAAACCTGGAAGGCTAGTCTGCTTGAGGGAGATTGGGGCAGGGCGAGGTTAGCCTGGCCCACCAGGGTAACAATTTTTTTGGGGGGGGAATGCCCCCCTCCCTGAATTTTCATGCCCACCCCAAATACGCTGCAGGTTGAGAGCTGCAGTAAACCAAAGCCCAGAGAAGGCTGTGCCTTTGTTTCCCCCCCCCCCACCCTTTGTTCCCCACAGGTAGACTGTTCCCAAGATTGGAGGCTCAATTTAGTTTCCTGGGCTTGTGGTCACCCAATCTTCAGCAAATCCAAGCTGACCACTCCTAGACTTGTTCCTAGCTCGCTGAGGTTCGTAGCAGTCAAGTTTTGCTTTTCTTCCACCAGATATTTTAACGGTGAGGATGTTGAAAGAGTTATAATGGGGTAATTATATCCACAAACGGACATTGATCAGAAGTTTAGCCGATTTGGAGGGTGTTTCCAATGTCTACTTCAGCTTCCAACTCTTCACATTTCTGCTTACAACCTTCTCCACCCAAAAAAATGTCAGGAAAATTCAAGTTCTCTTGGCAATGCTTTTAACGTAGGCAGGGAATCCCACAAAATTCCTTGGAAAATCAATTCTAGCGCATCGGTTTCACCTCTTTGGATGGAGAAATGAGATTTCACCGTCCCTGTTCTTATAGATTGGTCTGTCTTTCCAATTGGGTTGCAGGCACAGCTAGTTGAAGCTGCAATCCCAGCTCCCTTCTGGCTCCCCAAAGTGCAGAGCCTCCTGAGAAGAGACGAGTTCAAAACCCGGCAGTCTCTCGAACTCGGCACACAGCAATTACCTTCTTGGCCAATCTGCTACAAGGCTCCAGTTTTTGAGAAGGATCTTCGGCTCTTTTGGGACGCTGACCAAGCCGCCACTTGGATTTGATGGCGTAGCCCCAAAACGGAATTAAAAACTGGGGGTGGAACTTGAGACCAGACGAGAGCCGAGAAGGGCTGGAATCACAGTGAAATTTGGCTGAGATGGATCATCGAGCCAAAGGGCTGGGAGGGATCTTGGAGGTCTTCTAGTCCAACCCCTTGCCCAACGTAGGAGTCCGCAAGCAAGGATGGGGTTGGGAAAAGCTGAAATAAATAAATGTGGGAATGGCCGTGCGAGAAAAGGGGAGGGGGTGGGGTGGATTTCGAGAGGCGCCATGCAAAATAATTTAATAAATTAAAAGAACAAGGAGGAGATTAAACAGGGGCTTAAAAGTGAGCTGGGAGACGCAGAGAGGACAGAACGCTGAACAAACAGGCCGAAACGAGAAAGAAATCAAGATCTGCATGAAAGATGTTGGGTGGCTAAAAGAATATTAGCGAAATAAAAAGTCATGCCGATGGGCAAACAGATCCCCGGGAAGCTCAGCAAGGCTTCGGGTCGGTGCCATCTGCTTCCTACGATTGGCAAACCGTCTTAGCCAGCCCAGCCGAGTTGGCAAGATAAAGGCAGGAAGAAAGGTTCAAGGTCTTGGAACAGACAAGATTTTCTTGGCCATGCCTCCCAACATTAAATCGATCAACATCTGGGCCGGCTTGAGAATTCTGGGAGTTGAAGTCCACCTGCTCTTAAAGCCCCACCCCCACCCCGAGGCTGAGAAACCCTACATCAGACCGTTCCTATAGCTGACCCTGAAAAAAAAAACATCCTTAATTCTTAGTAAGGGGGCTGTAGGATGAACAGAACCTGTTATCCATAGGCACTTCCTAGAAGGGAAATCTGAATTCCCTTCCTGCAGGAGAGCTGCATGGGCTTTTAGCGGAGGTGAGGCTTGGAACTGAAGTCCTGGTGAACCCCACGGGTATCAAAAGATCCCTCGGATTTGGCCATCTCAGCAACCCCAAACCAGGAACCTCTGAATCTCTTTCTGCGAGCTTTCAGGTTCTATGATACGGCTTGAACTCAGGACCAAAGCAGGGTGTTCCTAAACCATGGGTAGCTTGGTTTGGGCAAGGCACACCTTGGGCTCTCTCCATCGATTGCCAAAGTTTGCAGCTCGATTTACACATCATGCTAAGACTGTACTTCAACATGCCTTTGGTAAGGGAGACAGTTTACACTATAAACCATGGCTGACCACTAACCCCGGATCCAAGCCAGACCATTAGTTCTTAGCATGATGCAAATCCAACTTGAATAGCCGAGCGTTCTCCTGGGCTGGCTTGGAAGGAACGCCCATCAAATTAGCTGGACTAATTTGGGGGCGATCTCAAGGCCACCAAGAGGTATCTTCTGTGACTCTACATGAGTCTCTGCTCTAGAAGCCTGTTCTCTTTCCAACGAACCTCCTCTGGATCTGGGTGTGATGGACAGATGGAGTGAGTGAAAGGAGATATGGTGTGAGAGTCACACCAAACACAGCCATTCACCCAGCTGGGAGGGAATGCCCTTTTTGCGTTCTCCCCTGGCGAAAGCAGAACCAGAAGCACCTTGCCCGACTTCTAAGGAAAGACTTCTTCTCCAATCTAGGGTCTTCAAGAAGGGTTGGCCATTGGCCTAACCAATGGAAGTCAATCTTCTCAACATGGCCCAAGAGGTCCTATGGACTCCCAATGGGAAACATGTCCATCTCCTGCTCTAAGCACCACGGGAAAATCCTCTCAGCTCCTCCATTTTCTCCTCAAGAAATAAAACAGTATCCCACCCACTCCTAGCCAAAGGCCAATAGATCTGCTAGATTAAAACAAAAAAATTATTTGAGCCTCAGGCCCGTGAATTAGCTGTGGACCGAACGTACGATGTCAGGCTTCGTGACGAGTCCTAAATTCTATCTAGTGGCGAGACCCTCCGTCTAATCCCTTGGTTTCGAAGTCTCCCCGTTTTTCATCTTCTGTGTAGGAGGCCTGTTTGCAAAATCCTTTGAGGGACGAGGAGAAAATAGGCGAGGAAGGGGAAACCGTCGATCAGCTGATCCCATCCCTTCCCTGGAGGAAGAAGGGAGGGGATCCCAGAGTTTGGATCCGGTAAGCGGTGGTGGAGATCGCTTGAGCCCAGCCAAGACGATGGATCCGTTGGTGCCACAGCTCAAAGGCAGGTGAACGTAAGAAGCAATGAAGAATGAGCCTGAAGGACAGTTTCAGAAGGACGCTTTAATTCCCCTTCCGTTGAGGGCTTCGGTGCCTTAATTCTCTCTCCCTTTCATCCCAAGCTCGCCAACGCCGGAAGTGGGTTTCAAAAAACGGGACACATTTCAAAATAATCATAAAATCCAATCGTCCGTTTCTTTCTTCTGTGTGCCCAGCTCATCCCCGAGGCTCTTGTGACAGCAACTGACTTGTGGGTTTTTTTCTATTTTTCCTTTAGGAATCTAAAAAAAACAAAACCACAAATAAAATAAAATACGAACAATAAGAGTAGTAGGGAAAGAAGAAATGCACAGACCGTCCTTGTCTTACAACAAATCGTTTCATGTACATTCAAAGCTACAACAGCACTGGAAATAGGGACTTGTGGCCGTTTTTCACACTTAACGACCGTTGCAGAAACCCCCAGGGTCACATGATCAAAACTCAGAGGCTTGGCAACCGACTCGTATTTATGACGGTTGCAGTGTCCCGGAGTCCCGTGATCCCCTTTTGCGACCGTCTGACAAGCCAAGTCAATGGGGAAGTCAGATTCACTTAACAACCATGTGACTAACTGAACCACTGCAGGGGTTCACTTAACGGTGGGCAAGAAAGGTCTTAAAACGGGGCAAAACTCACTTAACAACTGTCTCACTTAGCTAGAGAAGTTTTGGACTTAACTGGGGTCATAAGTTGAGGACTACCTGTATAAGCCGTGTTACCTTTGGCATTCTTCTCCAAAAAGACCTCAACGTAAGAAGTGGGGACGTAGCCTTCCTCATCCTCGTTCCTCCGGATGCGAGTCCACCCGTCTCCTTTGTCTTCCTCTATGACGTAGAGAGTTTCTCCTTCCGTCACCGAAATGGTTCCTTCATTCTGTCCTGGAAGTGAGAAGTTGAGGTGGGTTAGTACAGTAATCAAAAAAAAAAACCCTCTAAATTCAGTCACATCCTCTGCTTCAGGGCTAGTCCTGCTCCTAAGAGGGCAGAAAAGTTAGCCCTTAGACTTATATACCGCTTCATAGTGCTTTCCAGCCCTCTCTAAGCGGTTTACAGAGTCAGCCTCTTGCACCCAACCATCTGGGTCCTCATTTGACCCACCTCGGAAGGATGGAAGGCTGAGTCAACCTTTAGGAGGGAGGGAGGGAAGATAAGGAATAGCAATAGCACTTAGACTTATATACCGCTTTTCAGTGCTTTCCAGCCGTCTCTAAGCGGTTTACAGAGTCAGCTTCTTGCCCCCAATCTGGGTCCTCATTTGACCCACCTCGGAAGGATGGAAGGCTGAGTCAACCTTGAGCTGTTCAGGATCGAATTGCTGGCAGTGAGCAGAATCAGCCAGCAATACTGCACTGTTTGTTCCTTCCTTCCTTCCTTCCTTCCTTCCTTCCTTCCTTCCTTCCTTCCTTCCTTCCTTCCTTCCTTCCTTCCTTCCTTCCTTCCTTCCTTCCTTCCTTCTAGCAAAGCTAAACCGCGTGGCACAGCTGATTGTTGGAACCGATAGCTTTTTATCACTACCGGTTTTCTCGAACCAGAGGGAACCGGTAGCATTTCACTCTTGATCCAGATGCTGAAGGTGGAACTCCCCCATCTCCATCCCTGTACATTTTTGTAAAGCGAGTCCAAGGCGTGCACGAATCTTTCACCGGAAGCTCCTGGGTCCTGCTTGGAGAATGCCTCCCTTACCGTCAAAGGTGTACAGAGCCTTGCAGGTGCCAATGGTGGGCAGCGGTTCCTCATCGTCAAATTCGTCATCAAATTCGGTCGTCGGCGTTTTCATCTCACTCTCCTGGCTGGGTTCCTCTGTGTAACCGCCATCGGGACTGCTCAAGACAGGAAAAGGAAAAAGGAAGCCAACCACTATAGTAACCTGTTGGGGTCGGCTGGAGAGAAGGAGGGAGGAGACGCTGCCCCTCGCCCTGCCTCTGGGTCTCTGCTGTGAAGTTCTGCCCTCAGGGGCTTCGGAGAATAGGTAGATACCCTCTGTCCTTTGTGACAGCCCCTCAACTATTGGGAAAATACTATCATGTCGCCCCCAAATTCAGAATAACAGAGTTGGAAGGGACCTTGGAGGTCCTCTAGTCTGACCCTCTGCTCGAGCAGGAGACCCTATATACCATTCTGGACAAATGGCCGTCCAATCCAGATCTTGGAGGAAATTAAACTGGAGATTGGACCCAGTTTCAAATCGGCTCTCAGACAATGGAAACTCTCTAGGAACCCTTGGGCCAGTCACTCTCCGCTCAGCCTACCTCTCAGGGTTGTTGTTCCTGTAGGGGTAGAACTGGAGGAGAGAAAGGTGCATCGGAAATCATGTATCAAAGCGAGGTGAGGGCTGCGCCAGCTTTGAGGTTGCAAGGTTGGCATCTGAGAGGGCCTGGCGCCAGACCTTTGCCATTCATGGATTCTCCAGCACAGTACAGGTACTGTACCTCTCTCGGTCCTGGACGCAGTTGGTGACGGTCAAGGTGTTACTCTGGGGCTCGTACGCTCCACTCTGGCGGCGCATTACCTCCGTCCGGACAGGTAACCGACCTTCCACTTCCGCTAACCATCCCTGAAGCAGAGAAGGAGGGAAAATGAGGGACTGTGAGAATGGCCTTGGGAGACCGGAGGAAGAACTGCAGACCAGATAAAAGTATCTCAGCCCAGAGATGGAAAAGGGGCGTGGGAAGCATCTCAGAAGTTTTCCAGAGAGTAAGAGGAAAGGAAAAGAAAGGAGAGATGCTTTCAGTCTTGCAAGATTCGGTTAATGTGGTCTGACAAAACAGAGAGAGTTGGGTTTCTTCTCTGGACTACCTTGCAAAGCTAACGGGGGAGAATTCAGCATCTTGGAAAAACCATCTGGATTTGACCAAGCCCCCAATATGATGCTCAGCTCAATGGGCTGAGACTACAGTTCCCAGAATCCCTAGTACACTGTGCTGGCCAGGGATTTTGGAATTTGCCAGCCTAGCACATCTGGGCGGCATCTGCTCGGAAAGCCTGCTCTAAACTTAGGATTTCTCAACGTCGGCAATTTTAAGATGTAAGGACATCTGTTCCCAGAATTCCTCAGGGACATATTTTCAAGCCCGCTGGCTGGGGGAATTCTGGGAGTTGAAGTCCACCCATCTTAAAGCTGAGAAACACGGCAGTAACTGGTGCTTGGTTAACTCCCTACCTCGAATTTTTGTACTTCCAGCCTCAGCTTCTCCAGGTTTTGTCCGAGTTCAGCTAACTTAATGTCCACGCTAGCTGCGTCCCCCATTTGAGGGTTCTTGATGTAGACGTCTTTCATTTTCGTTAAGGCCTCTCTGTGAAGGAAGAGGGAAGAATCACCATCAAGCCAGGAACTTAAAACCACTGTCAACATCTTTTCAGGGCTTGGAGCAGGCGAGCAGTGGTTAGCCATCGCTGTCCTCTCCCATTCCAAATAAAGGGCTGCCCAATCTCATCTTGAAAACCTCCAGTAATGGAGGACACAACGTCTGGAAGCAAGTTGCTCCACTGATTAACTGTTTTCACAAGCAAAAACTTTCTCCTGAATTCTAAATTTGGTTCTCTGTTTGATGAGTTTCCATCCGTTGTTTCTTGTCCTGCCTTCACGTGCTTTGAGGAATAGGTTGATACCCTCCCCTCTTCTTTGGGGCAGCCCCTCAAATATTGAAAGATGCTATCATGTCCTTCTTTTCATTAGACTAGACGTACCCACTTCTTCATATGTTTTAGCCTCCAGCCCCCCCTAATCATCTTTGTGGCTCTTCTCCGCACTCTTTCTAGACTAGTCTCAATATCTTTCCCCCCCCCACCCCTATCGTTTGATCTACCTTTGATCCAGCTCCTTCTGAATATCCTTGTTGATTTCATCCACTTTTTGCTGGAGTTTCTTTCTCCGTTGCTCCGGGGGAAGGTTGCTATAATCTTCTGGTCCTCCTCCCTGAGGATTGCAGGAAGGCGGAAAAAGGAGAGGAGAAAAATTTAGAAAAAAGAGGAAAAGTGAAATCTGTCGATCGTGATGAACCCCCGTTACACGTGAGAATTTTCTCTGCTCGTAGAGCAATATTTCTGACCCAGTTAGCTATCAAAAGGTGTTGTCTTGGCTGATGAAGGCGTTTTTTAAAGGCAGCGGATTGGCTGTTGAAGAGCCAATCGCAGGGAGGTTCCCGCGCTCTTCTCTAAGATACAAACTTCTCTCTTAAAAAATAAACAAGGGGAAAAAAACCCTGGAAGCATCTTTCGTGAATTGCTAATTTTGCTAAAAGGCTTAAAAGCTTTTGCAAACCACAGCTCCCTTCATCGGATGCACAGAATGGCTAGATGAAGCTAAGGCTTAATTTAGGGAGGAGGTTGGGTGAGAAACTGGGAAGGGAGAATGGGTTTGTTACTGATGAAGGGAGCTGCATCTTGCACAAAAGCTTCATTGAATTAAATTTATGCCACCAGCTTCATTAACATTTGTCGGGAAAAGTGCTACCCAAACGTCTGATTTCCTTTTTTTTTTCTTCCTAACATGAACTAACGTGGCTTTCCTCTTAGGGCACTTCGCTCGAGCGGGATGGGGGTGGGGGAATCTATGAATGACCGCTTCAAACGGTCACTAAACGGACGGTCGTAATCCGAGGACTACCTCTACGGTATGCAAACGATAGCGAAGGCACAACCTTTATGGCTGCAGCGGTTGAAAAAAAAAAGGGCTAGAAGGGGAAATCTTCAAATTTGCAAGCCACCATTTTCATTTCATTTCATTTTATTAAATTTGTATGCCGCCCTACTCCCGAAGGACTCAGGGCGGTGAACAGCCATAAAATAAAACATATAAATACAAAATTCGCTCAGATTAAGCAGAAAATGAGCTATTTTCTGGAACGGAGAGAGATCGGCAGGAGATTGATTAAAACATGGGCTGGGGATAAGATCGGATTTTTGTAAACCTTCGGAGGAAGGTGGTTTTGGATTTCCAGGGAGAAGATCTGGTTCATTTCGCTTTTCACCTACTTTTCCTGCCTGTTTCATTCCACCCTGAAAAGAAATCAAGCCGTGTCGTTTAATATTTCTTTCATCATCCCTCCGTTGAAAGGAAGAATGTTCGCCCCTCGGGCTGCTCTGCCGTATTGCTTTGAATTTGAATTCGAGGGCCAGAGCTGTTGCGTTCCGACTTATCTGCAGATGCTTATCCATTGATAAACCAGTTAATCGACTGTCTGAGTTTGAAATTGATTGATCTACCGTGTTTCCCCGAAAATAAGACCCTGTCTTATATTTTTTTGAGCCCTGAAATAAGCGCTTGGCCTTATTGCCATGCACTCAAAAGCCGGATTGGGCTTATTATCAGGGGATGTCTCTATTTATTTATTGATTGATTGATTGATTGATTGATTGATTGATTCGATTTATATGCCGCCCTTTTCCGGAGACTCAGGGCGGCTTACAATGCGTTAAGCAATTTTGGGGGGAAATAGGGTACTACCTCCTGAATTGCCTCCGATTATTCCACTCGGGATTTCTTGATCCGACCATCTCCAACCCTAACAAAAATTTCAGGAGAAATACCCTATTTAAATACCTCGCTAGTAAAATAGTCCTTGACTTACGACAGTCCGTTGAGTGACCGTTCCAAGTTAGCAATGGCACTGGGGGAAAAAAAGGGGGACGTACGGTTGTATTTTACCCTTACGATCTTTGCAGGCTCCTCACACAACCATGTGCCCAAAATTGAGATGGTCTTGGCAACCGGTTCATACTTATGACCGTTGCAGTGCCTTGGGGTCAGGCGATCCCATTTTGTGACCTTCTGACCGGCAGAGTCAATGAGGAAGGCAGATTCACTGAACCCCCCCCCCCCATTTTCCTAACTTAACAACTGTGGCAAGAAAGGTCGTAAAATGAGACAAAACTCACTTAGCAACTGTCTCGCTGAGTGATGGAAATCTGGGGCTCCATTGTGGTCGTAAATCAAGGACCACCTGTAGCGCCAAACCTAACCCACCAACTTATTCACCGTGAAGCTATTTGAGCCAGCCTTCTCGTTGAGCTAGAATGTACGATGAGCCTCCCGTGAACCAATCCCTTGTCACCAGCCCCAGTTTTTGGAATTAAATGGAGTTATTCTTTTAAACGGTTTGGTTGAAATTTGCTGGGAAGGGATTAAAAAAGCGTTAGTTTGAGGAACTTTTGCGTGAAAGGCTGAAAAACGTAGTTGGCTAACAAATGGATAACCAAGATGGCGACAGCATCTGTAGAGTCCAGTTATTATGATCGATGTTGAACTCAATGAAGGACAGAGAAGGATATGCAAAGATTTATTATCAAGGATGATCAAAGTTGAAAACCTCCAGTGATAGAAAACCCACAACTTCTGGTGGCAAGCTGTTCCACTGATTAATTTTGGAATGAATAGAGTTCTCTTTAAGTTAGACCTCCCACTGATTAATTCTTCTCATTGTCAGAAAATTTCTTCTTAATCCTAGGTTGCTTCTCTCCTTGGTTAATTTCCATCTATTGCTTCTTGTCCTGCCTTGTAAGTGACTTACAACCACATATTTTATTTGGGGGGGGGGGGAAATTAGCAGATGGATATTTTCAGTACCTTGCCAATTTCGGATAGTAACCGATTCCTTTATAATTTGTAACTACAATAAGCAAACCTTTAACTAAGACAATATTCTTGCAATTTGCAACAAACTCCGAAAACTTGCTATCCTAAATTTTCTTTAATTTGGGGGCATTGTTTATTTATTTTTTTAACAAGACATCTATGATCCGAATTGGCCAGATTTTTCTCTGTTGTTTATTGAGTTCAACACATATTTTTCGTTCTCCCCACCTGTGGATGGAAAAAAAGCCTCTTTTTAACCCCAATTAAATTATTTTAAATCTGTTTCAAGGCCATTTATCAGTTACAAGCCTATTATCTACGTTTTTTTTTTTACAGCCTGTATCACGCACCCAATTTCTGAAAGCTTTCTAATTAGACTGAAACACTACAAGTTAATTCTTAGTAATTCATTAGCAGCATCAAAAATGGGATCACCTCCATTAAATTCCAGACCTGCATATTCAAAGTTATCTGATAAAGGCCAAAAGAAAAAGGAAAAAAAAAACAAAAACAAATAAACACACGCAAAACACACAAACGCACACAAAAAGACAACAGGGGAAAAAATAGTCATTTTTCAATGCGGCTGTTTGGATAAGAAGTCACACAGGTATCAAACGGTGATTTTTAAAATATATATATATATATATATACATGCTGGGATGGTGCTTACCAGCTTCAGGGAAAGCTTCGCATTTAGAACGGAGAAGGACGGAGAAGGGGGGAAAAAAGAGAGAGAGAGAAAGAAAAGAACGTATCAGAAAAAAAGAAGACCAGGCTCAAAACGGCGTCTAATAAAACGATGCGAATGGACTGGACACACGCACAGAGTCTGCTCAGCTTGTGCAAATAGACACTGCTTTTCACACAACTTTGCAAAGGTTCACAAGATTGTAAAATACTGCCTTGGTCTCCCCACTGCCTAAAGATACAAATTCAGGGTTGTTGGTTTTTTTTTTTAATCCTGCCTCTTCCATGCTAACCGGTCTCTGGGAAAAAAAGAAAAGAAAAAAGGTGACTTATAACGCAAAGCCAACTCCTTCTGGTTTAGCCCTCTTAACCTTTTTTTTTTTAAAAAAGTTTGCCAACTTTTTACATGTAGTTATTAGGATTGTGCTGGTGGCTTCCAAGTATGAGTCGTAACCCATTTTGGTGTTTTTTATGGCTTTAATTATTGGGGTCTGATTGGCTGGCCAGAGGGTCCTGGATTAAGTTGGGTGGCTATAGAAATTGAATAAATAAAATAAGAAAGAAGCGGGAGGGAAGGGAGGAAGGAAAGAAGGAAGGAAAAAGAGGGAGGGAGGGAAAGAAGGAAGGAGGGAGGGAGAGGAAAAAAGGGATGAGAGAAGGAAGGAAGGAAGGAAGGAAAAAGAGAGGGAGGGAAAGAAGGAAGGAAGGCGGGAGGGAGAGGAAGAAAGGAAGGGGACAAAGAGAAAGGAGGGGGAGGGAAGAAGGAAGGAACGAAGGAAAGAGGGAGAGGAAAAAAGGGATGAGAGAAGGAAGGAAGGAAAAAGAGGAAGGGAGGGAGGGAAAGAAGGAAGGAAGGAGGGAGGGAGAAAGAAAGGGAGACAAAGGGAAAGGAGGGAGGGAGGGAGGGAAAGAAGGAAGGAAGGAGGGAGAGGAAAAAAGGGATGAGAGAAAGAAGGAGGGCGGGAAGGAAGGGAAAAGGAAAGATAGATAGATGATAGATAGATAGATAGATAGATAGATAGATAGATAGATAGATAGATAGATAGATATAAAATTATTCAGTGGCAGTGTGAACTGTTTAATTCACTTTCTTTCTGTCTGGAAGCTTGGGGAAAAAAGTATTTAGCTTCTAGGTAGGAAGTGAGGAAATTAAACATCTCAATATCTCTTATTCCTTCCAACTTCCTTCATGATGATATTCTGCACCCAGTTTGAGCATCGGGGCGTTCAAAACTGGAGTTTGGTGCACAAGAGAGAGAGAAAAAAGACAATTTGGCCTGAAAAGAATGTAAACTCTTTTAATCCACCTCAAACTCCAATGAAGCTGTCATTTTAAAAAAAAAACTATTCTCCCAAGGATGTAAATAAAATTTTGTATTAATTCATAGCCTAAAAACCTCACTAGAATGCAGAGATGGAAACTGATAGCCTAGCCTTAGATGAACCAAAAATAAATGGATTGTTATTACATAAAACAATTAAAACTCCAGCTTACTGATGTGTTACTAAAGACTTTTTACTGCCATAGTTCAGAACAGTGCAATTTTAGGGTTTTTGATCTGCCAGTAAAAACCTTTTTTTAACAGACTCAGAAATACGGCTTCCTGTCCTGGATTTTAAAATAGGTCAGATTAATATCCTGCTGAAATGTCTAAAAATAAATGCTGGGAGTAAACAAAACTCTAAAAATAAACAAACCTTTTCTTTGCATATAATGAGTTAGCACATCAGTGTATTTTTAATTTATCCAAGTGTATCAGAATGGTAAAAAAATAAATAAACAAAAAAAAAACAAAACCCAGAGCCCAAACTGGAAACCTGTAAATCTATCCCAGTCTCTTCTGAATGTTATCTTGTTGCTCTGGACTTTAAAAAAGGTTTTAACTCCCTTTTGCTTAGTGGAACAATTCTTTCATATTTCCACCCAGGGATAATTTCTCTATCTTTTTACACTCCACCAGAATTTAGAGCTAGAATTCCAGTTTTATACGCAGCTTTTTCTCAAATTTTCTCATTCCCCGTGAATTGGTCCCAAAGAAGACCAATTCCCAGGAACTGGGAATTGTAGTCTCCTCTTAGATCTGGAAGAAGGTCTACCTCCTAGGGTTGTTGGTGTCAGAAAAACAGGAATGGTGCGTCATGTTTGCTGGATTGAATTGTGTCAATTTACGGGGCCGCATAAATCTAAATAACATAAATCAGCCAGGTGACCGTGAGTTCTAGTCCTGCCTTAGGCATGAAAGCTTGCTGGGTGACTTTGTGCCAATCACCGGAGGACGTGAGTTCTAGTCCTGCTTTAGGCATGAAAGCCGGCTGGGTGCATGTAGGCCAATCACCAAGAGGTGGTAAATTCTAGTTCCAGATTAGGCATGGAAGACTTTGGGCTAATCACCAGGAGACGGTGAGTTCTAATCCTGCTTTAGGCATGAAAGCTGACTGAATGACTTTGGACCAGTTCCTCTCTCTCAGTCCAGGGGGAAAAATAGGAGGAGCATTAGTTACGTTTGCTACCTTGAGTTGTTTATAAACAATAATAATAATAAAAAAATAACAAAGGTAGGACATAAATAATAAATAAACCACCTATGGCATGGATCCATTCCCTTAGCGTTTCCAACTCAACCTGGCAAGCTGCAATGTCACCTTTGCCCCCCCCCCCCCCCCCCTACCCTGACCCCCCCCCCCCCCCCGAAGGTTGAAACTCCCTGCAAAATGCCGTTTTATCACGGCGTTTTGCATTTAAAAAAAATAAAATAAAATTTGAATAAATGCAATCAACATCTTGCAGAAGGGTGAGCCCTTTCGGTCCCTCTCGCTCAACCCCCGCCCCGCAAAATCCTGGCATCTCCTTTGCTGTCCACCCCACCCCATCCCACCCCCATGACTGTGAACGTCTACAAAGACACAAGGCTACTACACATCTCCAACAGCTACATGCAGACTATAAAATCTACGGGAGGGATGGATGCCAGAGGAAAACGACATCCCTCCGAGAGAAGCATGCGCTATGAGTCAAAGCTGGTCACTCTCTAGACAGGGGGGGGGAAAAAATACAACGCCAAAGCTACGGATTTTGCCATCCAACAAGGCCACTCTTTGAACGGTCACTCCAGAGATGCTACGGGCTGGACCACACATATATATATACAGCATATCTACAGCTTACAAAATGAGGCGGGGGTGGGGGACGGAGAGACAAAGGAGGAAGGGGGGGGAGAAATGAGAACAAAAGGTATTGTTTTGCAGAGGGGTTGGGTTTCCTGATTTTTGCCATTATTATAATTACTATTATTTTGCATCTACGGTGGAGGCTTTTTAAACTGTCAACATGACTGCCCAAAAGGTTCCAAAAAGTTTCTTCAAACTTTGCGTCAGCTCTGGAGCCCATCTTTTTCTTCAGGGGGGATGAATTAAGAAAGTGGACCTCCAGATTCTTAGGTGGCTGAAAGTAAATATATATATATATTTACTCTTATGGAATTTTAATGACTTCAGAGCGATTTAAAAAAAACCCGAAATGCTTTGCTGTTATAGAAGTGATAGCAATGGCTCATGTGTAACTTAAGCATGTAAAACTGAAATATTGAGGTTGCATTTTATTATTTTTATTTTACGGCGCTGAAAAGAAGTTGGAAGTTCATGCTTTTTTTTTGTAACAGAGTAACAGCATGGGAAGGGACCTCGGAGGTCTTCTAGTCGAACCCCCTGCTCAGGCAGGAAAGCCCTACACCGTTTCAGATAAACGGTTGCCCGATCTCTTTTTAAAAACCTCCTATGTTACTTCTTTTCCCACGCTTCTCTTTCTCCCCTTTTCCCCCTTTCCCCATTATCTTCATTTGTATTTTTTTTTTTTTAATTTGATTTATATGCCGCCCTTCTCCGGAGACTCAGGGCGGCTCACAATGTGCTCAGCAATATTTACATTATGAGAATTTGAATACAAATTATATTTTTTAAAAAACCTGGTCTGATTACTGTAAAAGAAAAAATAATTAAACTTTTGTTCTAGGGATTGGGCTGCGGTTAATTTTTTCGAGAATTCCTTTAACTTTTGCTTGTGCTACTGACCCAGACAATTTTTAGCCTGGTGGGAAAACCGGCAGTGTGGAAAAGATATAAAATAATATCAAAGTCCTTTCGATCCATGACGGTGAATTTATGGCGCACAGAGTCCTCTCTGTGGATACGTGTGCCGTCACCAGCTGCTTTTCTGGTTTCTGGTGTGCATATCGAAGACCAGCTGGCTGGCGCACACACACATGCACATACACACATACGTGCGCACATGTTCCAGTTTGGGCACTCGGTGCCAAAAAGTTTCGCCGTCACTACTTTAGATCCTCTTCTTCAGAAAAAAAAAAAATCATGCCTTTGTCAACTTTGACCCCTTGAAGAGGTGTGGACTTCAACTCCCAGAATTCCCCAGCCCGCTGCGGAATTCTGGGAGTTGAAGTCCACACCTCTTCAAGCGGCCAAGGATGTAACCACAAGCAGTAAATTCAAGAATAAAATTCCTTTGCGCCTTTTCCAACCATATCCCCTACTTCGTTTATTTGGGGGGGGGGGTTCCCCCAACCGATGGCCGTTTGCGATGGATTCCGGAGAAGAAGGGGAGGTGGGGTCAGGCTCTGATTTCCCACAAAGCCCCCTTTTCTTGAACCTGGGACAAGGCAATAACCCTCCGGGGGCTCATGTTGTCAGGATGCAGCAGAGGGAGCCGATGGAGGGGAAGCCGCAAGCAAAACGATAAACAGGCGGCAGCGCATGGAGAAGCCGGTGGATCTCGGTGTTACTGGCACGTGGCAAACCATGACCCTCGTTTACAGCGGGCAAGAGGGCGGACAGTGAGGCCAAGATTGAAGAACCTCGTAAGGCACAAATATATATATATATATATTATATATATATTCTGCATCGGAACGGGGAGGCTCGGCGGAAAAATGGAGCGTAGGACGGGAGCATCTCCCCTCTTCAAAAGGTCATTTTTGGAGCAAGGCAATTTTGCCAAACTTTTGGCGTGGGGTTCACGAGCCAGAGCTTGCTGCCCGCTGCAGTGAAACTCCCTTGTCCAGCTCTCTGGGTGAGAACAAGCCTACCAAGGAGACGATTTAATTACAGGTAGCCCTTGTCTTACGACTGTTCGCTCAAAGTTATGACAACACTGAAAAAAAAGTGGCTTAGGACCATGTTTCACACTTATAACCATTGCCGCGTCCCCGCAATCAAAATTCAGACGGTTGGCAAATGACTCCTATTTATGACAGTCGCGGTGTCCCTGGAGGAGGGGTGGGGGCTTACACGATCCCCTTTTGCGACCTCTAGACCGAGAAAGCCGGATTCACTTAACAACTTTGTGACTAACTGATTCACTTAATAACCGTGGCAAGAAAGTTAACATGGGGGCAAAACTCAACACCTGACTCGGTTAGCAACAGAAATTTTGACCGTAAGTTGAGGACTTCTTGTAAATATAGCCTCAAGTCATGTGTCGGACTCAGCCTGACTACCTTCCTGTTTTGTTCCAACTTCGTGGTGGTGTTTATGAAGCTACCTTCCATGAGGATTTGCCCCTTCTGATCCAACAGGTTCAAAGAATCAGAGGGCTGCCAGGGGGAACTCAGAGGTCTTCTAGTCGAACCTCCTGCTCAGGGAGGAAACCCGGTACCATCCCAGATAAATGACCGTCCAATCTCATCTTCAAAATCTCCAGGGATGGACCACCCACAACTTCTGGTGGCCAGTCGTTCCACTGATTAATTGTTCTCACTGTCAGCCAACCCCTCCTTAAGGTTGTGAGAATCCACATCGAGCCAATCTCTATAAACCTGTCTAGAAGTCCCAGAAATCGCACCGCAATTAAATCCAGATGGATTAGCATCATTAATATCCATATTCACCCCAGTTTACAGCTCTACCAAATGGACAATTTTTTTGGCTTCTTTTATCTTCAAAGAGAGTTTCACTGCAGTGGTCATTCTGCCTCTTTAGTGGCCACGTTTGCTTTTTTTATTCCCCGCCGTTCGCCAGAGTTGCTTCGGGTTTCCCCCCGAATTTTTATGATTTTGTAAATTGCAAGGCAACACAGCACATGCCCTGGGGTGTGAAGGAAGGAAGCTGCCCCTCCCTTCAAGATTTGGGTTTGTTTGGGTTTTTTTTGCAAACTCCTGGGGTTTGCCGAGGGTTGAATTGGACTTTGGAGATAAGCCCACGTCCTCCCTTTGCGACGTTGCAAAGACGTCAGTGGTTGCGCCGTCCGTCCACACATCCACGGGACTTACAATGTACTCCCTAGCCTCCACGGCATAGGTGGCTCTGCCTAATCGCCTCTTCATGTGTTCTTTGTCAAAGTATAAAGATTGAGACTGTTGCTGAACCAGCGAAAAGAAAATACAGGCGTTAAAAAGAAAGGAGGAGGAAGAGGAGGAGCAGAAGGAAGAACGAGAAAAAATAAAATAAAAGAGACCTACATTTATTCCTCCTGCAGCAATAAGGGTTACTCTGGAAACTCAGGAGTCTCCAACCTTGGCAACTTTTTTAAGACTTGTGGACTTCAACTCCCAGAATTCCTCTGAGGGATTCTGGGAGTTGAAGTCCACAAGTCTTAAAGTTGCCAAGGTTGGAGACCCTTACTCTAGCTGGAGCGTGATGAAAACAACTAAACAAACAAGGATAATTTGAACTGCGAGACGGTTAACCAGGAATCGCCTACTGTAAGAGGGTGGCCAGGTTACGAACCGACACAGGTAGTCCTCGGGCTTATGACCAGGAATCAGGACGCCCAGGGCTAAGCCATACAGTTGTTAAGTGAGCCATGCCTACTGCAGACAACGGGTTGATTTAATGACCATGGATTTCCCTTAATGGCAGTTGGGAGTTTGCGTGGCATTGACTGAACGACCACCGTAAAAAAAAACACCAGGTCATAAAATCAGGTTGGTCACGGGATGACTCACTTAGTGACTGTACTTCTGGGCTCAATTAAGGTCGTAAGTCGAGGACTGCTTGTATCGGCCCTCCAGGTCTCAGAAATGAGCTGAGAAAGAGAGAGGGGACACAGAGGCACCCCCTCCCCGTGAAGCATTTAAGATGAGAAGCATTTAAGATGAGAAGTATTTACTTTGGATGCAAATTCAGAGCAGAAGTCTTGATAATCCAGAATCCAAGGAGCAGGAACAGAGAAAACAGCTATCCCAGGGGGAAAAAAAACAGCTAGCTAAAAAATTAACTAACTAACTAACTACTAAACTACTAAACGATCACTAACCCTGATTCCGTGCAAAGCTTCTAAGCTACTACACTGGACATTTAAACACAGTAAGGACAAACGTCATCATAGATTTGATCCACAAACTAGAATTGAAGAACAGCATTGCATTAAACTGCATTTTGTAAACTTCTCCACGTTGGCTTAGTAGTTAGATGACTTTAGAAAACCCATCTGGCTGGCTGTCATCACAAAAGGAACCGAAATGTTCAATTTAGTGAATTTTCACGATTGCTTCCTGGGCTTGAGTTCTCTCTTATGAGGGGCTTCTGAATGTCTAATTCCAAGCCAGAAAACTGAATAATTAATCCAGTCACAGGATAATCCCAAGGGTCCCCCCCCCTCAATTAATAATAATAATAATAATAATAATAATAATAATAATTTAATACCCCTCGCATTAAGAAAACTACCCTGAAATCCACATTAAATTTTTCCAGCTTGGGTGGGGTTTCAGAGGGCGTGAACATCCTAACACGAAAAACAGCCCGTGCTCCACATACAGTTTATTTCACTTTTCTTTCTAAATATGCCAAGCACCTACCGGATTTCTTCCGCAGGGAAAAATAATCACACGCTATTAATCTGCAAGCAAACCAGGGCTGAAATAATACTAAAATAAAATCAACATCCCAAAAAGCTGAAAAAAGGAAGAAATGAATTTATTTTTTTAAAGGCATTTGCAGCAGGCGGATTGGGAAAAAAGTATTAATTTGGACCATCGCAGTGTGATTGTGCACCCACAACGCACAACATCGAGAAAAGAATCAAAAGTAAAACATGGCAAATGATTAAAAATACATTTTCGGGATGCAAAACAGGTAAGGTAATTATATGGGGAGGGGAAGGAGTCAATAACATCCACCAGAACCGAAACCACAAAAATTCAAATGGAAGGTCACTGAACAACAATTTGCGACAAATTGTAAAAAAAAAAAAAGGGCCCCCATTGCATTGCAACTTTGAATGGTCACTAAATGAACAGTCGCAAGTCCAGGACGACCCTGACTCTAGAGATACTGACTGTTTCGATGGCCAAACAGAGTAACAGAAAAACAGAATTGGAAAGGAACTTGGAGTCCGATCTCCCGTTAATTAAACTCTCCATTCCCTCCCCACTCCTGGGGAAAGGATACTGCAAAATCTCCATTCCCTCCCCACTCTGGGCCCAGCCAGAGGTGACATTTGCTGGTTCTCCAAACTACTCAAAATTTCCGCTACCGGTTCTCCAGGACCTGTCAGAACCTGCTGGATTTCACTTCTGCTCCAGAGCCCGAGGAGGGCAAAGAGCCCCCCCCCCACTGTGGTGCAGGAGGCTGACTTGGCCACGCCCACCATGGACACACCCACCATGGCCACGCCCACCCAGCAACCGGAGCAGAGAACCGCTTGCTAAAATTTTTGACCACAACTGGACACAGGATTCGAGGCGTGGCTTCCCCAGCGCAATCTCAAGCGGTCCTATCATTTTCCCGTGTATGCAAAGATCTGTGTGACTTTTCTTTGTGGTTTCACCGTGGGGGTTTTTGACTCCGTGTCGAGTTTCTAATTCTCGGCATCTTCCCTTGCCGAGCTACGGGTCTGGCACACACACACACACACAGTATGGCCCTCTACAAGGAAAGAAGGAAGGAAGGAAGGAAGGAAGGAGGTGTACGTAACCCTCGGTTTCCCCAAACGTCACAACAGAACGTGCAATGGAAAAGGAGAGGAAAGCCGACAGACACAACCCAGAGAACTTACCCCGCGCTTTAGGCTCCTGAAGCAGTGGATTTTGGGTTTGGAGGTCATGAACTCGTTGAAGCGATGGGAGAGGGGCTCCTTTGGCTGCTTGGGGGACTGAGGGCCATTTGGAAGAGCAGAAGGCGAGGCAGAGGAAGGGGGCAGAGGAGGAGGCTGATAGGGGGGTGTTAAAAGGGACATAAGCTACGTATAAGAGATGGAGAAGTGATAGAATTAAAAAAGAAAACAAAACAACAACAACACAATGAAATCAAAAGGTTAAAAAAACCAAACCTGGAACGAAATAAATAATAAATAAAGCACAGAGCACGCACGCAAACGCACACAATAAAAAGCCAAACAAATTTACAAGCACCAAAAGGAAAAATTGATAAGTGTGGAGGGGGAACCCCAAAAAAAACCCTTGCTGAAATCATATTTCGGAAGAATTCCTCCCAAGAAAAGCCACAAACGTAGGCAAAGGAAAGCAAAAAACAAATTGCTGACGTCATGGGGCTTTTTAAAAAAAATAATAATCAGGAAAGCAAAGCAGAAGGTGGCTGGGGGGTGGGGGGGGAAGAGAGAAAGAAAACGAGAGGAGTGGAAAGTACCCTCGTCTTGAAGAAAAGGTTTTCCCAAAGGAAAGCATGATCAAAAAGCAGCTTTGTAGTTAAGTGGTTAGGATGCTGGGGTGCCTTGCCATGCTGCATGCAGAAGGAAGAAGCTAAGGTGGGACTAGAAAGAGAGAGTTTCCCCAACCTCCACTCCCAATTAGGGTGTTAAATAAATGGGAAAGAATATTTGTAGCTCAGGATTGAATTGTGAAGTCCTTGGTACTCTCTCAGCTTGGCGATTTTTTCTTGCAGACGTTTAATGACCCAACTAGGTAACGCTATCAGTGTTGGTGAGTGTGGCTTGCTCCCTGTTTATATATAGTAGCTCCTAGCTTGGTTGTTTTCTTGCAAACGTTTCATGACCCAACTAGTGGACATCAAGTTAGAATGCAGCATTGCAGGCTAACTCACTCTTCACTGCCAGGAATTTAATTCTGACCGGCTTCCATCTTTTCAAGGTCGATTAAATGAGGACCCAGATTGTTGGGGGCAATATGCTGACTCTATCAACTGCTTTATAGTGCGCTTTGACGGTTGTCAAAGCATTATAAAGTGGTATATAAGTCTTAAGTGCTATTGCGATTGCAATCAACAGTGTTAGAATGTAGCTAGCTCCTTTTAGCACTGATAGTGTTACCTAGTTGGGTCACGAAATGCCTGCAAGAAAACAACCAACCTTAGACAGGGAGAGAGAGTCATACTCATAGCACTGATGATGTTACCTAGTTGGGTCATGAAAGTTCCTGAAGGTGTCCATCCCCAGGTGAGTGAACGTCAACTCCCCAAATTCCCTAGTGAATATGCCATAAGAAGATGGACTTCAGACGGTGGACTTCAGTTCCCAGATTTTTTCCAACCAACATTTGGTCTTTTTGAGAATTCTGGGAATGTTCTCCAGAACTACGAATTCTCTTGGCTGTTTCATTGTGGCCGAGAATTACGAGAGTGGAATATCCCTGTACTGTTTCAAGAAAACCATTGGTGGACATCGAAGAATGAGATGCAACCAGAAACATCCATAAAGTGAAGGTCAAGTGACACGTGTGAGGACCAAACTCATCCTACACCCAACCTGTAGGCTGTAATCACGTAGAAGGCAAAGAAGGAAGAGAGAAACCTACACCTGCGGAAGTGGTGTCAACCCAACACAAGATGAAGAACCCAGGAGCATGCCTTGTTCATGCTTTGATCATGCTGGTGATGAAAAGGAGAAGTTGATGCATGTGAAGAGTGTTAGAAGCCTGCTCATCCCAAACATTTGCTACCCTGCCCCAAAATGCTTGCCAAGAAGTACTCAACCGCAAATGAGACATGAAAGCCAGGCTAAACTTCAAAAGAGCTGGTCTTCTTCTCATTTTTCCCATATCTCAATATCGTTTTCAGGTGCCACGGACAAAGGAAAAGCCACCCGTTGGGTTGAAGGACCCATTGCTGTGGTCCATCAGCTTCTGGCTTCCTCCTTTGCAAAGGTACCACCCCCCAAAAAACTGATGTGGACAGCGGAGCAAATGTTTAGCCAAAAGATTGATTCATCGATCATGCAGGTTGAGGACATAAATCGTGTTTCCTATAGTTGGACTGGGAAGGATGAGCTTCTAATGAAGATGCTTAGGTCCTCCAGCACAAATCAACAATGGAGAAATTGAGTTTCTCTTTCCCTAATGATTGAATTAGCTGGAGAGGGTTGAGCAATGGAACCAGAGAAGCAACTGAGGCAGGCATGGAAAAAACAAAAAAAAAAGAAGAAGAAGGGACAGCAATTATTTAGAATTGAGCAGGAAAGTCTGGAAAAAAAAAATACAGGAAGTCCTTGACTTACGACAGTTCATTGAGTGACCGTTAGAAGTTACAACGGCACTGAAACATTTTTTCTGACTGTTTTTCACACTTTTGACCACTGCATCATCAGCATCATGTGATAAAAAATTCAGATGCTGGCAACTGACTTGTACTTATGACGGTTGCAGTGTCCCGGGGTCACATGATCCCTTTTTGCGACCTTCTGACAAGCAGAGTCAAGCCAGATTCACTTAACAACCATACGATTCAGTTAAACAAATGCAATGATTCACTTAACAACGGTGGCAAGAAAGGTGGTAAAACATGGCCAAGACTCACTTAACAAATGTCACACTTTAGCAACAGAAATTTGGGGGCTCGATTTTGGTCGTAAGTCGAGGACTAGCTGTAACCACCATGGCGAAGATAACAACTGAAACAGAGCCAAAACTAACTTTAAACCAATTCAAATCAATTCAGCATTAAAAGCTAAACATAAATTATAATGAAAAAGAACCATAATTTCAAAAAAAAAAAATGCATCGAAGAAATTAAAAAAGGAAAACCAAACAAACTTTGCCAATGAAAAGAAAAAAAAAACTGTTACATTAAATTTCAAACAGGACCATCAGCTATTAGTTCTTAGAAACTAATTTCTATTTAAAATAAAAAAGAAGAAGAAGAGAGAAAGAGAGAGAAAAAGAGAAGAAGAAAAAAACACACTTCACTGCTGGGATTTCAAACAAAAAAAACTCACAAGTAGCAAAACTACTGTACAAAAAAGTGTGAACCGCTAGGCCAAAGTGTGCACAGGAAGAAAAAAAAAAAGTAATATATACCTTGTTTTTTTTGATGAATGGCCATAATTTGCCCTTGGACTTGCTCGAAAATCTGGATTCGGATTTGCTCTCTTTGGAGTTCGAGAGACTCGATTCGGAAACGGCTCGCTTGATTGGCTGAGTGAAGTCTTCAAAGTCAACGTCTCCCGGGGGCTCAAATCCGGATTTGAAGGCATCGATCACGAGCTGAGAATCCTGGATGGGAGACACACACAACGGCAGAAAACAGGGTCACAAACTGAGGATCTTGGACCACAAGAACTTTTTTTTTTTTTACAAGTTTTATTTGTTTTATTTATATCACATTCAATTTTCATCAAACTGCGTGCGGTCTGCGTGCGTACAATTATATTGAAGTAGTCATAATACAACACTTCGTTGTATGCATCACCATCATATTGATAATATACTAACATAATAATATAATAACAATAGTACTTAACATCATCTTCTTTAACAACTCTCCCTTTAACATTTCCTCTTTTTATATCTCCTCCTTTCTAACTTCTGTTTGTTATCTAGCCATTGAGAAAATGTGTTCCATATAAAATAATACTCAGTTTCTTCCTTGTCTTTAATAATAAGCGTTAATCTATCCATTTCTGCGCATTCTAATATTTTCTTAATTACCTTCCCCTCAACGGTCCCTAAACGAATGGTTGTAAGTGGAGGACGTCCTATAAGTTAAAGGGGATAAAGGATGCACTTCCTTAAGCATAAAAAGCTTTCAAGGAAGGAACCAAATCTGACTCCGTTTGAAAGCAAACATGGTTTACACCTGATCATCTTCATTTAACAACCCCATAATCCCTTGCGGGGCGGAGTCTGGGCAACTGAATGGAGCTGAGTGTTTACTGGCCGGATGCCTTTCCTGTCGCCAATGCGGAGTTTTGTTCAGCACATATATTCTCATCGTGCCCAGAGAGAGAAATATCTGCCTCTACCTAGGATCAAACTCACAGCCTCCTGATTGTGAGGCGAGAGCTCCACCTCTAGGCCACTGGACCACTCTAATGGTTTATGCCTGATGAATAGGGTTAAATATCTCCTTCTCCGAAACCCAGGTTTGACTCTCGGTCTTGAAGGACGCTGCCCACTTACGTGTTTTGGGTCAATGGAATCCACTGCCTTGGTGATCTCATCCAGGCACTTCCCGATGATCGGCGTCACCTGACGATCCACCTCGGCAAACGTTTTCATGGATTCCCCTATTCTGATGATCCGTCTCTCTTCCATGTCTTGGATTTTCTGGAAAGAGGAAGGAGCCACAGGTTAAAAATCTTCCAGGGATCTTCCCCGTCCTTGTAGCAACCTCATTAAGTGAAGTCTAGAGACAGTCACACCTTCTAGGAGAAAACCCAAAAGGCAAGTAAGTCAACACCAACACCAAAATGGGACTCACCGAAAAGTGAGGGGGAAGGTAAAGTTATTCTAGAGAGCCTGGTGTTCACAAAAATAACTCCAAAGGACCAATAACATTGTACATTGTAAGCTGCCCAGTATCATTGACCGAGATGGGCAGCTACAGAAATTGAATAAATTAAAAATAAATAAAACAAACAGAATACCTCCCCAAACACTCCAATTAGAACCCAGCTCAGAGCTAATGTATATAAACAGGGATCAAGCCATGCTCACTAACACTGATGAAGTTACCTAGTTGGGTTAAGAAATGTCTTCAAGGAAACCACCAAGCTCAGAGCTATTGTCTATAAATAGGGAGCAAATCCCATATTCACTAGCACTGATGATGTTACCTACTTGGGTCATTAAATGTCTGCAAGGAAACCACCAAGCTCAAAGCTACTGCCTATAAACAGGGAGCAAACCCCAGACTCAGTAGCACTGATGATGTTACCTACTTGGGTCATTAAATGTTTGCAAGGAAACCACCAAGCTCAGAGCTACTGCCTATAAACAGGGAACAAACCAAGTTCTCCATAACCAAAGTAACACAACTCTATCTGTTTATCTGGATGAAGAGGCAGTACAAACACACACTCCACCAAATTTTTGGGCCCAAGGATGCATCCCAACAAATCGGTCACATTTTTCTCCAATTTATCCAGGAAGATATTGTTGAGGGACTTTCACTCCCAATGCAGCGGCGTATAAAACCCAGCACGTCCCAGTTCCTGCGTTTCCTAATTTCCTTCTGCAACTGGTTAGTGAAAGGCAGAGAACAATTCCTGGAAAAAAAACCTCCACGCAGGGAGGTTATTTTTCAAAATTAAGAAGCTGTTCACACCAAATTCTTCTTACGACAGGTTTGGGAATTTTCCATTCCACTTTTGGTCACAGAGAGAAACGGCTGCGATGAGTTTTTAGGAGGCAAGGAAGATGACCAAAAAAAGAAGAATAGAGAAGCCGGGGTAGGAAATATCAGATTATTACACATATTTGTTTGTTTAGGACATTTGAAAGTTCCAGCGTGTGCGTTCTCCCGTGCTTTGGAAACACAACTACAGGAAATCCTCCACTTACGAACACAACTCAGCCCTGTTGCTAAGCAAGACGGCTGTTAAGTGAGTGTTGCCCCATTTTACGACTTTTCTGGCCACCGTTGTTAAGTGGATCGTTGCATTTGTTAAGTTAGTACTGGGGTTGTTAAGCGAACTTGGCTTCCCCGTTCCCAGAAGGTCGCAAAATATGAATCGGTTGCCGAGCTGTCTGAATTTGGACCAGGTGACCAGGAGACGCTGCAAACTCATTTAACAAATGTCTCACTTCGCAACAGAGATTTGGGTTCTCAATTCCGGTCGTACGTCGAGGACTGCCTGTATTTACAGTGTCCTGTAAGTCAGTTTCCAACAAGCAAAGTCGATGGGGGAAGTTGGATTCACTAAACAACCTTTTGACAACGGTCACACGACCAATTCTTGGCTTGGGAAAACTCAAAGGCAGAGCCTCGGCTGGTTCAACCTGGCACCGGGCTGCCCCATCCGTGTTGTGCCTCTCCAGCTGCAGAGCGGCGAGTGACAATGGCGCGACAAACAAGGATGTCAACACAATGACAGCTCTGGAGTCTTTTGGACAACAGGCAGCTGCGTCGCTCCCGAGACTGAATTCCTGCCAGAGTTTGTTCATTCAGATAGTGCAAAAAAACTAGCCGAAGATCACGGAGACGTAGGGTTGCCTTCAGACAGATCATCCTCGGACCGTTCATTTAGTGACTGTTCCAAGTTACGATGACACTGGGAAAGAAAGTGACTTATGTCCATTTTTCACACTTACGACCGTTGCAGCATCCCCGTGGTCACGTGATCAAAATTTGGACCCTTGGCCACTGACTCACCTTTATGACGGTCGCAGTGTCCCAGGATGGGCATGTCCCATGATCCTCTTATGCAATCTCCTGACCAGCAAAATCAATGGGGAAGCTGGATTCACTTAACAACCATTGTTGTTATTAACTTAACCACGGCAGGGGTTCACTTAACCACCGTGGCAGGAAAGGTTGTAAAATGAGGCAAAATTCACTTAACAACGGTCTCGCTTAGCCACAGAAACATTGGGCTGAAAACGGTGGCCATACAGTCCAGGATTGCGTTGTCTGCTGCAGAAATAATTCGGAGAAACCCAAATTGCGAGAGGTTGCAAAGGAGGAGCCTCACCTGGAAAATATTGGGGATATGCGTGTGGTAATGCTCTCGTTGCTCGTGGTTGAATTTCTGTAACGTGGACAGGTACTCTCCCTTGCTGTCTTCGGCCATCTGGTGACGGAGCTGGGCTTGCTGGCGTGCCTGGAGGAGGAGGAGGAGGAGGAGGAGAAGGAGGAATGGAAAATGTGACAAGGTCTCCACGAACTGGACACTTGGCAGATGCTTCCGCAGAGATTTTGCACCCGTTTCTGAGGCTGCCCCCCATCTCGCAAAGCAGCTTGGGAAACAAGGGAGGGATTGCAAAAGACCCCAGAAAGAAGCAGAAACTGGCTAAGAAAAAAGGGAAGAAAAGTCCGTTCGGTAGTTAAGATGCTGGACTAGGAACCAGGAGGCTGGGAATTCTAGTACCATTTTACACGTGAAAGCTGGGTGAGTGACTTTGGGCCAATCACTAGAAGACGGTGAGTTCTAGTCCCAGCTTAGCCATGAAAGCAATTTTGGGTCATTCACCAGGAGATGGTGAGTTCTAGTCCTGTCTTAGCTTGAATGCCAGCTGGGTGACTTTGGGCCAATCACCAGGAGACGGTGAGTTCTAGTCCTGCTTTAGGCATCGAACCTAGTTGCTTGATTTTGGGCCAATCACCAAGAGACAGTGAGTTCTAGTCCTGCCTTAGCCATAAAAGCAGCTGGGTGACTTTGGGCCAATCCCCAGGAGACTGCGAGTTCTAGTCCTGCTTTAGGCATTGAATCTGGTTGCTTGACTTTGAGCCAATCACCAGGTGATGGTGAGTTCTAGTCCTGCTTTAGGCGTGAAAGCTGGCCGGATGACTTTGGGCCAGTCTCTCCCTCTCCCTCTTTCTCCCCAACCCACCTCACAGAGTTGTTGTGGTGAAAAGAGGAGCAGAAAAGATGATTAATATGTTTACTACCTTGAGTTACTGGCAGGATTAAAAAAAAAAAAACCCAATTTAACGTGCAGAAGGGAACTTAGTGCCTCTTTAAAAGCAGGAATTAGTTAAATTATTTCCTGCTGGCAACTGGCGCTGTCTTTGCATAAATATTTTCCATCAACAATCCCTTTTGTAAGTCAGCTCCTCCGCCCACCTCTGCCTTTTAGCAAGATTTTTCACCGTCTGGCGTTCATTTCTCAGCCCACTTGGTTCGGTTGGCGCTCTCAGCCTCCCTCTCATCTGCTTCCCATCAAATGCCTTTTTTATCCCCACCGCCCTGGAACTCGGCTCCCGTTTGCAGCCCAGATGTTGCAGCCTGCTTTTGAGAAGGACCCGGGCTCTGGGGAGGAATGCCAAGGGTGGAGAAGACACCCCTGCACGTGTGCAGAATGCATTCTTTTGCCGTTCGGAAGAATCTCCCTTTTGTTTTTTTTTAAAAATAAATAAATAAAACGGAGGGCCATTCTCCAGCGAAGAGGAGAGCTGGGTCTCCCGGCAGCCCTTATTTGGTGAGATTTTGGAGAAAGGGAGGGCTTGAAAATCTGTCAGTTTTCCTCCAGAGGCCTCCCTGACTGCTTAAGGTTGCATTCAATCCCAAGGGAGGCATGGAGAGAAAGAGGGAGAAGAAGAAGAAAAGGGGGGAAAATGGAATAAGAAAAGGAGGAGGAGGAGGGAAGAAAGAAGAGAAAAAGAAGGAGAGGAAGAAAAAGAGGAAAAGAGAAAGAGGAGGGGAGGAGGAAGAAGAGAAGAGAAGAAAGGAGGAAGAGGAGAAGAGGAGGAAAAGGAAGAGGAGGATGGGAAGAGAAGGAGGAGGAGAGAAGAAAGAGGAGGAGGAGAGAAGGAGGAGGAAGAGGAAGAAGGGTGGTAGTAGTGGTGGAGGAGGAAGAAAGAAGAGGAAGAGGTGGAGGAAGAAAAAGAGGAAAAGAAAGAGGAGGGGAGGAGGATGGGTGTAGAAGAAGGAAGAGAAGAAAGGAGGGAGGAGAGGAGGAAGAGGAGGAAAAGGAATAGGAGTAGGATGGGAGGAGAAGGAGAGAAGAAAGAAGAGAAAGAGAGGGGGAGAAAAAGAGGAAAAGAAGAGGAGGGGAGGAGGATGGGTATAGAAAGAGGAAGAGGAGGAAGAGGAGGACAAGGAAGAGGAGGAGGAGGGGAGGAGAAGGAGAGAAGAAAGAAGAGGAGGAGGAGGAGGAGGTGAAGGAGAGAAAGAAGAAAGAAGAGGAGGAAGGGTGGAGGAGGAGAGAGGAAGGAAGACGAAGAGAAGAAAGCAGGAGGGGAAAAGCCTGAAAGGAATTCTCAAGCACTCTGAGAACCATCAGGAAAAAAAATCAGAAGCCTCTTTGCGAAAGGCTGCAAAATGGATTTTGCTGCAATAGACAACTAAAATAGACAACTTTGCTTCCTTGAATATCTCTGGGAAAATGCCCTTTGGGAGTGCTCCAATCACAATGCGTGAATTGGGGGTGGGGGGAAGAATGGACAGAATGCAAGTATTTAATGCAGCCAGAACCCACTACAGGCAATGCGTTAGAATGCAAGTATTTTTTTTAAAAGCATGCAATTCTTATAATCCACACGTGCTCGGAATCCACATATGTTCATTATTACCAACAGAGACAAATATTTTGGTTTCTTTCACTTTTTTTGACATTAAATCCATCCTGTTTCCTCATCGGCCTGCTCTTTGTTTTAATTAAAGGTTCCTGCACATGACAATCTGCAGAAATTTCCATGCGACGTAATTTTACTCCCTCGTTTTTTTTGCACACAATTTTCTTTTCCCCTTATATCCCACACTGGCATACATTTTTGACTAATATCTTCCTTTTTCCCCCCCTCTCTTTTTCTGCTCGATGTTGCTGAATTTTTTTAAAAAAGTGCATGGAAGTCCTGAAAGAATTAGGAAATTGACAAAAGAATGAATTTACTTGGAGAGCTCGGCCAGCTAAACAATATTGCATTGAACCATATCACTTGGGAGATATGACTACCTCCCTACACTCAGGGAAGTAACTCATGCAGGGAGACACTGAAGAGCTTCCTCCTGGGAGGAGCCCCTTCCCTACATCCTTACACTCAGAATAGCAACTCTTGCAGAGGCACAATGGAGAGCTTCCTCACAGGAAGAACCCTTTCCCTACATCCCTACACTCAGGGCAGCAACTTATGCAGAGACAAAACATAGCTTCCTCACAGGAGGTGGCTTTTCCTACATTCCTAAATCCCAAATGGTAACTCACACAGAACCACTGCAGGCAGAAGCATAAAAGTGTTGCAATTCCATCCCTCTTGAGAATTCCTGGACAAAATAGGCTCTTAGCCTCTCCTTCTAATTTATGTCTTTTCCATCTTAAGTCGAAGAAAGTGCCAAGCCTGGTTTTGCAAAATCTATTCCCTCTGCATCCCTTTCCAGATTCCAGAAACTGCAAAAATGTCAATAAATAGATTTATTTATTTTTTTGTTGGTTCCCTACAAACAACCTCTCCCTACAAAGGAAAGCCAAGGGGGGGTATCCTCTTGCAAGAGGCTAATTCCGGAGAAGCACAGCTGATCTACAAAGAATAACAACCCAAAATCATCTCCAGGCTCCTGCTGAAATTTGATTTCCAGCTTAAAGTCAGAAATGGTTTTTCCTTTTTTTGGGTGTGTGACCCTCCCTCTTCCAGGCCAAATCCTGCATTGTACTGTGGCCAAACCAGCTGTGCATCCGAGAAGATAAACAAGGCAAGAACAGGAGAACAAGACATGCCAAGTTCTGTTTCAAAAATAAACTGGATTAAAGGAGGTTTACTCTCTCTCTTGAATGATTTTTTTTTTAATTCAACTTTTGGACTTCAGCTTCACGCATCCACCAAGGTAGAGTCACGTCTCAATTCTGCTAGCATCGGGTACACCCAAAATTATCATACATACATACGTACAATGAAAGGGCTGGGAAGGACTGACAGTATTTGATAAAAATGACCCAACACGCCCTGGTACACTTTTATCAGTGAGTTCACACACACCTCTGAGTTAAAAATGCAATTTAGCTTTGCTGTTCTGGCATTTGGAGAACCGCTAGCCAATTCTGAGTTGAAGTGTTCCAACATTTGGCTTGTTTTTTTTAATTTATGCAGAATACAGGATATAGAATGCAGACTAACAAAGAGTTGGAAGGGACCTCAGAGGTTATCTAGTCCAACCCCCTGCTCAAAGCAAGAGACCCCAATATCATTCCGGACATGATGGCTAATCCAATCCATCCAAATTCCAGGACCCCGTATCTCCCGTGGAATTCAAATCCCCTTTTTATAAAAGCAACTTGCCTTTATTTTTCTTCGTAAAAATAGTCAGGGTGATGATCATTCAAGATAATCATCTCTTTGTGGGGGCTTCAGAATGCAGTTTGGGAGGCGGGCGTTTGCAATTGTGTAGATAGGTGTGCAAGGGCAGTGGATGGACCACCCAGGAGGGAAAATAAATTTCCCTGTATTTTCCATGGAACTTAAATTCACCCTTCCCCACCCCTACCGAGGCTGGATTTTGCTGGGCTTCAGAAGAATGATTCATCTTTTTTTTTATTTATTTAAACCCGATGTGATTGCCTGATACGGCAACTGGATATGTTTTGCCTCTGGTTTTAGATCAAGGGGTTCCCTGGCGGCTCGTTTGGCCGGTTGGGAGTACTTTAAACAAACACATAATTTAAAAAAAGAGACCCTCGTGTTAGGAAGTGGGGTGCTTTCGGGAACAAGAGGAAAAATTACAACATGGTGTGGCCCCGAGAGCCTGGGATTAACCGTTTGTGAAGAGTGTAATTGAGAAATTCAGAGACAGAATGGGATAAGTAAGTTTAAAAAAAAAAAAAATCCCTGCAGGTTGAAATCTAGCACAATAAACCTCGGCAAAGAGAAACGGAGCACAAGAGAACGCAAGTTACTTTTAGAACGTTTTCAGATTAGTTAGAACTTTCACAGCTCAACAAAGATGGATTTCACACACTCCTCCCAAAAGCTGCTCTCTTTGGAAGTGAGCAAAAAGATCCCCAACGCCAAAGGCCCACGGAACGCTGTTCCCTTCCCACCAAAGGGGGTCCCTATTTTTCTTCTTGCATTTTTTAATGTGCTTTCGAACTGCTAGGTTGACAGAAGCTGGGACAAGGAAAGGGAGCTCACCCCGTTACGCGGCGATAGGGATTCGAACCGCTGAACTGCGGACCTTTTGATTGACGAGCTCAGCGTCTTAGCCACTGAGCCACCGCATCCCTTTCAGTTAAACTATGAGACCTACCCAATTCCTGCAGCCGTTGTCAGCCGGCCAAAGGAGAAACAGCAGAAGGGAGGGAGTGTCTACCCTTCCCTGCACGAGTTTCCCCAAAATGGTAAAAGAACCGAAGCCGGAGCTAAAAGAGAATCTGCTCACTTTTCAAGCCCGTCACAATTTTTTTTCACACGGCCAACAACGTTCGTTCTTCCTGCCCAGGTTGGGAAAAGCCAAAAAAAAAAATTCAGAGAGAGGGGGAACTTGAAAGAATGGATCGTGTTATCAAATAAATCGACCACGAAATGCACAAAACCTCCAGATTTCTTCCTATAGGGAGCCCTCCCCTTGCGACGGTTCGTTTAGTGACCGTTTGAAGTTGCAACGGCACTGAAAGAAAGTGACGTGTGGCTGTTTCTCACACTTAGCGACCATCGACTTTGCTTGTCCGAAGCTGGATTTGCTTAACAAGAGCAGGATTCACTGCAATAATTGACTTAACATCTGTGGCAAAAAAAAGGTCGTAAAATTGCCTGCGACTCACTTAACAACCAGCTTGCTTAGACATGGAAAGCGACGGTGAGATCCAATTGCTGAAAACAAGATCAACTGATCAAACCCGGCCAAGCTAACTAACCCTATCCTGGCCAGCTCACCGAAACGCAACATATTTTAGCTTTCTGCAACTTTTATTTTAGCTTTCTACAACTCAAGGGAGCTGCCTCCAGAGGCTGGGAAATCTCCTGCCACAGGAAGGAGGCAGCCAAGCCGAGGGAAAGCCAGAAAACCAACGGCTGCTAATAAAAGGTAGAGGTTGAAAACAACTTGGTTGCGTCATCCTAGGAAGGCCGAGTTAGCGCTAAGATAGAGAGAAAAAAGAGGGGGGAAGAGAGAGAGAAGGAGAAAGAGGGGAGAAAGAGAGATGGGAGAGAGAAGGGAGACAGAAAGACAGATGGGAAAGAGAAGAGAGAAGAGAGAGAAAGAAGAGCAGGGAAGAGAGAAAGAAAGAGAGAGAAAGAGAAGAGAGATAAAAAGAGGACAGAGAAAGAGAGAATGGAGAGAGAGAAAGAGAAGATAAAGAGAGAGAGAAGGGAGAGAGAGAAACAGAAGAGAAGGGGAGAGAAAGAAAGAAGAGAGAGTGAAAGGGAAGACATAGAGAAAGGAGAGAGAAGAGAAAGAGAAGAGAAAGAGGAGAGAGAGAGAGAGAGAGAGAAAGAGAAGACAGAGAAAGAGAAAGAGAAGAGAGAGAAAGAAAAGACAGAAAGAGAGAGAGAAGGGAGAGAGAAAAAGAGAAGAGAAAGAGGAGAGAGAGAGAGAGAAAGGGAAGAATAGAAAAAGAGAAGAGAGAAAAGAGAAAGAGAAAGGAGAAAGAAAGAGAAGAATAGAGAAAGCGGAGAGAGAGAAGAGAAAGAGAAGAAAGAGAGAAGATAAAGAGAGAGAGAGAGAGGAGGGAGAGAGAATGAGAAAGAGAAGAGAGAGAGAGAGAGAGAAACGAGAAAGAGAGAGCACCAGAAGCAACCACAGTGGCAGCAGCCCCGTAAATAAACAATGTGCTATTCTGCACCGCAATTATGTAAGCTCCGCATCACATGTCCCCAGCCATGCAAAGAAAGGGACTTAAGACTTAACGCACTTCACAAAAACACACACACATACACACACACACAGTTCTCTCGGGCCAGGGACACGTCATGTGCCCACCAGGCACGGACGGGGTGGCGTCGAACGTCCAGAAATCCCCAATTTGACGGGTGCCAAGACAAGGGACGGCTCCCACGAGGCTTCCAACAAGCAAAGTCAAGTAGGGGGGGAGGGGAGATGGATTCGCACAATGACCGTGTGATTCGCTTAACGGCCGCACTGATCAAAAAAAAAAAGTCGTAAAACGGGACACAGCTGACTTAACAACCACTTTGCTCCGCAGCAGAAAATCTGGTCCTAATTGCAACCGTTAAGAAGGACGAGCAGTAATTGCGAGTTGCAAAAAAAAAAAGGATCCGTAGACAGTCTCCTTACTCAAGGGGGGGGGTTGGACTAGATGACCTCCAAGGTCCCTTCCGACTCTTGCTATTCTGCAACCAAAATCGAACAAAACAAGTTTCTCTCTCTTTTTGTGTGTGCGTGTCTCTCTCTCTCTCACACACACAGACAAACCCCAATCCTTCTTACCTTCTCGACATCTGCTTTCGTGACGTTGATGTCCGCGTCCATCTTCTCGAAGTATTGTTGCGCCCGGTCGGCTTCTTTGCAATCCCGTTCGAATCGTCGCTTGCTCTGGAGAGGGAGGGAAGGCCGAGAGTTAGCATGTCCTAAAGGGCCAGGCATGGCTAGAGAGTTCTTCGAAGTTGGTTCCGTGCTTGGCTGTTTTGTTTTGAATTTATTTATTTATTTTTTAAAAAAGAAGGGAGCTGCTGAGGTTTGGGGGAATCTCAGACTGCATTGACAATTAAGAGACAAAAAAAAAACATACGAAGAACAGTGGCAGGATTTGGGTTTGGCCAGTCTAGAGAAAAGGAGGACTAGGGGAGACGTGATAGCGGTCTTGAAGTATTTGAGGGGCTGCCCCAAAGAAGAAGGGGTCAAATTATTCTCCAAAGCACCAGAAGGCAAAACAAGAAACGATGGGAGCTAACCGAGGAGAGAAGCAACCTGGAATTAAGGAGAAACTTCCTAACAGTAAGGACAATTAACCAGTGGAACTGCTTGCCACCAGAAGTTGTGGGTGCTGCATCCCTGGAGGTTTTTAAGAAGAGACTAGGACAGCCATTTGTCTGAAATGGTATGGGGTCTCCTGTTTGAGCAGTGGGGTGGACTAGAAGACCTCCAAGGTCCCTTCCACCTCTATTCTGATTGATTGGTTCTAACGATGGTTTTACAGGTCGTCCTCGTTCAGCGGCTGCCTCCTTTAGCGACCGTTGACAGTTACAGCAACTTTGCAACCAAACCTCGTGCCGTCCCTCTCTTCACTGTGGTGGTTTTTTTGGGATAGTTTTAATATTTCAATCCGTGTAGTTTTCATATTTTTATTATTTTCCTATTTTGTCTTTTTATCATCTGCAATAAGTCGCCCGGAGTCCTCTTTTAAAGGTGATTGGCGGCATACAATTTAAAAAAAAAAAAAAGATTAATCAATCAATAAAACAGATAATAATTACAACCTTCGCTGGTCTGTAAAGCCAAGGAAAGCAGACGTCAGACCCGTAAGCACCGTCACGGTTTCATTTAGCAACCGCTTTGCTTAATGACCGAGTTGCGGGTCCCAGTTGTGATCCCTCCGGAAATCATTGATGAGTGGAACAAGCCAACATCCTTTAGTTATCAGGCAGACTTTTACAAACAACCTAGAACTGTCAAACCTAACACAGAACGGAGTCCTCCGCGCTTACCGATTCCAGCTGTTTCCAACAGGATTCTATGTGTTGTTGCGCTTTCCGTCCGTCGTGAAAATGCTGGAAGGAAGAATTCACAATGTCTTATTTTAAAACAAAGGCAGACTTGGGTCAAAAGAGGCAAATTTAATGCCGTTTTTATGATTGAAGGTAGCCCACGATTTACAAACATTCGTTCAGCAATCGTTCAAAGTTACAAGAGCACTGAAAAAAAGCGACTTAGGATCGGTTTTCACACTTATGACCGTTGTAGCATCCCCATGGTCCTGTGATCATCAATCTTTGGGTGCTTGGCCTGTACTAATGATGGTTAGTTAGACACCCCGGGATCCTAAGTTTGTCATACTCAAACCTTCTTAGAAACCTTCGGAGGAAGTCAATGGGGAAAGCCAATTCGCTCGACAACCTTATCATTCGCTTAACTGTAGAGATTCGATTAGCAACCATGGCAAAATGGTCGTTAAGTGAGACACAGCTCATTTAACGTCTTTCTTAGCAATGGACATTTTGGGATCAATCGTGGTGGTACGTCGAAGGCTACCTATAAATGTACCTTTCTTCCCTTGGACTGTCTAGAATCGAACTTGGGTTGGGGACACCTTGGTACAAATTTTGAGGGGGCTCAAGAGGCCAAATCCAAGAGAGAGACATTTATTAAGGGGGCTTTGCCCTGTTTTATGACCTTCCATGCCCCAGTTGTTAAGTGAATCACTGCAGTTGATAAGTTAGTAACATAATTGTTAAGTGAATCTGACTTCCCCCTTGACTTTGCTGCAGTAGTAGGATTCAGCCGGTTCGGGACAATTCGGGCGAATCAGTTGTTAAATTGCTGTCCGGCCCCTCCCTCCCCACCCGTCCCTGCCCCTTCCAGGAATCCCCACGCGCCCTGTTTTGCTCCCGGGAGGCTGCAGGGAGGCCCAGTGATGCCTGTAATGCCCCTTGGCCATACCCACCCAGCCGATCATTGGGGCAGAGAACAATTGTTGTTCAATTATTTGAATCCCACCACTGCTTTGCTGGCCAGAAGAATGCAAAGCACAAGAGATAACTCTCTCTAAGTAGGGGCAGAAGACATCCGCTTCTGGGAAAGGCTTTGAGAATAGCTCCACCTTGACTTTCTCATCCTTGGAAAGAGGTTCAAGATGTGGCGATTATTTCCTACCAGAGTAAAAGAAGTAATCTTGGATCCCTGCGGGATCTGTCTCTTGGCCTGTCCTACCCTGAAGGCCTGACCCTAGATCTGCCCCGTTGAATCTGACCACAGCTCCCATCTTCTCCAGCTGCCCCGAGTGAGTAAGAGACCTCTCCTGTCCTGCCCGTTCATGTCTCCCTTCAGTCAACCGCATCATTGGCCATTCTATTTTGAGCGCAACGTCCTTCACGCCACAGAACAGGGAGCACCAGAGAGAGATCTTTGGAGAGCCACCCAGACAGGAGGACAACCCTTAATGGATCTTCTGGGCACCCGGCCAGAGAAGGAATACCCTTTGGTTGAAGGGTGAAGTTGTCTTCTGAAGGGCTGGGGAGAAACACTCGGGGCCATCTGAGGAGACCATGTCCTTCTCCCAAACCATCAGCTGCTCCTCACAAACCAGCATCTCCTGATGTTCCCCGTTCTGTGGTGTGAACAGGGAGCATCACACCATTTGCATTCACCGGGTCATCTGAGTCACAAATCTCTTTTTTTAAAGATCTGTCATTACTTGGAACGTTTGACCGGTCGTAAACCGAGGACTCCCCGTAGCGATGGGAAAGGAGGAGGCACAGACAGAGGGAACGACCGTGGACGCTAAAATCTCTACTTCCCTTCCCTTCCTTTTCTTCTCAATGCCTTTTGTTAGCATCCAGACAGACTGATTTCTTTCTGCTGTATCTACGTCAACACCCTGACCTCAGCTGTGGAAATGTCAGGGATCTCCAACTAATTTTGGGCTGGGATTTAAAAACAACAAAGATACCCAGGCCTGGGGCAGTGTGAAAATTGCCCACCCGCCCACCCACATGTCTGTGCAAACTCAGACGGCTGCAGTTTTTTGGAGGCCTCAAAAACAAGAGAGAGAGAAAAAAAGAGAGATTTTTTTTTTGTCCTGGCAAAGCAGAAAAACCCCAAACGAATCAAAGTTGGGTTTTTAATGATCTCTCTCTCTCTCTTTCTGTCTCTTGGGCTTTTTCTGCCCTGAGTAAGTAAGCCCGACGTATCAATTCAGATTATAACCCAGACCTCAGCATTCCCTCTTCCAGCCAAAGTTAATTGCAGGTTTTGCCAAGCCAGCCTTTTGCTCCTTGCCAATCTCGAAAACGTTCGTTTCTTTTCCTCTGCATCCTTCCGAGCAGATCACACCGACGATCTCAATCCTTGAGGTGGAGCCCTCGGCGGGCAACATCCGATGCGTTATTTATATTTTGTGCCAAGGAAACAACGGGACGCTGATGTTGGCAGAAACACCCGAGGGGGAATTAAAAGTCCCAAGAGGAACCACCTGCTTTGCTTCGTTTGCTGGCTCAGGAGATGTTTAGATGGTCTTGTCAAGAAATTAAATGACTGTACAGCCATGAGGAGCCCTGCGTGCTTGTATGTCAAGTTACTAGTCCATAAAGTCCTTCCTTCTGCCCACTCCTTCCTTCCTTCCTTCCTTCCTTCCTTCCTTCCTTCCTTCCTTCCTTCCTTCCTTCCTTCTTTCTCTTCCTCCCATCCATCCATCCATCAATTCCTGCCTTCACCTTCCTGCCTTCTTTCTTTCCCTCCTTCCTCTTTCCCTTTCTTCCCTTCCTCCCTTCTATCCATCCATCCATCTATCCCTGACTTCTCCTCCTTCCTCCTTCCTCCTTCCTTCCTTCCTTCCTTCCTTCCTTCCTTCCTTCCTTCCTTCCTTCCTCTCTCTCTCCCTTTCCTTCCTCTCTCCCTTTCATCCATCCATTCCTGACTGGCTTCCTTCCTTCCATCCCCTCCCTCCTTCACACTTTCCCTCCTTTCGTCCTTCCTTCCTGCCCTCCTTCCCTTCCTGTTTCAACTTCTCCTCAAGCAAAATTTATTAACGTGATGGTTAAGATTCCCAGAGTTGGGCGGCATTTACATATATTAAATTAATTGTTCCGCTTTTCATCAGCTGCCCAAGGTTTCCGCTATATTCAGTTCGTTCAATTCATTGCAAAGAAATCAGAAAGTTTAGGGGAAAAACTTCCTTACCGATTTCCTTTCCTGCTTGAGTTCTTGTACATAACGGGCTAACTCCATGGTGATTTGGGAAGTCATGTTCTCTGAAATGACCTCGTGCTGACCGGCGTAATCGTTCATTTCGTTCAAAGTCGCCAGGAAAGCTTGACAAGATGAATACCTAAAAGGGGCAAAAAAAAAATAAAAAAATAAAAATGGAAACTCAAAAGCACTTTTTAAAAATCATATTACTTTTCGATAGGTTGGACTCGTTCCGTCATTCCTAGACAGCATGTAGAACATAGAGAATCATAAAGCTGGGAGGGACCTCAGAGGTCTTCTAGTCCAACCCCCTGGAGGCTTGTTAAATGCAGGCATGCGTTAAACCAGAGCTTCCCAAACATTTTCCTTCATTACCAAAATCACTAATCAGAAAGTCTTATCAAGCTTTGAGGATCTTCCTTCAGCACTGACGCTGAACAAACAGTCGTTAATCAAGGAATATCTGTATTATGAAGGCAAGTTTAGTGAATGACTTTGTCATTTCCCTGGAAATTTCATCAATTTTAGTATTTATACTTTGGGATATATATATATATATATATATATTGCAGGTGACGCTTCAGCCGAAAACCTACGTGTATTCATCCTCTTCTTTGGAGTTCTTTTTGGGCTGGTATTTCTTTGCGAGGTTCCTAAAAATAAAAGAAGAAAGAGGGAGAAGGAAAATAAATAAACAAATGCCAATAAATAGTTTAGCAAGCTTTTTCTTTTCTTCTTTAAACGGAAGATCATTTGTTTATTGGCTGGGTTGGTTTGTGGCCATTTCAGATAAGAAAATTCTCACGGACTTCTTTTGTAGGAAAGAAAGCAAACCATTTTGCAAACAAAAAAAAAAAAATAAGCAATTGCAAACTTCCAAAAACGGCACGGCTTACGACGGTAAAGCACGGTCGTAAAGACCAGGACAACCTAAAGACCTTGAATCGGAGGGGGACAAGCGACTGAAAACCAAGATTAATTTCTCCACCCGACCTCTCGGAAATGCCTTCTTGTGCTTTTCCAAGGGAAAACTTCATTTTGTTCCCAAAAATAAAGAGAAATGGATTTCTATCCGAGGGTGCAGCTTGCTAAATTTGGAACTTGGGTGAAATGTAGCTTCTCCAATGAGACCATCAACATGTCCTAACAATGATGAAACATTTTACAAGTAAAGACTTCAATCAGACACTCAGGCCTGAAGGTAGTTTTATTTCTGTATCAGCCATAAACTAAGATGAAAATGGAATGGGTCAAGTTGGGGATAAAATACATAAAACAAATTATAAAGGCAATGAAGAAAGATTTCTTCTCCATTCCTATTCAGGAGTTACAATCACAGAAAAACTTGCAGAAGGCAGGATAAGTTGAAGGACACATAAATAAACAGGACTTCTAATAGAAAACAGTCAGCCGGCAGAGGGGTCTTTGAATTTGCAGGATGTTGGGGGCCAAAAAATCTAGGGGAAAAAAGATCATGTTTTGTCTAGCAAACCCTAAATCTGAAACTCAGCAACGGTAACAAAAAAATTAAAAATAAGCTTTGCCCAGTTTAGGTAGCTTTAAATCCATAAATCCCTGCGATGAAACACGGTTCACACAATACTTGGCAAATACAGGTGAGTCCTACAAGAATTACGCATTTCGGACTCACCTAAGCTGCTTTGCATAATTGATCTCGATCTCCGTCCGGTCTTTGACGAATTTGATGTATTTTTCAAGAATGTCGATACCCCACTGGGTGTGTTTTTCGAGGGTATCAAATTGATCCTGCAGAGGAAGACAGAATGACAAGAGTTGGAAGGGATCTTGGAGGTCTTCTAGTCCAACCCCCTGCTCAGGAAAAAAAAAATATTTAATTGGCCAGTCGGATCAAGCTTGGAGGAAGATTAATCACACTGTTCATCCTTTCAGAGAAATATTTTAAAACAATAGTCCTCTTCTTATAAAGTTATCAGACCTTAACGATTTAGCAAATACGGGATTCGGGGGGAGAAGCTTCCGTGGTTTCACCTTTCACCTTTGTAATATACAGAAGGAAAAAAAAACAAAAAACAGCAGCAGCTGAGAGAGAGAACCTTTCGGCTCACCAATTTTTTTCCCAGTAATCAGGCCAATATTGTCAAGAAACTGGCAACTCTGGCAACAATAAGTTTTACTCCAAACTTATTGTCGCTCAAATGCCAGGAAAAATAGCTATACGAATTTGCAGGCAAAATCTGCTTTACATAACACTAATTGGCCCCTAACCCCTAGTTCTTTAATTATGTCTGTTCAGCAGAAAGCTATGAATATTCAGTACTTAAATATTGGTTCTAGTGGATAAGGCACCAGTCTAGAAACCAGGAGATGGTGAGTTCTAGTCCCACCTTAGGCACGAAAGCTGGCTGAGTGATTTAGGGCCTATCACCAGGAGAGGGTGAGTTCTAGTTCACCCTAACTAGGTGATCCAAGGCGCCTATCACTATTGCTAATAATACCTTTGATTTCTTTTGCCAGAGTCATCCTCTTACAATTTACAGGTCTTTGTATTTTTTATTATTATTATTATTATTATTATTATTATTATTATTATTATTATTCCAGTTGTTGCTAAGAAAGATGCAAGAAAGGGGTTTAATGGGTGATCTTCACTTGCCTGACCTAAATTTTAGATTAAGATTTGCTAAAGAATCTCTCTACCTTGAAGAACTCAAGAGATTTTTTTTTTTAAATTAAATTCATTGGGTCAGTGCATGTTAATTGCACCGACCCAATGAAGTTAATTAAAGTTAACTTTAATTCCTAAATAAGGAAGCCTTGGTATCCTTTAAAAAAAAATACAAAAGGAGTCAGAAAATTTCAGCACCCCAATTTGAATTCGGTTTGGTTATTATTCTTCATTCAGTGTATTCCAAGTGCATTTTTTTTTAAAAAAAATATTTCTATGCTGTTTTGGTTTCGTTGAAGATAAAGTGACTAGGTGGCTCAGTGGCTTAGACACTGAGCTTGTCAATCAGAAAGGTCGGCAGTTCAGCGGTTCGAATCCCTAGTATAAGGGGTTGGACTAGATGACCTCCAAGGTCCCTTCCAACACTGTTATTGTTACCAGTGTTGTTTACTTATACTACAAAACTAACTTCAAGCAAAACCAATCCATTTCGAAGAAAACAAGATGTAAAACCAGCACAATGGGACCGAAAGAAGAAATAAAGCTAGTTCCTCTCGATTTTCAAATATACAACCCTGGAAACAAAGTTTTAAGATTTTAAAAAGAAACTTTCTTGCAAAGAGCTGGGAGCAGTTACAACTTTTTAAAGTTGATTTGACTGTTTGTTCCTTTTGGTTAGTAAGTTTCATTTTAAGTATAAGGAAGTGTCAGAAAAAAACAGAAAATCAAAGAGAAAAAAGGAATTCAGTAGAATAATATCTTCCCCGCAGGAAAGTCCGCTTCTTCTTAAAAAAGATTCTTTAAATTTAAAAAAATTGCACACATTGTTTTTATAAAGTGCATTATCTCTCTCCTTGAATGTGGGCAAATTTTGCTGATTTAATAAAATCACAATACAGCTGATCCTTGACTTATGACCACAAAGCCAAAAGTCACCCAGCTGGCTTTCATGCCTAAGGCAGAACTAGAACTCACCTTCCCCTGGTGATTGGCCCAAAGTTATCCATCTGGCTTTTATGCCTAAGGTGGGACTAGAACTCACCGTCTCCTGATGATTGGCCCAAAGACACCCAGACGGCATTCATGCCTAAAGTGGGACTAGAATTCACCATCTCCTGGTTGTCTTCACCACTAGACCAAACTGCCTCTCTCTAGATTTCCCCAGAATTCCTTCAAACTCTTTCTTAGAGAAGCACCAGGAACTGTCATCTTCCAACAGAAGACTCCAAGAAAAAGAATTTGGAAGCCACATTAACCTTGTTGTTAGTTGCAAAGTCGAGTCCAACCCATTGCGACCCCATGGATAATGTTCCTCCAGGCCTCCCTGTCCTCTACCATCCTCTGGAGTCCATTTAAGCTCACGCCGACTGCTTCAGTGACTCCATCCAGCCACCTCGTTCTCTGCCGTCCCCTTCTTTTCTTTTGCCCTCCATCCTCACTCCATCTCCAGGGAGTCCTTCCTTCTCATTAGGTGGCCAAAGGATTTGAGTTTCCTCTTCAGGATCTGGCCTTCTAAAGAGCAGTCAGGGTTGATCTCCTCTAGGACTGACCGGTTGGATGGCCTTGCAGTCCAAGGGACTCACGGGAGTCTTCTCCAGCACCAGAGTTCAAAGGCCTCCATTCTTTGGCCTTCTCAGCCTTCCTTATGGTCCAACTTTCACAGCCATCCATTGCAACTGGGAAAACCATCGCCTTGACTATACGCTCTTTTGTTGGCCTACCCAGTTAACCTATCCAGTCCTAAATGGACATTTCAACGTTCAGCTGTCAAGATCAGAAAGTCCTCCAAAACTAGGCGATGGGCCGGAGAACGGCAAGAAAATTAGCTTTGAGATTTCTGATATTCTGCGTTTTGTCAAGTCACAGACGGGCGATGAGCGACGTGCCAGTCAGCCATGACACAAGAGCCACCTCATTAATCTTGCATAAGCTCCCCAAATGACGCCCGAGAGGCCTTTTCAAATTTAGCAACTTCAAGCCTTAGCAAGAGACAAGCAGAATTGCCTCTGTTTAAAAGGTGGGGGCTCTTCCCTCTCAACCTTGGAGTTCAGAGGGAAGAAACTTATTAAGCAGAAAAAAAATATATATATCCAGGGATGTTTTCTTCTGTGGTTTTCCTTCTTGTCACTTACCTGCATCGTTTTGCAGTAGGGAGCATAGAAACCGCATGGAGAGAAGTCAGAATCTTTAGACCATAAGCCACAGCTCTGACAAAAGGAATCCAAGCTGTGTTTACTTTTGTGCCTTCCTCCTTTCTCTCATGTTTCTATTCCTTCCTTCCCTCCCTCCTTCCTTCATCCTCCCTCCCTCCCACACTCACTCATTCATCTTTCTATTTCTTCTTCCTTTCGTCTCTTCTTTTAATTTTTTCTTATTCTCTTATTTTTTATTTCTCCTTTCTCTTCTTTTTCTTATTCCTTCTTTCCTTCTCTTCTTTTTCTTATTCCTTCCTTCCTTTGCTCATCTTTCTTTCTCCTTCTTCCCTTCCCTCCTTCTTATTCCTTCCTTCTCTGATCTTTCTATTTCTCTTACTTTTATCCTTTTCCTTTCTTCCTTCTCTCATTTCTATTTCTCCTTCCTTCCGTCTCTTCTTTTTCTTATTCCCTCCTTCCTTTGCTCATCTTTCTTTCTCCTTCTTCCCTTCCCTTCTTATTCCTTCCTTCCCTGATCTTTCTATTTCTCTTACTTTTATCCTTTTCCTTTCTTCCTGTCATGTTTCTATTTCTCCCTCCCTCCCTTCCTCCCTCCCTCCCTTCCTTCCTTCCTTTCGATGGGCTCTCCATCTTTGCAAGTTTGGGGCTACAGATTGGGGATCCCCCTTTCACAAAAGGCTTAATTTGGTTCTCGGCACATGGCTGAGGGTCGGGATAGATGACCCTTAGGATCCCTTCTGACTATATCATTCTATGATTCTATTGCACCCAGACCACTTCAAGCACCAGTGGCTGAAGTCAGGTTGTAAAATTGCCATTCCTGGACAGCAACTTTTTACAACTTTTTCATACAGCTGGGATCTGAATTGAATGAAACAATTCTGTGAAGTTTAACCCCTTCCCTCCAACCCGCCATCCTTTCCAAAAAAACCCACACACACCACTCCCCAAACTCCCAAACACCACCCCAATTGGATGCCCCTCCCACCCCGTAACCATACTTGCCATGAAGTCAACCCTGGCTTCTCCAATGAGCAACCAACAGGAGTGCCCACACAACCGACTAAGCCTTAAACACGAAATATTAAACAGCGCCGAACGCAAAAGCAGGATGCTGCTGGCTTGATGCAGTGTGGGAACTCGACAAACTGGGGCATCCTCAACGGTGAATGATGATTGGAGGAATGTAAAATAAGCAATGCCCCCCCCCCCAAAAAAAGATTTGGAATTTAAATCACAATCCCACCCAGCAGCTGCTCCGGGTCTGGTTAGCTCCTTCCAGCAAATTGCAAGGACGGGAGTTAAAAAGACCGAAGGGGCAGTTTTCGGCTGCTGCCATAGCAACAGAGCCAGCATTCCTAGAGGGGGGGGTGGGCCTTCTCCGCCAATGGAGCATCCGCTTGCCTTGGCTGTTCCATTTCTAACCGTGGTTTGATTCGAGGAAGCCCCGGCTCGCTCCGCCAATCAGGCCTTCCGCCAGCCGAGCTCTGCCGAAGGAGCCGTGCCAGTCTGCCGTTTGCTCTGAGCTGCAGGGTGGCAACGTTGAGGGCAGGAAGCAGAAGGTGACTCCAAGCCAGGGGTCTCTCTCTCCCAACCCCCACCTCCCAGCTTCCCTTTGGGCTGAAAAGATGCGGCATCTTTTGTGAGCATCTTTGAGGAAGTGTGCAAGCTGCAAACCCACCGGCCTCGGGGTTGTCGGTCAGAGCTCTGCAGGCACAGGGGTGCACACATTGGAGGCCGATTGCAAAGATGTATAAGTAGGCCACAACCGAACCCCAAATTCCCCCTGCTAAGCATGGCAGCTGCCGAGTGAGTTGGGCTCCCCCGTTTTACGACCGTTTCTTGCCACCGTTAAGCGACACGCTGCAGCCGTTAAAGTTAGAAACGTGGCTGTGAAGTGAATCTGTCTTTCCCCGTCGATTTTGTTCGTCAAAGAAGGTTGCAAAGAGGGGATTACGTGACCCCAAGACCCCCAAAATAAGACATTCCCTGATAATAAGCCCAATCGGGCTTTTGAGTGCATGGCAATAAGACCAAGCGCTTATTTCAGGGTTCAAAAAAATATAATACAGGGTCTTATTTTCGGGGAAACACAGTATCTATCATATCTATCATCTATCTATCTATCTATCTATCTATATCTATCTATCTATCTATCTATCTATCTATCTATCTATCTATCACCTATCTACCTATCTACCTACCTATCTACCTACCTACCTATCTATCCATCTGCCCTGTTTCCCCCAAAATAAGACATCCCCTGATAATAAGCCCAATCGGGCTTTTGAGCGCATGGCAATAAGGCCAAGCGCTTATTTCAGGGTTCAAAAAAATATAAGACAGGGTCTTATTTTCGGGGAAACATGGTACATGCCAGTGGCCCAGAGTCCGAATTTTGATCACGTGACTTTGGGAATACTGTGACGGTCGGGTGAAAAAGTGCCTTTTTTTCAGTGACATTGTAACTTCGAACAGTCACTAAACGAATGGTTTTAAGTTGAGAACCACCTGTACGTTGACTGATTGTTCCCACCGCTTTTGAGTGGGGAAAAAAAAACCCCTTGCTTCCTTGTTTTCTCCTGGAACTCAGACTCATACAGAGAACACAAAAGAGCTGATCTGAAATTGAAGCCCTTGCCACAAGAAACAGAAGCAAAAATTTACCGACAAATAACACAAATGAATTCCGGTACTCAATTCTGCTAATGCAAAGGAGATCCCCCCCTCCCTCCCACCCCCGGTAGTAAATCTATAGATAATTTACACCCTAGGGTGCCAAAAAATTAAAATTGCTTCCCTTTTGATGAGAAGAGTTTTACAGTCCAGGCTGAAGTTTGAGAGAGGAATATTCTATTTTTAAAACCGAGCGGCTCAAACAGACCCTTAAATGGGCTACAGCACCACATCACGGGAGGTGCACTTTTGCACTTAGCTAACACACTCACACCTTCTCTCGGTGGGGACGGGGTGGAAATCTGCAATTGAAGTGGAGATGGAGGTGTGCATGTTTTGATTGCCTGCACTTGAAGAAGCTGGGAATAATAATTGAATTGACAATCACCCGAAGAAACCAAAGTTAGATCCTTGCCCCGAGGGTGTTTACAAGCACACAATTGTGGAGACTGAACTTCAAAGGCAATCCACATCAGAAGGGACCTTGTGACTCTGAATAACAAAACACGAGAGAATCGGGCGTTAGCATCCGTTGGCTGGGAAATCACCCAAAAAAATGTAGCGGAATCTATTTGGGGTTTCAAAAAGTGATGATTCAGGTAGTCCTCGATTTATGAACTATGGCTGAGCCCAAAATTTCCTTTGCTAAGAAAGGTACCATGTTTCTCCGAAAATAAGACCCTGTCTTATATATTTTTGAACCCTGAAATAAGCGCTTGGCCTTATTGCCATGCGCTCAAAAGCCCGTCTGGGCTTATTATCAGGGGAATGTCTTATTTTGGGGGAAGTAGGGTAGTTGTTAAATGCGCCCCATTTTACGATCTTTTTTTTGCTCCGGTTGTTAAGCGAGTCATGCCGTCGATAAGCGAATCTGGCTTCCCCCTGGACTTCGCTTCTCGGGAGGTCGCAAAAGGGGATCACATGATCCCTGGATACAGGAAACGTCATAAATGGGAACCAGTTGCCAAGAGTCAAAATTCATTGATGTGGATTCTGCAATGGTCATAAGTGTGGAAAACGGTCATTTTTCCCCCCAGTGCTGTTGTAACTTTGAACAGTCACTAAATAAATGTTTGTAAGCCAAGGACTTCCCGTCCTGCATTGATCAATGCTAAGCATTAATACTTAGATGGGAGACCACCTAAATTAAAACTTCTTGGAAGGAGCAAAAGCATTTTAGGATAGTCCTCTTGTTGTTCTCAACTCCTTCGTTGGCTTGATCCTTCCCAAAGTGGAGAAGACACGCAGCCTTCTTCTTGCCCATGGTCCAGCTTGAACTTCAGTTTGGAGATGTGAAACCTTCAACAGGTCAACAGCAGCTCCAACAGATACGGGAGATTTCACATCCCTAAAACCAGTTGGTCTTCACCCAGGAGCAATTTTCTCAGGATATTTTTGGGGAAATGAAAACCCGAATTCTATTGACAATGTAACGGTTCCAATTTTCGGCATGGGACATTGGGGGGTAGGGTGGGAATCAACTTGAAGGCAGTTCTAGACATCTCATGTTAGAACTAGGATCCAGATTACACAGAACGAAGAAGCCAATGCTTGTTCTAAGTTCGGGCGAAAGCAGAGAAGGACGACGAAGATGCTGGAAGTCAAACCCTCCACCCCCAAAAAATGAAGAACGTGTTGCTGGAGGTTAAGAAAACCCAGAGCCACGTCATGACTAGACAACTGCGGTTTGCTTTATCTGGGGGCTTCCCTTGAAGACTGTACAGAATGCCCGATGGGTGCAGATTGAGAGGGAAACTCCTCAAAAGACGCTGCCCAAGTTTTACAAACAGGTTTTGTTTTTTCAACTGGCACTGAGCTCTGCTTTCCAGCAAAACTGCACTATAGCAACCAATGAATTCATTTAATGGCCCCTGTTGTGTTCACTTTTCAACCGTAGCAAAAAGATTGTAAAATTGTGTGTGTGTGTGTGTGTGTGTGTGTACCTACCAATCTATCTACTGATGATCTACTCATCCATCCATCCATCCCTCTCTCTTTCTCTCTCTCTCTCTATCCCAGCCTCAAAAACGTGCCTAAATAGGACAGCATAGAGCCCAGGCGGATGGGGTAGGATTTCCGCTGCCGATTCGCCCGAACCGGCTGAATGCCACTTCTGATCATAAGTGTGAAATGCGATCATAAGTCACTTTTTTCAGTGCTGTTGTAAGTTCAAACGGTCGCTAAACGAACGGTTTGTAAGTCGAGGGCTACCTGTAGGGAAACAACCTGTTAAGGCGTCTTGAGTCTACACCATTTCCTTTCAAGCGGATGTCCGAAAAAAAGTGACCTTATCTCGGCCACAAAAATCCAGCGGGACTTATAACCTCTTGCAAGAGTCACGTCAAAAGTTCAGAGGCGGAATCCACCCAAGATTTTGCTTCACTGAGGATCGAAACTTTCTTCTCTAGAGACTTTGGGGGGGGTGTTTCAAATTGAGAAAGCGACAACGATCGCCCCCCCATCCCCCACCCCCCACCCCCTGAAGCAAGTTAACACATGCCGTCCTGCGGTTTTAAAATCCGGGATGATCTCACCGCCATTGGCCTCGCTCAGCCTAAGAATTGCGCTGCTCTTTGCAAGCAGAGCTGGCGAAATTGACAATACCAAGAAGAGGGGAACTGGATGCCAAGGCCCCCCCCCCCTGCCACTCACGCCAACGCCAGATTTGGAGAGGTTCGGTAGAAACGTTCAGCGCCTTCCTAGGTGGTTTTTAAAATCCTCATCTCGCATAAAACACGAGTTGCTGGTTCATTTCCGGAGTTAATTGCATTGATGTTTTTAATTAAATGCTTTTTTTTTAAACATCAGGTGGGATTCACTTAACATCCTCCTTGCTTAACGACAGAAAACCTGCTTGGGATCAAAAGTCGAGGGCTACTTTCAAATCCTTCAAACGGATGGAAAAAAATAAACATGCATTTCTGGAGCCTCCACAAGCAGTTTTTTTTAATGTCTCTCTTCTCAACCATATCGCTTCCTCTCTTAACCCCCTCCCGGAAAGGTTTTAATGGTGCATCCCAATTTGCTAGAACACATCAAGTGGCGCTGATGATTCAGCCGCATTTTACCCCCCACTTCTCGGTCAAAAGATTGGCCAATGACTCAAAACATCATCCGGTGTTCTAGAAACATCACAGAACCGGAGTGGAAACAAGGACCATAATAAACTTTCTGTAGACAAAAAGGAAAACCCCAAAACCCTGCCATTGGAGTTGGCTACAAAATGGAACCTTGTTTCTGACAGTCAGAATAAATCTAGAGCCTCGCATGATGGGGCTTTTGAATGAAAAAAAAACGATTTTAAGGCATTTCCCCAAAGTGGGGACCTTGGGTAGTCTTTGAGCTTGGATGTTTTCTTGCAGACGTTCCATTACCCAGCTAGAGAATATCGTCAGTGGTAGAAGAGAATAGGGTGTGTGGAGAGGAGGAGGAGGAGGAGGGGGAGGAAGAAGAGGAGGGGGAGGAAAGAGACTGTGGGTTTCCTGGTGCTCTCTGAGCTTGCTTGTTTTCTTGCACGTTTCATGACCCAACTGGGTAACATAATCAGTGGTAGAAGGGAGAGGAGGACGAGGAAGAAGAAGAAGAAGAAGAAGAAGAAGAAGAAGAAGAAGAAGAAGAAGATTTTCTTCCACATATTTCATGATCCAACTGGGTAACATCATCAGTGCTAGAAGGAGAGGAGGAGGAGGACAAGGAGGAAGAAGAAGGAGGAGGAGGAGGAGGGGTGGAGGAAGAAGAGGAGGAAGAGGAAGAGAAGGAGGAAGAAGAGGAGGAAGACGACTGTGGGGTCCTTGGTGCTCTCTTGGGCTTGCTTGTTTCCTTGTAGACGTTTCATGACCCAACTAAGTAACATCATCAGGGCTAGAAGGGAGTGGGGTTTGCTGTCTGATTATATATTAACAACTTGAAGCTAACAATAAGCAAGATCCTAATCAAGGAGTCACTCAGAACACTCCCACCAACGCTGACAGAGCAAAAACGGAAGTGATTTGTTTAACAACCGTGGCAAAAACCCCCCCAAAAACACAGTTGTAAAATCAGGTGTGAGTCACTTAACAACCCCTTTGCTTAGCAGGGGAAATTCTGCTCGCGATTGTGGTTGTGAGTCAGAGAGGACCAATACCTAATCCCAGCATGATCTA